TGCTCTGTCAGCAAACCACAGTTATATCCACATCTGACAGCTACAATAATGCCACTGCGGGGCACCGGTTCGTCCCATACCTCCGAGTATAGACTGTTCTCTTAGTATCTGACCGCCCTGCTCCTCGCCGCCAACCTTAGACCAATAACTCCATTGGGAACAAGTTCTCCCAGTCATATTCAGATTGTCTAATGGACTTTCTATTCTCCAGCGCAGGAAGGGGCCAGTTCCCTTTCTGATTACCTGGTGTTAGGGCAGCATGCAGGCCTGGAAATTCAACGTCAGACCTCCGGATATCAATATCTCCCTCGAATGACTCGTCAGAGCATTTGGCTAGAAGCAGTAGCCGAGTGTGCCTTTCCGTAGCATGCAGCTGAATCTTGGAATGCTTTTCTTCTCCAAACACAACGTCGTTGCGAGAACTCTCCGTAACTGCGGTGCAGGACTATTGGGAAAGGACATATTCCACGAAGAAAATAGGCTTGAATATACTGTCTGTCTCGGAGCCTGTATAAGCTTCGGGTCTTTGTTGAAGCTGATCTAATGTACTTTCGCTTTTTGCACCGTCCGAACCACTGACCTGAAAATCACCCGCGGAAAAGATACGATAACATCGTCGGTCCCTATACCTTTTCTTACATCCCTCGTCCTCGGGGCGCAGCACCGCCTCTTCCCCGCATTGCCATCCCTCCACGAGCACCCATTGCGCCCCCTCTCATCCCTCCTCGCGCTCCCATGGCTCCACCAGGGCCCCCTGTGCTCGAGTTTGGATTGGGAACTTGTGGAGCCAGACCCGCTGGGTTTATCGCCATAGGTTCTGCATCCTTCAGGAGCGAAGCTCTCTCGATTGTGCTGCCGTTGGCCTGGAATTGGCTGCCACCCGTCGTGCCGGCCGTGTCGGTTGGGTTGACCTTGATCTTCACGGCGCTGATTTCAACGTGTGTCTGGATAATGCCGATGAGGAAGCCAATGGTCCAAATCACTGCCAGCCAGTGCAGCGCTAGTGCAGCACTGCCTTTTGTAACCTGGAAGATCCCAGGGGCTTCCGCGTTGTGGCTTGTGGCGAGCTGGACTGCCGCGAACATCTGCGAGTTCGACACAGCTGCGGCGAAAGCGAACACAACCGACAGTCCGATAAGCACAATTATGACGACCCGCAAGATGTCGAGTCGGCGATTCCTTTGCGACTGCCTCCATGAGGACGCTGGGCCAACCCAAGGCTTGTTTAAGGCGCCGTAGAAGGCGAACATGATAACTCCGAGCGCCAAGAACATGCCAGGAATTGCGGGGAAAACAATGAAGACGTCGTTTTGCAGAGATGCTGCCACCTCAAACAGCACGGAGTTAAGTGTTTGATTGGCAGGTAATGCCTCAAAGTCGTATATGTTGTTGTTTCCAATGGACAGATATCGAATGCTTGCAGCGTGATCTTTACCCACGGTGATGGCACAATGTTCGGGTCCACCCGAAAGCGAACAGCACATTGCTAAGTTATGATGAGCCCCCATTTCTCTCTTGACATTGCATCAAAGGATAACCAACCTGTGTACCCTATTCTGAGCCGGGTTGTTGCTTGGCCATCAACAGAATTGAACTGTAACAGATAGTACCCCGATGTACCACTGCCTGATCCTTGAGCCCCGGGTACATCTCCGAGAATAACAAGACCTTTACGGAGCCAGTTAGCAGGATGTCATCCCAACGAAGGAACAGCAAAAGGTATACTGACTTTGAAACAGAATAGCCAAGGCGGCCAAAAGATACACAAAAAGGCGGAGCCAGACACTGTCTGTGTAAAGGTTAGCAAGGTTTCAGTTGGTGAGAGAACGGTCCGCGACATACCCGCTATGTGCTTTTTCCAGTACTGCGTCATCCCCGAGCCCATAGAGCCCATACCAGCTCCCATACTTGATACTGAATTCATTTTGAGGGAATGTGTAGACTAGGAGATAGAAATGAGAGTCACCAGGTAGAGCAGGGAAATGTAAAGATTGACACAAAACCGAGAAGTACTATGCTAACGAGTGAATTTCAATAGTAGTGCGATTGCAGTAAAGGATAGTGACAGGTGAGTTTTATTCTTATTCCTGGACACTCGACCTGTATATGGCTTCTTGAATGGGGGGAATCTAGTACCGGAGGCTGAGCCCGACCAATTTTAGTACCCGAAGGGCCCTACAGCTTTGGACAGCCTTGCCCCTCTGCAGAACTGACAGTCTTCTCAGATTGAAATCATTAACAGGAGTAACCGGCACGGGGCGCTCTCCACATGCTAACTTAAGACTCCGTGCCTCCTCTTTGCCGAGGACCCCCTGAGGGCCGAGCTGCGCATGGGGTCCCGATCCACCAGGCTGGCCGTCTCGTCATTTACAGCCTTTCCCACCATTGGACTGCAGCTTCCATCTATATCAGGAAGCTTGCTTAGATCATAGCCACTTCTTATGCTCAGATCTGAGCAGCAGTCAGATGCACTGCCGGCCGTGAGTTGCCTCTCGCATCCTACCAGCAGACGAGACGACTTCAATGATGGTGTAGCTGGGGATTTCGACTCAGAGTATCTTAAGCTTCCACACCATATCCTGTCCCTTGATGCTGTGGATATCATGTCGATTTCTCTCATAAAGGTACCGCGCAGTCTGGCAAAGTTGATTGCTGCCAATGCTTCTCATCTGGGGAGGCATGCCCATTGGGGGGGAAGGGGGTGCTTTACTAAGCTTCATGGTCAGGTACTGAAGGCTATTGTATCAGTACGTAACGAAGCCGCAGTAAGTGACCCATGTCGCGATTTCTGCAAGACCCTACGTGACCAAACGCTTGTATATCAATTTCCTCTGGGCCTCTCTAAATGGAGGAGTATTTTCAAACTGGGGCACCAATGACTCCTACAAGAAGAGTACATGAGTACGACATTCACCTGAGGCCTCTGAAGTTACATAAAATCCACAGGCAGTAGAGTGAGAATCTTGAGACATGAGACGAAACAGTAATGATTGCGCAATGCCAATTTCGCAAAAAGATGACTGATATCCAAAAAGCACTAAGATCCCGCTCGATTGTGCTGAACCAAGCATCCAATCCAACAGCAACAACAACATCTGCAGCAACAGAATACTTCCCACCACCATCCCGACCATCTACTGTTCCCACACACCTCCACTGTTGGCGCTTTCACTCCTGGAGTACCAGGGAATTACATATCATGGCATGCGCTGTCATGGTGCGGCTCTTGATGACAGTCGTCATGATGTTGCTGTTGGTGACAATCCTCATCCTCATCGTGGTGCTGTTGATGGCCGTCATCATCATGGCCGGATCCCATGTGATGATGAGCTTCGGGGCCACCCATATGACCGCTGTGATCCCATCCATGCTGTCCGTCATCCTGACAATCATCCTGGTCTAACGCAATTCGAATGGTTAGATTGCAATGCCGCGGACGCAGGTGTGTCCTTTGGTTGGGCAACTTACAGTGATTCATGGATTCATCATGCGGCTGATGATGGCTTCCGTCGTGCGACTGGTCCCAGTTGCCGTAGTTGTTGTGGTGATAATTTTGACCATCTTGTCCGTGTTTCCATTGACCGTCGTCTCCCCCTTGCTCGTCATATTGATGGTTCTCGTCGTAGTTGGATCCGTCGTCATTCTCCCCATCGTAACTGTCCTGATGAAAGGTATCTTCAACGGCATCAGCAATGTCATGAACACCGTCAACGACGTCTTCGAATCCGTGCTCGGCAAGACTTGCGATGTGGCCGAGACCCATTTTGTGGAGTATGTGTAATGTCGAGGATTGCTTGAAACAGATACAAGCGGAAGATTATTCTGGGACTGGTGACTTGGAAGATTTTGCTTTTGATGATGACTGGTACTGCTGCTCTGGTTTTGTGCAGTTGCCAAGGCGAACTTGGTTCCTTTATATCGTCGACTTCTCAACTGACCTCGCGCAAAAATAGTAACCCGATTGCAAGAGTTGTTAAAGACACCGCAGCTGAGTAAAAGCTTCGACCTTTCAGCGAAAGTCTCTAGCAGGATTGGGGCTGTTCCGTCGCGAGGACCACATTACATGGGGTTATTTTGACGGCAGGTAAAGCCACGAGCCACAAAAATGGAGCCGAAAACTTTCCATATCCATCAACTCAGCTCTACGAATGGCACAGACCCAAGTATATTGTCGGACGAAAGGGGCCGATCTGCTGATTACAGGAGGTACTGATTACAACAGGCGTCAACAGCATTGTCCCTGACGTCCCATAGAGAGCGGGAAATAGTGACAGTATAAGCGCTATGCACTATGCATAGTGTACGAGGGTAGATATCGGCGGTCCGTCGAGGGTCGCACTGGCCCCGTAGTGGGAGAAGTGGATAAAGAGCCCCAGCTAGAGAAGTGGATACATCCGTAATGAGCAGGGGCGCAACAAGGCCTCCACACAAGGCCCACCAATACATCGTCGCCATTTACAATGACTTTTAAAATGACCTGTAATTTACTCCGTACACAGCCCATCAATATCAATATGCTGGGCTATGCTTACTCATACCTCAAACAAACCCACTGCCACTTAAAGCCTCCCGTTACGTTCAAGCCAATCCTCCAGCAACTTATCACCAAGATAAAGATGGAAAGGCCTTTGCCCCTTCTCTTAATGGGAGGCCGATAACGCACTAATTTGGCCGTTGGAGTAATCAGTTCTTGCAACACCGCAAGTGTGTACTCAACTCGATGCTCGCTCGACTTAAATAGAACAGATCCTTGTACAGACCACGGCGGTTTCGACACTGAGCCTCTAAGATCTCGCCAAACGGCGGTCTAGATGATCATGAGAGAGGCCGGCGGTTGCACCTGTAGCGCTCAGAGGGTACAGCCCCAGTAGGACCCAAGAATTGCTATATAATGGACCGTATGTAAACCTAAATATTTCCGTGGGAGAAAAGCAAGCTCTCACGAAGACGAGTAAATAACACTTCAGCCTTTTCCATATCACCCAAACCATCACACTGCAATGGGTAAGCTCAACTTTCACTTTGGCGGTGGAAGCGGCTCCAAGGCGAAGCCCAAGGCTTCTCCTGAACCCCCTCCATCTAAACCGCCGACTGCAGCGGAGCCACCAAAGCCACCCTCGCCTCCTCCACCACCACCACCACCGACTCCCGCAAAACCACCAACACCACCAACAACCAGTACCTCCGGCGAGACAGATCCTAATCCAGCAACACACTCAACACCCAGCACTTCTGGCGAAGCCGGTCCTAATCCGGCAGAATCTCATAACCCCGCAACGCATACAACACCTGGCAATTCAGAAGAGGATACCCATGCGGCAGAGCCTCATAATCCTGCAACGGGCACTTCTGGCGAATCCGCTACTTTACCCTCACACCCATCCAACTCCCAAACAGAACCACCGAGCGACACCCCCGGATCGTTTCCCTTCAACCAACCCGCTGGCCCAGGCCTCGGTACAACAGTGCATCCGTCAAACGAAAACTATGGCGAGCAGCCCAGTGGCCAACAAGGGAGCGATCTAGGTACTTACATTGATGGAATAGCCCAAATCAGCCAATCCGGTCTGCCACAGATGATATTGCAAAACACGGTCTTCCATAACCAGAATCCATACAACAGTGAGTACCCACCGTACGGCGAGACAGGCGGAGCTGAGGGCTACGACGATTACTCTGGCGAGGGAGGATATGACGGGGAATACGATCCAGGAGTAGCTCAGAACATTCCTGAGGGAACCACGGATACCTACCCGGACACGAGCACCGATGCGTATCCAAGTACAGCCACCGATGGCAACGCAGGTGCGACCACAGATGGCTATCCCAACACGAACGTCGACGCCGACCAGAGTACGAACGTGGGCGGGAACACCGACGTCGACAACGAGGATGGCGCATACCAGGACGATGACGAGACATATGAGGATGACGAGACCTACGAGAATCCTGACCCCCAGGACGAAGACTACGACTATGATGACGCCGATCCTGACTACCTAGCTTCCAACGATGACGACGACTTGGGAGTCCAGGGTGAGACCGACGTTGACAGCACAGAAGAATCACCTGCGGATGATGATTACTCTGGCAATGCTACTGCCCTGGGGAATGCGGGCGGTTCAACTCCCAGCGCAGCGTTCCCTCACCAGCCTCCCGGTGCGAGGATTGGAGTTACCGTACAGTGATGGTGTAGCGTCCCTGTTTTCTCAAACATCAGGTGAATGGCTTTCGTCTGTCGGCGCTAGGAGAAAGGATTTGCATTTGGATAATCGTAGGAGGAATGCACATTGTTATATATACCCCAGGACTTCCATGGGCAGATCTCCTTTGCTTCATACTTTTCTCAATCCTACTCTCACGTCTACGCAAGGACCAGGCTTGAGAAGGAGGAGTTGACAGCCTTCTGCTCCGAGACAATACTGTGCAAAATGTGCTTGCCATCAATAAGTATCTATCGGTTCAACCCTAGCCCTGTAGACAACAATCCTTCAAACCCTCCGATATAAGCCGCTCAGCTAAAGATACGTAAAAGGTCTCGTCAACTCAGTAAGCTAAATTTAATCCTTCGCAGTGCTTGCCAGCTGTCGAAACATGTTGAAACATTTGGGATTTCTGCGCCTTGGAGGATCAAGGCCCAAACGGCGTCGACTTTACCGCCTCATCAGCTTCTCGATATGCATCGTAGCCGTAAAGCCAAGGCTGGACCTCTGGACACGTCCTACAGTAATTGTCAGTGCCGCTCCACATTGTTGGGGGGGGGGGGGGGGGGGGGAAGGGTGGAGGTTTTGGGGGGTGGTGGGGGGGGGGGGGGGGGGGGGGGTAATAAGAGCGACAACTTACCAGCGACTAGGAAACTTGCCGGATATCTCTTGACCCAATTGCGATTCAAACAGCTTGTCCCTAGCTTGCTGTTCGGGACCGTCAGGCATATGGAACGCCTCTCTCTGATGGAACGTCTCGCGCGCGATCCTCTCGCTTCGCGGCTTGCGGAGACGTTCGTACAGCGTGATCGCCCACGACAATTGTTCCTTGGACCCGACGTGGGACAGCAGTCTCCCCAGCACGCCGCCGTCTTCGATGGACGAATTTGCGCCCTGCGCCAGATAGGGCAGCATTGGATGGCAGGAATCCCCGAGCAAGAGGAAGGTCTTTTCCTTGTTCGTCCACGACTCCAGCTCTTCGCGGTGCATGAGTTTCCACTTGTCGACCTGTTCGACCTGCTCGAGGAAACGGGTCAGGATGGGATCCCAGCCGGCAAACAGAGCCCGCATCTCATTGACCGAGCCTGTCGTCCGTGAAAGTCCCTGTGGAAGGTCATCTGGGCAAAGCAGGACTATGTTGTACATGGTGCCGCTCCTGATCGAGTATGCCACGGCATGGGAGTAGGGACCAATCCAGAAGTGAACCTGCGGGTTAGCAATCCATTCCTTCAATTCGGGATCAGTGATCTTGTCAAGTTGCAGGACAATCCTATAAGCCAAGTCCCCAGTCGGTAATGGCTGGTCCGCGGTTTTCAGCATGCTCTCTCTGCACTTGGACCACAATCCGTCAGCGCCGACGACCAGGTCGCTCTGGATCTCTTGGCCCGATTTGAGAATGGCTTTTGGGCCCGCTGTTGTGTTCACAACCGAGGACACTCGACAATCAAGCCGCACAGTCACTCCAAGCGAGATGGCCTTGTTATACAATATCTTCTGCAAATCCACCCGGTGAATATCAAGGAAAGGCAGACCGTATTTTCCCTCAAGGTTCTTGTCAAAGTCCCTTTCCTCAGCCAGAATCTTGCCATCCGTGTATCTGTGCACGGCCAGGACGGTCGGTACCGCGGCACAGGCCCTCACAGATTCTTCCAGTCCCCACTGCCGCAACAGTTTCGAGGCATTGGGCGTGATTTGTAGTCCAGCACCAATCTCGGCCAGTTCTTTGGCGGCCTCGAAGACTGTAACTGTGTGTCCTGCAAGAGCACAGGAGATGGCGGCGGCCAGACCTGCTAACCCCGCCCCTACAATTGTAATATTCAAAGGGATGAGGTATCTAGAGACGTCAGCTGGCTCAGGTGCCGAGCCACTCCGCATCGCAGTCGCCATAGATATCGCAAGGTGGATATTTCGGAAGCCTTGCTTGGCCTGTTTCGCAGAGAGCGACCACAGTCGGTTGGTTTTGAAGCCAGAGCGGAATGCTCTTGTGCTATTCCGATCCTGTCAGCCCCGTCCCAAACATCACCGACGCTACACGAAGCGAGGGGAACATTGAGTGGTTGGGTGGGTACGGGTCGATCTCTCGGTAGTTAGACACCTTTAACTACCGATCATCCCTGACATGCTCAGAGGTCGGGCGGCTCGCAGAGACAAACCTGATATCAACTGGCCCTGTTGCCTCCATCATTGAGCCAGCATTCAGTGAGGCCACGATGGAGAGTCTACCACAACTTGGAAAAGCAATCGCTCAAGTCTTATTGCCGACCTACCAGGTATACACGCCATTGTTGCTCAGGCAAGCCGACACCATCAAGTCGACCGCACGTCAGACCTTTAGCTATGGTAAACATCCGCGTCAGCATTTGGATCTCTACACTCCCTCGAAGACGACAAATTCCAAGATTGGCAAGTCGGTCTTGATATTCCTGTATGGAGGAGGATTCGTGCGAGGCGACAAGATCAACCCGAATTTTCCAGAGGGCTTGGTGTACGCGAACGTGGGCCATTTCTTTGCGGAAAACCTAGGCGTCAAAGTCATCATCCCCGACTACCGACTTATCTCACACGATGCGACGTTTCCTTCTGGAGGCCAGGACCTAGAGCTAGTCATTGAATGGGCTAAGGAGCACATGGGCCACGATGCATCAAGTCCTACCAACCTCTTCATCATGGGTAACTCCGCTGGGGGTGTTCACTTGGCAACGTATCTCTTTGCCCCTGACTTTCGCGGCAATCGCCAGAAGCAATTCAAAGGAGATGCTCCAGCCTTGAAATTGAGTGGTGTCATATTCCTGGCAGCCCCCTTCCACTTCGATCGGGCAATTGCAGAGAGAGCCCAAACTCTTCAAGCATATTTCGGGAATAATGTCCGCGACCGGTCCCCGCTGGGGCTGCTGAGAGCTTGTAAGAAAGACGGATCCATTGATGATCTGAAAGCGGTTCCGGCTATGGTGCTTTATGGCGGACTTGATCCACAAGACGAAATCTTGACCCCAAAGAATGATTTCGTCAAGGAGTGGATTGAAACGGATGCTGTGGCCAATGAGTTAACGGTGCTCAAAATTGAAGGCCACAACCACATCAGCCCCGTCTTAGCCTTAGGGACGGGGATCTCCAAAGAAGAAGCTTGGGGTCGACAGGTGGTCGAATTCATCATAGCAGCTGCTTCCAAGAGCTGAGGAGGCCATGTTGGTTGACAGTGGCTTGTACAAGAGGCTAGTCTCTCAGTTACGGCCCGTCCAAGGTAGGTAGGGTATATCCAGCCAACCGTATGCGGTGATATACACTTCCATAGTCGGCCCATGGCTTGCTGGTTTGGTAGCTTTACAACCACTGTGTGCAGAAAGAGATCTACGGAGTAGTTGTGTCAGGTTGAATGGCAGGTACATCCCATAACAGAAATCGAGCAGATAGAAAAGCAGTCCATCCAGAGAGATAAACCTGAAGAATCAGGGTTGGGTATCTTATTTGTATCTGTACACGGATCTATGGTGTGAACCAACATGTCTTCGTTGTCCCATCTAACCTCCTGTTCAATATTCCGCATCATATGTCTGAGAAGTGGGAACCATCTCGAATATACCGAAGAAGGCACTTTTGGGCACCTTGTCCGCACAGATGCGTCGGACTCCGTTATGTTTAAGCATTAAATGTCGTAGTGTGAATATCGTCATCATCAGAATCAGAATCCGCGTTGTCCATCATACTGTACATCGCCATCATATCATATCATCGCCTCCAACTCGTTGTTGTCGACGTTCTCTGGAGGCTAGCGCGAAGTCGGCACGACCAGCATTTCTCGACTACCTGGCCTCTGCAAGCGGTCGATGCCAAGGTGCTCTTTCCCGTCTCGACCGACGAAGATTCCGAATGCGTACCTCATCCCAACGTCATGTGCTAGACGGCGGACAGCACGCCGTGATCGACGACCTTTTTCCTCCAATTCGCCGTCACCGGTCAGTGGCGCTGGAGTAATAGTTGACCCTGTCAATCTCTCGATCAACTCAGATTTCGTTCCAATGTTCTGTAGCGCGACATCACCGAGCAATGGACTGGCATATAGCCAACTCAGAAGTGCTGCAATGGTGTCAATACTGTGCGGCAGGTACCGCTTCCTGGTCGGCCAGATAATCAGGTACGAGAGTGCATAGATAGTGACCAGCACGCTCAACGCGATGTACCCAGGCAAGCTGGCGACAATTCTGACTTGGTTATCGGAGGAGAAGAACACTGCAGTGAACACTCCACCAGCCAGCACCGGAATAGAGAGCAAGAGTATCGAGATGAAGGCAATATATGCAACTTTGTAATCGCGATTGATCAGGGCCCGGATAACGACTCGCACAGGTCCATAGGAAGGGTATGAGAGCAGTAGTGACTTCCTTGCTGTGGCACCACTTGGCTGGGAGAGATTGCGGAACGGCTGGACTGCTCTGTAATACATGTCAATCGGCTGCCAAGCGAGGAACAGCACCATGCCAAGAAATGCTGGCAGGAAGCTGTAGAGGAAGTTGGCGGGTGAGAAGCCGCTCGAATCCGTCAAAGACGGGAGGAGAGGGCGGAAGCCATCTTGCACCGCTTTGTTGACGAAGCTGACGACCAAAAAGGCGATGACCAGCAGAACGGCAGCCACAATCCATGCCAAGACGAATGAGTCGCGGAGGAACCAAGGCGTCCACCGGTACCGGACAAAAGGCGAATGGATGTTGCGAGAGAACGCAGAGCCATAAGAATGCCGTTGAGCTTCAAGATCAACCTGGTCGTTGGGGCCATAGACAGTTCTCGGCTTCTCGGGTGGAAATGATAGGCGTTTGACAGGGGCGTACTCCTCTCCCACGGCATGGAATACTTCGGGGCGTTCAGACGTGGTGAAGAAACCTAGGCGCAGATTTCTGGGTGGGATCTGCACGTTCGGTTGTGGTGATATCTCGGATTGCTCAAAGTCTGGACCCACATTTGACCTCCGGAACAAGCAGATCAGATCAGCGAGAGAGCAGGGATCCCAGAGTAAGTTGGAATTCCGTCGCCGAAAGCGAAAGACGCAATACAAGAGTCCAAGGCAAAGAAGGACATATAGCGCCACTAGAGTCCAGCCAACGCCTCTAACAGCCGTCCATCGGAAACGTGCCGGCCCGTCATCTGTGATCCATTGTGTCTGGAAGACGCATGCGAGAAGCGGGACCGTAAAACTCGTCATCCAGAAGATCAAGAATGTAACTCCCAACAAGGACTCGCCATTCCGGAAGAACGTGAGGTCTGGCAGCAGATAGTTTGCTGGAAGAATTCGCATGTTTTGCAAAACCCAGTGATTGCGGCGACCTGGGCCCATGCAGTAATAAGGCAGGGATCTATACACTGCGGCCTCGACCACAAAAAGCCACAGGATCAAGAGAATGCCAACCAGTTGTGGTAGATACTGGAAGACAAAGTAGCGCGGCGTCGTATTTCCATCATAGTTGAAGAGTGCATGATTCGTGCCTGCGAAGACCAGGCTGAATATCAGGGCGGCGATCATTAAAAGGCATAGGAGGAAGAATAGACCAAGAATTGGAAGTCGTAAAGGTAGTGGTACAAAGCCGAGTCGTAAACGAAGGTCTTTCGAAAGATCAACTGGGATCATAACCTCTTGGAGGCCTGTTTGTGAAGGAGCGCGAGAGGGCGGACGAGGCGAGGCAGGCTGGGGGGGTGGAGTCGGCGGAGGAGACGGAGTTGGCGCATGAGGGCTTTCGTCAAAGCCAGGCTCGATGGGAGGTAGGGGCGCTGGAAGAGGCACCTGCGGAGCAGGAAATGTACTATCCCTGCCTCGACCAATGACATCCTCGTCTCTTGTTAACTGCTCGATGGCAAATCGGATGTACGGTGTATCGTCAACCCCAGGAGTCGGAGGGCTCATCTCGTCGAAACTAGACAGCATCCGCACCGTCGACTGTGCACCTGCAGGTTGGCTGTGTCGAATGTTCAAGGGAGCCGGCTGAATTGCGCCAGGTCTTGAAGGGAGTGTCATCTCGGAATCGATAGGGTTGTGATGCACTTGTAGCGGAGTAGAGATGCGTGAGGGAGGCGTCTCATAGCTCGCTTTGGAATCGTCCGACTTTTGACTGGCAACTTCGGAGGCATAGTCTGAAAAGTACTCGTTCGTAGCCGAAGAGGACTTGAGAGAGTCGGATTTGATATATTGAGGGGTGGTTCGTTTGACTGTCTGGATGTGAGCGTCGGGATCAGTGACCAAGTTCATCACTTTGGGGAAGGGTAGTGAGCAAAGGATGCGCAAAACCCAAAAGGAGCGGAAAACTCAAGAGACGCACGTTAACGACACGGAAAGAAAGCAAGGGAGTAAAGTTAATGAGGCGATCGGAGAATTAAGAAGAGAGCGTTGAATGCGAGGCTGGGATTGAGCTGGTTGTGCTCGTGGATGATGGTGAGGTGGTTGGTGGGTGCGGGCAGACACCGCTGAAGATTCCCAGCCTCCCGCAACAGCATTGAGCAACCAGAGTGAAACACATCACGAAAGCGGAAGCGAAACCTGGACTAAGCAGGGCATGTATTCACTGAGCTGGCAAATGGCGTCCACGGCACCAGCCGTCTGAAGCGATTGCTGCCTTACATGCCTCAGGACTTGTACGTGTAGACACAAGTCGCATTGGGAGGATGGAGGTTTGACGCAGATGCTGGCCTTTGGCCGTTGGGCCCGTTAGCCAAGATACGTAAGACTGCTCCACATTGGGCTTCGGATCGGAATAAAGGAAATGCCGCTCTTGCCTTAGCGTCTTGGCACAGGTGCGCCACGTGAATCTTGATTTTGAGTGCTATGGCCAGCCTTGCCATTGTTTTGGGACAAGCCCAGCCTTGTCAGTCTGGTGTGCATCACTCATTGTGAGCGAAATGCCACTGTTGGGCTCATCATGTCCTGCCAGAAGAACATACTGTTGGGCAAAGCTATGTGACTGTCAACCTATGAAGCAGCTTTTGCTTCTCCAATGCTCATATTTCAAATCTTTTAGAAGGTGCCAATGTCTTGCACAGGGTGAACAGCGCTCCTGCTTGATACGGTTTTCGGTTGGCAATTGATTGCTTGTGTAGTGAAGACTCTGTGGTCAGGTAGGTGCGCTGCGGACCTGGTCTTTACACAAGGTCCGGCAGTCCCAATTCTTCGTTGTTTATTCAGTGAACTGTTGTGCACCCTTACCACTCCGTCTTCCTAGCTCTCTCTATCCCTTGGTACACATCTAAGCCTGTTCATCTTCATCATTACTACATCCCTCTCATTTGAAGGTTGTGATAAGCTGCGAGGCTGGCCATCGAAATGATCTTCACAGCTCTTGTCACCACAATGTGGCTTGTTGGGCTGTCAGGTGCGGCTCCAACGAGGACGGATCACGCGCTTGGTGTTCTGCAAAGCCGGGTCTTTGCTGTTCTTGACCAACTATGTTCATCTCAAAGTTGTCTTTTTGGGAAAGCGATATTCGACCTGTCAACATTCTCTTGTTCATGTCCCCTGTGGTCCGGGACGCCCGTAAGTTCGGACTCTAAATACGCCTCAGCTGTGTGGCCGTTGCTAATCAGTCCTTGTTCAGTTCCCTCAGCCATGCGGTGCCTTGGAATGTGAAAATGGAAAGGAGACATTCTACTCGGTGATGACAGATTCGTGTTACTGTGGCACAATGGAAGACTGGTCCAACAAGGCGAATGAAGCCTACGATTCATTCTCAGAGAAATATCAACAGCCCGTAAAAGACTTGCGCCGACGGCAGACACAAACGAGCCCAGCACCGGGAATTGATACTGCAGTCCCGACATTCATCCCTCCACCTAACCAAGACATCACACAACAGTTGATTCAGCAATCCTTGAGTGTCCAGCCCCAGAACACGGCAATAGTTAGCTCCATGGTCCCCTATCTTCTAGACGGCGTCATCCAAATCTACCTGCAATTAGACGGTCCGGTGCCAACAACGCTTGTGGTCAACTGCAGTACTTCTTTACCCTGTGGCACAATTGGACTGGTCAACCCTCAACCCAATCTGGCGTTGGTACCCCTGGTGGTGAACCAAGGCCAAGGACAGCCTCAGACGGCGGTTGCTGATTGTCATTGCATCGCTATCAACATGTACAATCCACACATCGCCACGTACTGGATCCAGAAACTAAACGATGGCAGCGTCTATTCAGTCCTTGGGAACAATGTGGTTGCGGATATCGACAAGATGAATACGACCCAGAGTACGGCTTTGACTCTCACCGCCGTATCTCAGGGAGCCGACAAACGCAGCTTTGACCGCGACATTGTGTATGTTGAACCACAAAGACGACAAATCTGGAGTGTTCAATGTGACCGGGCCTGCCCTTTCCAGTACATGAACAAGATCAAGGGCACCGATGGATATTGCGGTTGCATGTTTAACGATGTAGGCAAAACACTGGACGCCCGGACTTTGGTTGAGCCAGACCTCTACAATGCAAAGATGACTGCGGAAGCTTGTGCTGCCATGACATGTTTCAACGATGGAGGCGATGCGACTCCGGCGCTTTTTCATCCCTTCCAACGGACTTGTTGGTGTGTCACACAACCATACATCGAATCCAACCCAAACGCTTGGAGTCCTTCGTCTGCACCGATATCTTCTTGATTGAGTCAGCTGTGGTGGGAAGGAATATGAAGGGATTGACGTGGTAGTGACGCATCAAAATTGTACAAACACGAAACGGTGGCTTTCTTGGATTTGAGGCGGTACGGGCTTATGAGTGTCCGGTCGATGATAATAACTTTCTGTGAGAACTCGGCATGCGACCTGGTATGAGCAAGTGGAATGAATCAGAACATTGTCGCACACTTGGATAAGTGTGCAGCTGCGAGACGTGTGAAAGGAGTAGCTGGTGTCAATGAGCAACCCAAGAAGGATCGGATCGGATGACCAGTCCTCCCTGGACGAAGCGAGAATGAACGCCGACCGAGCGAAAGCCAAATTGAAAATGTTGGAAATGTCTCTCTGCATTCTCGGTGCTTTGCACGGGCATTTGTCCCTAGAGCTTCACAAAACCGACAACAGCGAAAGTTGTAGTATTTTATTGGGACCGTGACACAACTCGCCCATCACGCCTTCGCTTGCTATGAAAACAGTCTGAACATTAAGTTATGAACCCAAAAAAGAAAAGAACTCGACCCGACAGAAACAGGAAGCTCTGAACTCTTCCCTTGTTTCTCTTCTTATCCTGTTTTGAACCTCAGCCTTTTGCCCTCCTTCTGAAGTTGTTCTTTTGGCGACGCGGTTGATTTTCAGCTGAGGACCTTGCAAAATGTCCTCGCTCTTCCTCGCCCACCAAACCGCTGTCTTATTCCCTGAGAGTGGTCGACCGTTGGGCTATTTCTGTGGGCCCTTCCGCCTCTCCGAGACTCGCTTTCCAAGTGCATCCCAGCAGAGATTGAAGAAGTTCGGATAAATCGGGTACTGCGTCGCTAGAGGCATAGAATCAATTAACCCGCTCAATGAGGTCGAGCTTCCGTATGTGCATTCATTAAATCCGTATTGTACTTTGTGTTGTACATTGAGCCTGATAGTAAGAAGCCACCCATTGATTAGCGGGTTTGGAGAACGCTTTTTTCTTTCTTTTTGCAGATCCGATATGACAAGGATCTCCTGTGAAGATTGGAAGGTGGTGGTCGCCGCTGAAATGAGCAAGATGAGGGGAAAACCGGCCCCGTTAACACAAGACTCGACGACCAGAGATAGTGTGTCTCTTTTCTTCGTCAGGAACAGCACGAGGTGTCGATTCTGTTCACCTCCGGGTGGAGGAATTTCCACCGCCATTTCCTGTCCCTGCTCCCGCAGTTCCAGGGCCGACCCCCAGATCGCCAGGTAGAACACCTGAGCCACTGACGTAGCTGGTCCGACTGGGACTCGTCCTTGCGGTCTGTTCTTCAATGATATCACTCAGCCTGGTCGGATGGTGGTGGCTGCGGGTCTGCAAGCTCTCCCAGCCTGTCATGGCTTGAGTTACTGCGGGTGGCACACTTGGATCGTAGACTTGGCCTTCGTAAGGTGAAGATGTAGGATCCAATGTTCGTCCTTGCGGAATAGGTGGAAGGGCACCAGCCGTAGTACGAGGAATACCCCCGGATGTGGTAGGTGGCTGTTGTGAAGACTGAGGTTGGCGATATTGTGCAGCGTACATTCTCTCACGCTCGGCATCGGCCGTATGATCGTCGTCATCCTCTGATATTTCTTCCAGTATTTCACCTTCGTCATCGCTAATCTCTCCAGCCAAACCTGATGTCCCTGGTGCAAGTGGTTGGCGATAAGGGATGCGCCGGCCTTGCGAGTCCCGGGTATAGCTGCCGTCGGGGTTGATATGGTATTCTTCCTCGGATGGTGCCAGTGACGCGTTAGATGGGATATACGACTGTTCTGTCCCTCCCGTACCCTGGCGAACAGGCGTGGGCAAAGCACCAGACATTTGAGCATCGCTGGTGGCAGTTGGATAGTACCTCGATTCGCCAGGTGTCCTCCCAGGCGATTGCCCTCCGGCCGCCGCAGCACGAGCAGCAGCAATTGCAGCACCACTTGTTGCAGGCTGCGTGGGCCGAGGAGGGGTAGTGTAGAATTGCGTATCTGGCTCACGACGCAGCTGGGCTTGTTGTTCTCGCTGCCGGGATGACTCTGTGAATGGGTCTGTCATGGTTGAGGAATTACCGGTGTCGGGACGATATGTGAACTGTCGGCTTTCTTCCCCAGGCGAGTCGAGAGATGTTGTCGTTGTTTGACGGGAGGGAGGTCGTTGTTGCTGCTGCTGTCCAGACATGGTTGTTGGCCCTGCACCACCTGTCGGCCCATCTCTTGTTTGTGGGCGTTGAGCCGTACTCACCTGCCTACTCGGCAGACCTTGCATGGGCACAACTTGGACACCACCAATAAGGGTGGGCTCTCCACTCCTTAACGCAATGGTTCTCTCGCGTTCCTCCTGTTCCCTTCTTCCCAGTTCTTCCCAGGCACGACGAGCTTCTTCCTTGCTAATTTGTAATTCGCGGCGCATCTCTTTGACAAGCTCCTCAGCTCTGGTCTTTTCTGCCCGCACTTGTTCGATCGAGGTGGAACTGAGCGTCCGAGCTTCCTTTTCTGCGCGCAGTTGACGTTCAAGCTCAGCCTGTCTTTCTTGAGCTTGTTCCTGCTCATGCCGAGTTTCAAAGAACCAGCGTTGAAATTTTCGCTCGGACGACGCTCGAAGGCGTTGCAGTTCGACCACCGCGTGAAACAGGTTTGCGCCTGCCCGAGACAAATCATCAATCTGTCGAGCCATCTGTCGGTCGAGGGGTTTCCCAGCTAATTCATCGGCATTGTTTTCCATGCGATGGATGAAAGATGATACGATGCCCTCCCAACGGGCAGAAAGATCTTCCCAGCGTTCAAATGCATTGGGAAAGCGGCTTCGACCCCCCGCACCCGAAGCTTGAGCCGAAGGCTGTTGAACAGGCTGAGAGCCAAATGGGGGAACAGGTTGAGCTCGAGATTGTGGTTGCGGCGGCTGAGTGGGTCGTGGCACCTGTTCTGCCGGTTTGGCTGGTGCAGGAATATTGAGCTGCTCATAGGCCTCAGTCCGATTCCGCTGAGCGGTTGCAGAAATCCTGGGTTCTCTTGCAGCGGGCTCAAGGGGCCTCCCAGTCGTCCTAGAGGAACTGGGTTGAGCGGGTTGTATGTTCTCTTGCCGCCGTGTCGCCGGGCCAGCAGGTTGAGGGATGGCTCCGCCTATGTTGTAGGTTTGAGGAGGCTGAGCACCGGGCCTGGCAGTCGTTCTTCGTGAGGTGTCCTCCCCAACGCCAACAACTTGTTCTTCTTGTAATCTTCTAGCTTCCTCCTCCTGACGGAGCCTAGCCGCAGCTTCCTCGGCTCTTCGAGCTTCCCGTGCTCGTCGGTCTCGCATAACATCTGTAGGAGTACGATATCGAGGGGGTTCGGTGGGTGTTGGACCAGTCCCAGCAGCCGCGGCCGCCCGAGTTGCTCCGCCATTCTGAGTTCGGCTCGATACAGCAGCGGTACCGGGCGCAGTGCCCCTTACCAAATCTGACATTCGAGCCTCTTCTTCGAGTGTATCGGCAGTTAATGGCTGCGCATGAACACCATCCCCTCTTCTGATGGCCTCCAAGGCGAAGAGGATAGCGTCGTGGGTATGTCGAGAGATGTGGAGGGTCCTCCGAGGCTGATAAAAGTCGTCTGAGACCAGTCGCTGGAAAAAGCTAGGGGTGGTAGAGCCGGACTCGTCAAATTGGACTGGCGGTGTCACAGAGAGGGGTTGAGACCTTCTCGCACGCAGAGGAGACCTTGTTGTCGCCCGTCGCTCTTGTAGTCTTGGGGTTCTCCGTAGCGATCGAGCACCGCCGGACTGCGAGGATTGAGGACGCCTCTGCGAGATTGGAGTGGTTATTTGTTGCTGGCGTTGGGGTATGGGATCTCGTTCCGGGTCGTAGTACTCGTAAAGGTCGTCAAGAGCGGGTTGATGGGGGAGCGACACTTCGACTGCTGGCTGCTGGGGGACGAGGGAGGGATCCTGGGACAATTTGGGGACTGCGCCTGAAGCGCAACGGTGACGGAGTTGGTAGTAAAAGCTCGGAGGGTGGTAGGGAAAGGACTAAACAGGGTTGGAGCCAAACGAGATGTGAGAGGGACTGAACAGTAACAGTAACGGAGGCATTGACGTGGTGAGGTGGAAGAAGTGCGCGTGGTTGTGCTGGTGGCTGGTCACTTAAAATCATGGAGGTTGGGCCTTCAGCTTCCAGTGTAGAGTCGCGTGTCCACAAGTGCGGCGAAGTCGCGCCTTGGAATCGGTGAGTGAGCTGAGACAATTTACTACTCGATATAGACATCAAAGGTATTCTTCCCTTCAAGCAGCGAATTTTGTTCGACTGTGTGGTGTTGAAGCTCGGCCGATCACCAGGCGGTGGCTGCGGCGAACTCTCTGGGCGCAGCTATGAGCGCAGTCAGTCAAACCTCAGCTCCCAACTTTGCATGAGTGACCCTCTTGGAGCCTTTGTGGTATTCTGAGTTGATGCTGATATTGACCTGTCCCGTAGCGAGTATTCAGATTTGGAACTGGCGGGTCGCAAGACATCAACTGCAGACTGCGGGAGGACAAACGGCGGACTGCGGATCGCTACCGGCGGTCCAAGACCAGATGCCTGGATTGGATACTTGAAGGGCTGCCTGGAACAATCCTCGACAACGTGTTTGCCATGATCTCCTATTTTTCCTTGCTCGGGCACCCAACGGTTGTGTGAAACTCGGTATGAGTGAGGCCGTGGTGCGATATTAGAGAGGCTGGGCGCAAGCTCACAAAAGCGTCGAGCCCAGATGTGGAGCGATGAGCTGGCAGCATCGTCATCCCAACGCCGCGATCTACGGCCACCGCCGTCTGCTCCTTCAACCCCTGGTCCCGCGAGCCACAGTTTCAGCTGCGTCGTCACCGCCCGAGCGCCCTCATAGCCGGCCGCCCATCTTTCGACAGCCTTCGTCGAGTCTCAAGAAGCAAGTTCTGCAGGGGACAAGAGATTAAGATCAAGAGCTTGGAGAACAATGCTGGACGGGTTGGAAGACCTCGTTTCTGCCCCACCATCCTTACTCAGGAGTCATCCAGGAACCAGGGACAAAGATGCTGCTCGACTTGTCCACCACCTCTTTCAGAAGCGGATTGGCTCAACGTCCCTTCGCCCTGAGCGAATCACCGCACCTACAGACGAGAGGCTTGCAAGCCTCCCTGCGTGATCCGTACCTTTTCTTGCCGTGCCCGGGCAGAAGCGAAAGCCTAGTTGCCATGAGACCAGCTTCCCGGATATCTGTCGCCACCACTGAGGCTGAGTGCCTACTCTTTCTCTGCTGACCATCACCTTGCTTGTTGGGCAAGCCTCGCTTCCATGATCAATGACCTTGGACTCCCAAATTGTGTGCATGGGGCGCGGGGTGTACGGCTGTCGTTCGCTTATCTCTTGTTTGGATGCAGGGTCTATTTCTTGTCAACCTTGACTGCCTGCGAATGTCAATGACAGGGTCACTTTTCTCGGTTTAAGCTATTTCTGCAACACACCACTACCCTGGTGAGATTGAGGTGTCTTGCGCGAGGGTGTGCTGCTACTTCCCCCAAGCAAAGCAGAATGGAATTTCTGTCCTTCACAAGATTGGTCATATTGGTTGGGGCGTCGTCATTGATTGATCTCCAACCACTGTGTTTGCTGTTGGTAAACAGCAAATTCGCATTCTGTCTCGTGGTCCCAGGGCCCGGCCAAGGAGTTTGGAATCCTGCTGAAAAGCAAACTGTACCTTGGTTTCCAACTCCTGTGAACGCGTCCAAACTCACATATTCAGCCAGAAGGCCGTTGCTGTCCAGCCAAGAGAATGTCGCTGGTGGAGTTCCCATCGCACCCAAGTGTGCGGAAAGGTATGCGTGCCTAGACTGGTGAGGCTGTCACCCCTTGAGCCAACCTGGCCCCTCTCTTTCACCGTGCTCAATCTCCAATATTGATGGCGCAAACATTGACGTTCAGGGTCGTTAAGCGTATCATTCTGAGGCGCCTTGCCTCAAAAGAGAAGCAGACTGTATCGAAATGATATGGTCCTGTGCCCTCCTGCAAAACCGAGATGTGCCCCTTCTTCACCCTGCAGCAGCTATTCATGACCACAAAGCGATTTACCCTCCTAGACCACATGAACAGAGCTTTGGCCAAGAACTCGGACGGATTTTACCTGAAAGCCAATTCGCTTTTACTGCTCCAGGCCCATACTTCCGCTTCCAGCTCGACCCCGCTGTGCCTGTGATCGATGCAGGGTCACAATCTGTGCTGCTGATGGTCTGGCTATGCTTTGGCGCGGCATATTGCGAAAGAAAGACCGGCTTTCCTGACACCCACGTCGAGGCCCCCATCTTGTTATTCAGACTGCCTGTGCCTAAATCCCGCGAGGCCAGAATCTCCACGGGTTGCATGGTATCTAAGAGCCTGCAAGACCCAGGTTTGCTTCTCCTTCAAACTGCAGCTTGAGCCTACTTCCAGTCAGCCAGGATCTTCTTCTGAGGAATCTCCTCAGCACGTGGAACTGTCAGTATAAATTGATAAATTCGCCCACTCATTCCAATCCGAATCTTTCGTCGAGACAGAAGCTCCGGCCAGATTTCCTTTGTCACAAGAGGAAGTCGAATGGTTGAACTGTTTGTACCCTCTCTGTGAAAGCGTGGATCTTCAAGAGGAATGCTCTACACCTACCACATATGCCACACGAATTCTGGAACATGCCTCAACCATTGGGAAAGGGAGAACCTCATACCAATCCACATTACAAGTGTGGAAAGGATGCCTCTCATCCACGGCCTTCCTGCTCGGATCCTGGTTCCTTCCATGGACTTCTCCCACACCGTGTACCATCTGCGTCACTATATTCTGGGGAGATGCTGATGCAGCAGGCCTCGAATTTCTTTCAGCCATCCCTTATTTATGCAGACGCAATCGACGAAGAAATTCACTTCATGATCGAGCCTGAACGCCGCTCCGCTCCCTCGCCAATAGAATATGGTGATTGGCTCTTTGAACAGTCTCGTCTTCACCCCCCAGCACTGCTTCCACCGGCACCACAATTAGTTCGGCCCCCATCAAACACATGCAAGGTCGAATGTCGATTATTATCACCAGAGCCATCGGCTTTGTATCAGGAAATGAATACAAACTCGACCTCGACGGCGAAGAATGAATTGCTGGAGCAGTTGACTGCGCAAGTTGGAGATATCTCAATAGAACCCGAGGGTCTGTCCACGGTTCCAACAAGTCCAATCACCCTAGTTCCGTCTCTGACGAATTCGCGTCATTCTCGCTCATCCTTTTCCATATCTGAAGGTTCCCCTTGCACAGCTGCCGGTTCTCCCAAGAACTACTTTGAAAGTTTTCTGCCGCACAATTCTCACGGTGCTGTGGCATCTCCTAAGATGACATATGAGGCCAGCGTCGGTTCTGGCATCTACAGCATCAACCCGCCGCCGCAATCAAATCCTCGCCTGTTCCAGGATGGCCAGCTTTGTTGGACACCTCAGCCCACGAATCTCTCGAGTGGCTCCAAATACCCACCAGCGCAGCATTTGCCAAATTCAGACGATAGTACTACCACGACCCAGTTGCCTCAAGGTTTTGAAGGACATAAAGAAGTGTCTTACATTGATTGGGACGACGAGGACGACCGCAGACGCCACTATTCACCGCTCTTGCGGATTAAGAAAAGTTTTACTGATCTTCGTGCCGCCGAACGCTTCATCGCGGACGCCAATGCCCGCATGAGAATCAATTTGAGTCAACGCAAAGAGGCCAAATGGGACGTTCCCAACGCGCAACGCCATGAAGCATATGACGCATACCAGATATCTGGACGCCATCGGCAACCCACCCACAGTGCTCAAAGTACGCCCTTGCCGGTGAGGGAAGAGAACAGTCTGACCCGGTTTTCGTCCAAGCTGCGGAAAAGGCCCAACGCCAATTTCCGCTCCCACGGTCAACCCAGAGTAACAGCTCTGGTGGGGATGTCACAACAGAGAGCTGACAAAGGGATTGAAAGCACACGGTCGGATGGTATTTTGTCAGCGCCGCCACGAGACACCGCTATACCTCCAACACCACCTTCGACGGGGAAGAGGAAACGCGCCAATACCATGACATCCGAGCGGTCGAGGGAAGTGCAGAAGAAGAAGGTCAAGCTTGGTGTTGTCGGGAAGCTGGTGACGCGACTTCTCGTGTCCAAGAGAGAGCGTTGACGGAGTATTTTGTCTTTAATATTCAACCGAACAGAGACGCTGGCAGTAGGGATGGGGTCAACGCTGTAGTCCAACGGCGTCTTTGGGATACCGGCAGGAAATCTTTCGGTTCTATATGTCCCAAAAGTGACGGATGAGGCTTTCGAATTGGTGTTTGGCATTCCGAGCATTTGGAGCAGGTTGCATGGGTGAGGCTTGGTGAGGAACGAGAGGTTCGTCTTGCTCGTGGAACGGACTCTTGAAAGCACCCGGCATTCTACATGATGTGTGAACGATTACGGCTGAATGACGGGGTAAAGACCTAGAGATCCTTCTGAGGGATACGATATGGGGCATGATAACTAGAGTGATTGACTGATTTGGGGATGGTCCTCGACACACCGGCATGATATGCGAGAGCAAGGGCGAATAAAGTAGCGTGGTCGACAAACGCGAAGACGCTTCAGAGCTCAAAGTCGAGATGTGGACAACTACAATGACTTGATTTTGATTCCCAAGCCCCAGCTCTCTTGCATATCCCGAAAGCTTCGCAATTGCAGTATCAGTGCTGAAAGATCCTACCAAGAACAGCCGCAAACAGGCCACTGGTCGATACACCAATCTAACATTTCGTATCCGATGTCTTACCTCTGGGGTTCGTCCATCTCCGGCCTTCGTGGCTATGACGGGCAGCGGCCGGACCAGGACCCGCGAGACGGTGTGTTCGCGCACTCTTGCATTCTCGTCCCCGTCGTCGTCATTTTTGCCAGTCGTGCATCTCGATCTTCCGCAACCCCTTGCTGCAGAACCCAGTCACGCGCGCTCCGCAGGGCACTTGAGAACATGTCGAAGGCCCAAGTCTGAACTCGCGAGGTCAGGGCTTTCATTCCAGGCCCTGAGGAACGGAGGGGTCAATATCGAGAGCCACGCTCAAGACGTTGGCTCGTGCGCCGCCGAGTCTCCTTGCTTGGGTTTGTCTGTTTCTTTCTGGACCAGTGTTTCCCCGGACCTCGCCCTTGACTCGGCAACGTCTCCAAAACCAGTCAACGGTTCTCTGGTGCTCGTCCCCCCTACCGCGATCGCTGAGTCCGCTATGCGGTCCCTTCTCGGGCGACCGATGCGAAAAGAGAGAAGCGTGTATGCACGTGGGCCGTTGACCTTGAGTGCGCGGACGCATCCGTGCGTGCCAGCAGCTCAGAGCCTAGACGTCGTTCTCGTCGTGTTTCTCCGAGGCATTTGGGTTCTGCAGGAAAGGTGTTTTTCTCCTGATCCGTGCAGGCGCAGCAGAGGCAGCGGTGTGAGCAGAGCACGAGACCGAGCGGATATAGCAAGTCTAGAGGACCCAGATCAGGAGAGGAGGCGCTTGGCTTCGGAGGAGGGCAAAGGGTCAACCTGGAAAGGATAGATTTCGGTTGTCTGAGCGCTCACACAGAGAGAGACGAGAATGCTCATGAGGCGAGGACATATTGAAGGAATGATCAAAGGGCCGTCTCCACAAGATAGTCCAATCCTTTCCCGCTTCCTTTTCGCCCTTTCTGCTGCTTCCCGGTCCACTCAGAGCGCATCTCAAGGCCCTATCTTCGAGGGATGACCTGTGGCGGAGGCTTGCGGCGGACTAATACCTACAGGAACGACCTTTCTGATTGAGAAAGCGGATGCAGGCTCAGCGTACTGCTCAGCAAGCAGATCCGGCCAAATCATACAAGACGTGAATATGAATCCGAAGGCACAGCATCCCTCAACACAGAGCGGAGGTAATAACCCACCCAACGGTAATTTCGAGGATCAAGATAGGAAGAAGGATTGCGGCAAGAGAGTGAGCGTATTGGGGAGCCTATCGCATACATGTCTATCTGTGATGCCCTCCTTTCGCCCGTTCAAGTTGGCCCAGGAAGCAACTGTCCATGCAAGATCGACACAGGTGACCCAGACTAGTGAGAGAGCCGTTCAGGTAGCAGTAATTAGGCAGCAGTTCTCCCGCGATGGGATACAGATGGCGGATCTTCCCCTTATTCTGTGCCCTTTCCAAAGTGGGTGGCAAGTATACTATGTATGTGTGCGGCTTGTAGGGGACAAATGCAACGTAGCAGAAAGGGGCTGCGTACCGAGCACCGAGTACTCCGTACACGTAGTCCACACCAGTGATTGAAACGTTGGCCAGCCATCTTTTGTCCATCTCTTTTGGCTGATGGTGAGGAGTGTCTTTTCCAAGATTTGACAGAGCCAGGGAATCTGAAGTCAGGGGGGCCTCCTTGGGTGCAGGATCATCAAACCGTTTGGAATTCTCTTGCGCCGTGCCGCTAGCTTAGCAAAGCTTGGGAAACTTATTACGAGAAGGTTTACGAGTAGCCCCCAAAGAAAAGGGCTTCTCAAGCGCCCGACAAACTGTGATTTTGCAGCGGTCAATTTACATTCGCCCTAGGGTAGGTTGTGGTCGATGTGGATAGCTCTATTAGCAGGGTGAGAGCGGCAGCAAGAACTTGGGACATACTCGTAATATAATTGCTTCCTGCGGATCTCCATTCGGCTTTCCCCCATCGAGACCATCCACGGCAAGTCCAGTCCTCGAGTAGTCGACGATAAGAAAGCGAAATGAAGTCGACTCGGGTCCTCGTACGAGCAGAGAACCAGACTGGCACGAAGCAGCCCCGGCGTTGTGCGATGGTGGGACAAGGCAGAGAGCTATCGCACACCAGTCAAAGATGGCTCTTGTTTAGCATGCTGTTCGCCCGTGGTCGGCCAACGTCTAAGCAGCAGGCAAGCTCTGGTGGACCGTTGAGCCAGTGCCATGGTTCATGGTCCAGTGCCTGGTCCAGTGCCTGGGAAGAAAAATAAGGCGACGCAAAATCCGGGGATGGCATCTTGGCCCCCCGCGCAATTTCACCAGGCAATGCTTGCTGCTGGCTCGCTTGCTAGATTCTGAGAAAAACCTGGCACGATGGGTCGAGACAGTTGCGGTTTCAAAGCGACGAGCTTCTCGTAGTTCCAACGTGTCGTCGCAAAGTGTGCGCGGGCCGAGACGTGATTGCGCATGATTCCCTCAGTCGCCAGACAAGATGATTGAATGCTCCAGTCGGGCTTGTTTGGGCTCGAGGCTACTGGCGCTTGGTCTCCGGCCTGTTGGGCCAGTAACAGCATGTCAATCCCCGATGATCTTCAGCGAGAGAATCCACAATTACACACTAAACAGTCCCAAAGAGGAGGATCGTCCTTTTCGCCGGACGAAGGGTGCTTGCTGGCATCAGATTCCAGTCTCACTCCATGCTGCAGCACTCAAAACGAGGGCGAGGGTGCCAGATTGCTACTCCCAGAGAACAGCCAGTCCAAGTGTTTGACGAGCGTTGCAGTGGGAAAAGCCAACTTCGGTTGGTATAACCGAATAGAGCCCTATCCGGGTGTCGGGGGAGGAGGAGGCTTAAGCGAAATAACTCTGGACCCGAGTCCCGGTCGCTATCGCCGCCGGCGTGGGACGAGGAGATGGACAGTCCGAGTCACACGAGTGTGTGGAATGTCGCGCAAGGAGCACGCTGTATTATTGCTATGTACTGGAAGCCATTAAAATGCCAATTCAGTTGCAGGTCAAGGGTCAGCCGTCGAAATGATGCCGCATAACGTTTCACAAGATCCAATATATGCTCGGGGTCTCCTGTAGTGCCACCCCCATTGATGTCGTGTGCCTCGCTGCTGAAAATCTCAGTCGCGGAAAAGCCCCATCCACGCATCATTTTCCCGGCGCCAACGCTATGCCCCTGGCCCAAATGTCAAATGGGTATCAGATAAATGAAGCCTCAGGGGTCTCAGTGGCTTGGGTAGGTCACGTTGCCACCGATATCCTCCAACCACGCAATGCTGTTGAACTCGGTGTAGATGGTGCTGATCTGCCACGTATCCTTTTGGCCTTGGCTGTTGGATGCTTTCAAGACCGTGATGCCCTTGACGGGCTGAGGTTGGAGACCACCGATCCATCGCAGGGAGATGGTGTCGCAGTTGAAAGCCTCAATGGCAAGGAGCTGGAACGGGACTGGGGGCTGAGAGCCCTGGCCGGCCATGAAGGCTGCCTTGCTTGGGAAGGTCGCGGTGCCCACTGGTTGGCCGATGAGGGAGTTGATCGAGTCAGAATAGTCGGTCAGATTGTCCGCCAGGATCTTCTCGGCGTCGGCGTCGGTGTAGGCTGAGATAAGTTTGCCAAACCCATCAACAAGGCTCTCAACAGTGGCCTGGGTCAAGCACTTGGTCGGGTCGTACTTCCCTCCCCAGAGGCCGCCCATAGTCCATGGAGAAGCATAGGCTGAGGAGATGAGGGCGGCGGCGGCAGCGATGGTGAATGAACGCATGGTGATGGATTACGTAGGCCTTTGTGAGAGAAAAGAATGTAATTGGGTTGGGTCTGCAACGAGCGAGGAGCAAATTGCTGAGAAGGAGGTAACGAATGATGGTTCTGCGGAACTGGGTGACAGGCTGGGTCCAGAGGAGGGAGAAGCGATTGTTATATAGAAATTGATGCCATTGACCAGCCCGGAAAAAGGTTGGTACGGAGAGAGCCTGGACTAGGTCAGGGACTGGCCGGCAAGCCAGCCATGTCGTTTGAGATCCTGCATCGCCCTCGCACTCAGCCTCGAGCGAGCAGACGCAACCGTCACCACCTCCAGCTCCAGCTCCAGCTCCAACTCTGGCAACCGAAAGGCCCCAAACCTTGGGAGCGACCGTCGCAGCTGGCCCACCTCCCGCCACAAGGTCCAGGTGCTGGATCAACTGGGGTGATGGGACCAAGACGCACGCCGCTTCTCTCGGTGGGGACCAGCCTATCTCGCAACCTTAGCTCGCAGACGACCGACGGCGACCAGGTGACTGCAATCTTCGTGTCGTGGATAGCGCCAAGATCAACATGTTCCCCTGCAGTAGAACCGATAATGGATGGGGATTTGAGGATTTAGGTTTGTCGATAGCGCCTCCTCTTCGTTTATCTCAGCCACTGATGTTTGAGGCTAGCAGAGGCGTCAGCCCATTTCCAGGATAGTCGAGGTATTTTTGGGCTAGACCAACCTCGCCCCAGCCTTGGATCAAGAGCCCGTCGCTGAGAAGCTTAGCCTTTTCCCTCAGCCACTCATCGACTGCCCAGATGCTCACGGAATCCAGGCTGGCATGGTCTGGATCAAACGGCCATGGTTTGAGCCATGGTTCATGCGCCAGGCAGGGCCGAACTGGGTCCCCGCAAGACGTCGTCGCCTGGGGGTACTGGATTCGGTAATCGCCATGAGGGCTTTCATTCTGGACCCATTATTGATCTCCCCCAAGGACTGGTCAAGGTTCCCCAGCCAGGTCGATTAATTTCTCTGGGCAGTCTGGAGTGGTCACGAGTGCCAGAGCAGAGACACCGCAGATCAATATGCGACGCAATCGAGCTGTCAGTCCTGGTCCAGAATAGAACACGGGACCTGTCCTGTTTCTGCTTCAGGAAAGCATACTATGTGGCCAAGCGCTGACACGATGTCATCTGTCATTAATCCTTCAGCGCGTGCTCGAGTTACAGTAGGATTTGTCTGTGTCATAGGTTTGCATCCAGGTCCTGCTTCTCCCGAGCCCAAGAAGCACACTCGACCATCACCCTATGCTGTCTCTCCGCGGAGTGCTAATGTCGGTGATGGTGACCGACTCGGGGCGATGCGCGTCGACCTCGCTCTGGATTTGTGTTGTGCCATAGGGCAGGCCTGCGCCACTCCTCAACGAATTCTTGCCTTTGATGAGCTGCATGAGCATGAAGTTTAAAGCACATTTAATGCCTTGCTGCTCGCCCCGCTTGATGATGTAGCCGTTGATGTAGTCGATTTCTGGTTTCTTGCCATGGCGGATATCCTCCCGCATGCTGCTCGAATTCTGCGCCGTCCGCTTGGTCACGCCCACGAACAGCTGCTCAAGTCGCCTGGAAGAGAACCGGTGCTGAACATTGGGGATGCCTTCCAGTTCAGGTAGACCTCGGATGACCAGAGATATCTCAGCAAGGAGCAGCCTCTGGACGGGTAGTAGCTCCTCATTATTCAGCAGTGCCCCGTTGGGAACATCGAGGAGGGCAGTGAGAGGGTTCAAGATGCAATTGGAAGACAGCTTTTCGAGCTGCAGTTGCAGTAGGTCCAAGTATGGGAACGCCGCGCATGCCAGCACTGGCGATCTAGTCAAGGTGCGGAGAAGATACCGCGAAGATAGGTTTGCAAAAAGTTCTTTGTCGGTAGGGTGATGCTTCTTCCTCTCTTCCTCCGACAACTCCCACAAATGCTGAACTGGTGCCTTTGGAGGGAGCGGGAAACGATCGGTATCTCGACATATGCCCAGAGCTATTGTACCATATCCAGCATGCACGACTGTACAAGGCTGCGACATGTACGCGCCATGAGAAACAATTCCCAGCATATACGTCGGGCGCGTCTGAGGATCGGTAAAGACCTCTTGATTGAGTTCATCTATCTGGCCGAGCCCATTCTGCATAAAGCATATGGTTGTCTTTGCGTTGACACGGTGTTTGATAGAGCGGAGGGCAGCAACAGTTGTAGGACCCTTGACGGCAACTACCAAGGTGTAGATGTAGAGCTCGCCGGACGGCATCTGCTCTCCTTCCTCGAGAGGATTGGTCTGTGGTCGATTCAAAGGCTTGTCCGGAATGAAGTCCCATCGCGCCTTGCCGTCCTCTGTATATCCGCTGAACAGGTCAACATCGTACCCAGTCTGCTCATCGTTGATCTCGTTTTGTTTGTTTATCAAGTTGATAGTACGGCCACCTCTTTTGAATACTTCATACTGCTCTTGCCGGTGGATCATTAAGGTGATCGGAGGAGGATTGGGTAAACATCTCAAAGAATGGGCGACCAAAGTTCCGATACTCCCGAGCCCGAGGATGTGTACACGTCTTGTAAGCAGCTGTTCATTATCTGTGTTGAGTAGTGCTGATTCTTCCAGTGGTTTGGACTCGAATGTGGGAGAGTCTCCAGAGGGCTCAGGCGAAGGCGGATCTCTCCACCAAGAGAGAGCTTCAGTCATGGTTCCGAACCTGCGAGGCGGTTGTCTAAGACAAAAGGTGCTCTGCGTCCACAAGCCTGAGCTCAGAGCCTTTGGCCATCTGCGAACTGCCCGAGAGAGTGGGCGAAGAAGGAGTCGTTGCGACAGCTTGAAGGTTGGTTTGGGGTTCACCAAAGAATGAGATTGGGGTAGGCGGGCAGATTGCGCAACTCTACCTCGCGGGATATGCTCTATCAAGTTCAAGACACCGTAACCATCCTGATAAGGCCACTGGACATCGATCCGTCTGGTGAGAAGAGAGATAAGGAACCGTGATGCGAGTGATGGCAGAGGAACTAAGCTGGTCGAGTGCGTCGCAGTCGGAGAATGCGAACAGACGCGCAGGTTTGATGCGGGGAAGAATATCAATTTCCTACTCCAATTCACGGTCGACTGCGACATTTTTCTCTAAGTTCACGGAGCATTGCCCTGCCAGCCACACTTTCCCCTGCACCATCGCGACAAGATGGACACCAAGGCTGTGGTACAACTCGTTGACGAGTTACAGGAGAATCTGGAGGACCTTGAAGATAACCTCGAACCAGTCCTTAGCGGCGCTCTTTCCGCCACCACGAAAAAGCTGCCCTTGCTCGACCGCGCAAAACTCAATGTCCTCCTTGTCTACTCGATCGAGTCCTTGATTTTCTCCTACCTCAGGCTGCATGGTGTCCAAGCGAAAGAGCATGCTGTCTTCAAAGAGTTGACAAGAGTCAAGCAGTATTTTGAGAAGATCAAGCAAAGCGAAGCCACACAGCAGAGTTCTCGGCCAACTCTCTCGCTGGACAAAGATGCTGCCGGAAGATTCATCAAGCATGCTCTGGTATGTTGCTCTGAGAAACACGCGCTCTCAGCGAAATGCTAAAACGCTCTAGGCGGGGAATGAAAAATACGATCTACAACGCGCCGAGCGCGAGGCACGAGAGAGAGTCCTCGCAAATAAAAGGCTAAAGGATCTCGAGGCTGCTATGAAGGCAAAAGCCGAGGCAAATGCGAGCGCAGGCGAACCATCCGATGCCACTGATGTACTAGAGCAAGTTGCTCAACTAGTCGCAGTCCCATTGAAAGATACGCCCTCTTCGGAGGCCCTGGCTGACAGCGACTCTGATGGCGACGACAACAGCACAGATCCAACGGAACAGCCACAGCCGCAGGAGGGCAAAAAGCGGAAAAATAGATCCAGAAGCAAGCCACAGAGGACAAAAAGAAAGAGAGAAACCGATGTCCAGGATCGAGGGAATGAGGATCAAGCGCAGCCGGCCGCAGGAAACAAGATGTCCAAGAAGGCAACAAAGAAGACGAAACGAACTTAGAATGCTGCTTCTACAACAGGCTGACCGTATTCGTTGGCAGCCGCGGCACTTTCACCGGGATATGATCCTACCGCAGATGGCCTGGTAGAAAACATCGCTGCGTGTCCCATTCCCTCATAGCCTTTTACTCGTCGAATATTTTGATCGACAAGGCATTCCATCAAGAATGCAGACTCTATCCCGAAAGGCGGATTTGCATGATACCCATCGACACTGCCGGAGAGAGCACGGGACGATGTTGGAAGGCGCTTCATGGTCGAGCCGATGGGAGGTTTCCACTCCAGCCGGAATATGCTGAGGTAGTTATTCCATACAGCGGCTTATTCAGTTCGCGGCTATAATCATCGGAACCGTTGTGCTGCCACCCAAGGGAACATCTATCCAAGGATGAATCCTGCACGTCAGATATTCGCTGTGCCTATCGTTGAGGTGAGCTTCATACAAATTTATTTCACTATGAAATTATCACTTACTTACCAAGCGACGATAGCACAGAACACACCCACATTCCGTTGAAGGAGTTGTTTGTGACAGCACGAGCCAGAATTATACCATTTGCGGTTCGGTTCGGTTGGTCTCTTATGTGACTTGACACATTTGCTCTAATCAACAAATGTTCAAGCCCATTCCAGACTTTGCCTATCGATACTTCGTTACGCCTTTCTGATGTTGTACGACACAGGCCTGCTGAAATGGATACTCGACCCAAACTTTCTCTCTTTCGGGTTCTTGATCTTCTCTGACTGGGTTGCACTAAATGCTCGTGCTTTTGCTTGGGCACGGTCCAACTTGCCGGGCTCATGTGGCATTTGAAAACTGGCTAGCAATAATTGCGAAAAAAGTTTGGAAAGACGTGACTCAACCCTGGAACACCGTCAACCACATGTGTTCAGCTGACCAGGCGTTGCTGCTGACCCTTGCGTTGTTCCGCTCAAACAGGTCACCTTCCTGGAGGTCTGCTGGTATCGTGGTTGTCAGTGCGTGGATGAAACGTCGGGCTGCGGTTTCCGAGGATCTTGATCATGCAGGTTTCGAGGCTGATAATGATAATGGTTCAAATATTGACTCGGGACAAGTGTGAACATTCCTATAAACAGTGGTATGTCGAGGGGTCAACCCACTGGGACACTTTCGGTGAGAAAAGCTCAAATCCGAAGCTCGTCCACAATCCGCTTGTATTTTCTCATCTGACGCGACGCTTGGACCCTCCTTTACCACCACCACTGCCCATATTCACGGACCCCAGCGAGGCTCGAGATATATCTTCTGACTACGGAGTACATCTAGTTGGATGTAAGTTTCGCCAGCCACCGAACCTTATATCGACTAGCACCAGCCCCTCGTCAATCAGATGATCGTCTCTTGATGATCGACCCTCCGCCAGCCCAGCCCAGTCGATATATGCTTTACATGGCAGACCATATTACCGTGCGATCGTTGCGATTGGTTGACGAGGCTGCGCATAGACAAAGTACGCTATATCCTGCAGGGGGAAAATGTTGAGCCGGAAGGATATACCTCGTGAATATAAGAACCAGAGGATGTGCGCTGACAAGGGTTCCGGAAACCCTCTTCAACGATTGCCTTCTGGTCGTTGGCTCCAGCACACAGCTTGTTGTTATACAAAACGATGCTCAACTTGGTCCTTCGTCTGGTCGCTGTCGCGGCCTGTGCGTTGGGGGTTGCCATATGTGCCTATATCAGCGAAGAGATCCTGAAGGATGAACCTTGCGCTATATGTATCGACCCGGCCACGCAGAGATGTGACACCACGAGGGCACCCAAAATGGCCATGTCAGAACGGGAGGTGGTGGAAGTCGGTGCATGTTCGCTCGCCTGCCACAACCTGGACTGGGGGAAGATGCTTCCCCTTCTGGACACTTCAGCATTCCGCACCCGCTTCATCAGCCTCTTCAGAAAGTCTTTGGGCACCATTGTCGACCGTTCCCTGCACGTGCGGTTCACCAGAGAGTCTCCTTCGCCTGCTACGATGACTGAATTGTAAGTCGCCGTAGAGGAACGATGTGAAGGCCACGAAAGCATTGAGCCATGGGCCCGTGTCAGAGATCAAATCCTGATGCTTGAGCCGGGACGATATGGAAGGCCACCTGCTCTCGAGCATCTCCACCCGAGAGGGAGACATTTGATCTCGAGTCCTTATCGGCGTTTCCGACCATATATATATCATGCCCGGGGTTCAAGAAGCCATTAACCACGCTTCCGCCACTCACTATCGTCTTACAAGGGAAACGAACGAAAACCGTGTCCGGCCACCGTCCGTGCCGGTCCTGAAATTGACGTCATTCGCTATCATATCAAGATGGAGGTCTGGGGCCGCTGTTGCCTTCATTCCTGTTCCCCGTCCGACCGAGAGGATATGGACCAGGCTAAGGCCAGGAAAGCGGAGAGTCAGGAGCTCACACAAATTTCACAGGATGTCCTGAGTGTTTGCACGTCGGATCCGAAAGGCGGAGGAAGTTGAAGGAGAGAAACCCATCAATTGGCTGGTCTCCTCTCCTCATGCTCAGCCTCGCCGGCATACGAGTATATTTGGACGCAAACCAATAGTCCGGAAGATGCTGGAAACCATAGTCGACTGAAAGGAAAGAGTGGCATGTTTTTTTGCCTTAGCTGTTGGGGATATACCCACCCTCATTGAATTGCCATACCACATTAGAGTCATCCATTTGTTCGTTGAGTTCCATTCCCGCGTGCCACTTGCTCGCTTACATGGATCCAACCTCTCACAGAACATTGCCAGGCCGTAAAAGGGATAATTATCTTCGTTGAAGCCTTTGAAGAAAAGTTCGACTCAGTTGTTAAAACACCACAAGAGGCCGCTTGCTTGCTAACCGCTCAATCACCAAAACGCAAATATAGGGTAGAAATTATGTACACCGGACAAGATGAAAGACCATAGTCCAAAATCCATCACGGCTTTTCGCCCGTCCATAGTCCGACATTCCGGCCGTCCAATAACACACTTGAACAACTTCTATGAAGGCATCAGTTTTCTGCTCTGCATAATTGCTGTGCCATGGTAGCTTAAGACATTAAAACTCTCTCGGGCTTCAAGATCAATCGTCGCCCACAAAAACCGGCATCCATTCCTGTCCCGGGTACGCCGTGGCACTCATTGGGATCTCTTCTTCCGATTCATACCCCTCTGCTTTTGATCCTGGTAATTCTGCAATTATGCCGGGCGTGTTCTTGTCTCTCGCACTGGAACGACGGGCTTCTCGTGGGGATGTGGGAACATGGGATCCCTCTAGAACGGAAACATTGCGTTCTAGCCCCTGGCCTGTGCTGGTGTTCATATGCTCAGCATGGCTGCCGGATTCGACACTGACAGGCGTCTCACTCCTTGCTGTTCCACCCTCAATCCGCTCCCGCAGGAGCTGCTTCTTGCGCCGCTCGTTTCCTTCGTCTTCGAGCCCCGGCACCGTGATTGCAAAGGGCCGTTCTTGATCATCGTCCGGGCGCGCGATGCCACCCACAGGGCTGATCTTCTTGGAACTGAATGTACCCAGCATGTTGTTAACGCCAATGTTCGGAGTGCCTCGTTCTTGGTTGGAGTCTAGGTCATCAGAGGCCGGACGTCCAAGTCGCGGTGAGCGTGATCGTTTGTGGAGGTCGATGACATGGGTACGAGCTTCCTGTTGAGTTGAACCTGTAGGCTGTCCAGGAGAAGCAGAGGTTGGTCCGGCCGTGTTTGTCATCCCAGGGCTTGGATTTGGATTATACGGAGCCGAAGCGAATGACAACGGACGCGAATAGCCTTGTGCTGGGGCAGTAGCAGGGGCGTAATATTGGTTACGGTTTCCGCTACTTGTATCAATGCGAAGATCGGAGGGCCGACTTTGGTTTGGATTCATGTAGGGATACGCAGTGGATGGATATGATCCCACTGCTTGCTGCTGACCTGGCGGAGGCGACTGAGCAATTTGTCCCGGGTATGGATATCTGGTGGGTTCAGACTGGTGTTGATATGGAGAGGGCGCCTTTGGATACTGAGATGGTTGAGATTGAGATGGAACCAATGGGTATGTAGACTGAGGGTATTGTGACTGTCCGGGCCCTTGGTGGAAGTAGCCCCCGGGTCCAGCGGGATACTGGCCATAAGGAGTCTGTGCAGAATATGGATCTGGAGACATAACCCGCTGGCTCTGCGCGGAGTAGGGGTCGGGGGAAATAACACGTTGGGTAGTTATGGGCTGCCCTTGGGTCGTCCGTGAAGGAGGAGTGGGTGCCGTTGCGGCCCGTGTGTTGTTGCTGCTGCTCTTGAATAGGTTGCCTCCAAATCCTGAGAACCTCTTCTTCTTACCCTCTGGAACCCTCTCCCCGGTTTCTGGTGTAGGAGCTCGCAGGACATCCTTAGACTGCCGCCTTGCAGAGTGGGACTGAATATTCGACGATGGAAGTTGTCCGAGGTGGTCCTGGCGGCCGTGTTGGCCGCTATGTTCTGATGACATACTGTCATTCCGGCGCAGGAAGCTACCACGCTTCTCCTTGTGTATTATTTCTGTATTGTCGATTGGACTCCCGACTCTCCCTTGTTTGTGGAGCCTCGAACGCGACTGGGAGCCGACACCGAAGAGCTTTCCAAGCATACTCTTCTTTCGCTCTGTTTGTGGGCCAGGGAATGCTGGTTGTGAAGATTCTGGTTGCACAGCTGGAGCGGGGGATGCATTCATTGACTGACGATGATGCTGCAAAGACTGAGCAGCAGGATGGGTCGGGATGTTTCCAGACTTAGTATCATATTCAATGTGAGCAGCAGGGCCAGGTTTGTAAGAAGGCTGCTCCTGGTAACTCCGGCGATTTGGTCCTTCCACTGAGACGTTTGAGGCCGGTCCGGGATGAGGCTGGGGAGGAATCTGACTGGGATATTGCTGAGATCGGAGCGCACTGGGCAGTGGCTTCCCGCTCGCGAGTACTTGAACATTGCTTCGACCGTTCCTGGGCGCGGAGATTTGTTTTGGTGATCGATATTCCTGCACGTACGGGCCAGGGATACGATATTCCTCTTCCATCGACGGCTGGTGTTGTTGCATGATGGCAACCTGTTGCTGTTCTTTTTGCTGGCGCAGACGATCAAGCTCTTCTTGAGGCCGTCTGGCACTAGGTAAAGGACTCTCAGTAGAGTACATCTGAGCACGATCCAGTGGTGGCTGCTCAGGCTCCGCTGCACGCAAAGCCGGATGGTTGCCGATGTTCGGATCAACAGCGAAAGGTCTGGAATATGACCTTGAATGCCTTTGCCCTGGTGCATTTGCCTGATCCGTAATCTCTTCGACGCTGACTTGTGACATCTCTTTGCTGAGTCCTGCGCTGCTTCGGCCCTGACTTATGGGACTGAGTGGCTGGGAGGGTATCCTGCTGAGATCCGGCTCCTGCATCTGCTCTGATTGGTGGATTGCACCAATACCTTCAATGCCAGCAAATGAGAAGGGTCGACGTTGGCCAGGCAGATATTGTTCGCGTTCTTGCTCATGGTGCGAAGCCGGCTGCTGGTCTGGTAGTTCGCCTGCGGAATCTGGCTCTATCACCCCAGTACGTGGCTTCGAGTCTTGCATATTGGGGAGCTCGTCCTGCGTTGCCGTCGAAGGGGCAACCGCCGCTGGAGGTTCTACTGGGCGTTGCTCAGTGTCCAAGGATGGTTGTTTTATGGCCGCCTCAGCTGCCATGAGTTGGGATGGTTTTTCAGGCTGGGTTACCCGTTCTCCATATGGAGCAGCTATCGGATCAATTGGTGCTTCGTCGGCGGGTGATAGAGACACACTCCTTCTGGCATATTGCCGTTCAGCGCCAGCGCCAGGACTGGGACTAGCACTGGATACATCTGAGATGACAGATCGTCGTCGCAGCTGTGGCACTTGCAGGCTCCTATCACTGGAGTGCCCCTCAGATGCTGATCCTTCGTGGTGCTCCGTGAAAGGCTTTGGTGCGGCGAGAGCATTCGGGTCCAAACCACGAGACTCCGTGGTGGCGACCTGCGGTTGAACTGTAGAGTCTTCTCTGTGGCTCTTGCTTCGTTCAAGAGCTTGGTGTGGGGATTCGATAGGTGATTGATCGGTAGGTCGGGTCAACTGGCTGATTGAACGGCTAGGCAGTCCATCATCTTCGTTATGCTCTTGTTCGCTATCCAGTGCCGAAATCGCGGGACTAGGAGCAAGCACAGGACCGACAGGAGTAATGGAAGAGGTGCCGTCGCCGCCAGGTACCACATTGGCGTGCTGCAACTGTGACCGTGTGCCAACTTGACTTTCTGGAACCGTGGGTGAAGTGGATGTTTGTGGCAGCCGAATCTGATCCAGATCGCTTGTCCGTGACCTCTTAAGCTCGGGATTCGAGAACCAATCAATGGGGGAGGCCGGCGTGATGCTCAATGGAATTTGCGGTGGACCGTCAAGTGATGTGGAATCTCGTGGCTGGGAAGGAGATGCAACGTCTTCGGGCTCGTCTGGAAGAGGTCCGGTAGACTTTCGTCGGCTGGCCAGTGTCCCCTAAAATCAAAACGTCAACCAAGGGCTCGCTCAGGAGAGACAGACATGTTGAAAAATGTGGTTTTCCATTCATTACTATTTGAAGGTGCCAGAGGAGAAACGCCGTGAAGGTGTCCGAGCCAGGTTCTGGGGTCCCTGAACAAATAAATTCCCGCCATAGCATCACATACATTCCCTTCGTTGTAATGAAATGTATTACAGGCGCGGCAAAGGAAAGGGGGGAGATCAACGGACTACCTTTTCACCAGAGCTCGCGTGACGCATCTTCTCTTTTCCTTTAGCAAAAAGACCTTTGGCGGCAGTTCCCGCTTTGCCACCGAATCGTCCAGCGGCCGCCATTAGCCTCTTTCCGTCCTCCTGCATGTGTCCAGCTGATTCTGTCAACATTCGTCGGGGCGATGGCTTGTGTATATTGATGCTCTCGGCCCTGTCTAGTGAGAGCCGACCATTCGTGGCAAACAGCTCCGAGTTTTCAGGCGTCTTCATTGACATCAGCCAATTTCCCAGCTGTTCATCTGGCGTGGCATAGTATTGCCGACTGTCGTTGAACGCCTTGATGCGTTCTGCTGGGGTACCAAGATTCAAAATTGTACGGAAAGTCGGTGGCTCGTCGTGTTGTCGTGGAGATTGGGGTACCTCTCCAGCGGCCGTAGGGACTCTGGAGGGCTGCACCACTTGAATGGGCTCATGTGACGACAGAGTTGCTTGCCTAGCAATAGGCTGATCGACCTCCACGTCCATTTGGGGTTTGTCAACTAAGCCAGATGCCAATGGGACTTGGGCTGTAATCGTATCCGGAGAACTTGCTGAAGGCGGGCTCATTTGCTTGGGCGTTGACGCAGAGGGCGGCTGTGAGCTGCCTGTCTCCCAGGAAAATCGTTGTTGGAGGAATGGTTTACCGCCCATAACCATTCTCTCTTCGACCGGAGCTTCTGTTTGGCTAGTACCGGCCATATCTGTGTCGACACTTGGCGATATAGTCGCTCCCCGAGGAAACGCAGTCGAAGTTTGTGAAGATAACATCGTGGATTCAGCCCGTGGCTGATCAAAATTGCTCAAATTTCCATCGTTGGTCAAGGTGGTAGGCTCTATTGGTCGTGGTGTGATCACATGTAGAGGTGCTAAAGTCTTGGGTCCAGGTTCAGGATCATCGACGTTCTGATGTATGGTCCCTCGCGGAATCGTGCCGGATGGACTACTTCCTTGTGCATTTTGGCCGTCCAAATTTGAAGATTTTGGAGTTAAACTCTTCACAATTTCCTGTTGTAATCGTTCATTGTCACTCTCGGTGGGAGTGTCTTGCGGCATTGAGACGTTAGGGATCGGTGGACGAGGGCTCGAGGTATCGATAAGTCGGCTAGTGCGCAAAGGCGCCGGTATGTAGTCAACATCTTGAGGGGACTTCCCAGCCTCGGCAGAATTGTTGGTTGATGAAGGCGTTGAGCTCGACACAGATGGATTTCGGACCGGTTTGGTCACTGGCTCAGAACTTGTTCTTTTCCCTATGCTCTCTTGTCCAGGCTCGGCCATTTGCTTATTTCTCTGACTCTCTGGCCCCATGTCAGATGTTGCTGGCTGTGCTTCCTCCCCACTAGATGAACTCGACGCGTCCCATTCATTTGCGTTGTCTTCTGATGATGATTCGCCAGAGGCTTGCGCTTGTTCGGCCAGTCGATGGCCAGCCAATGCCCCAGCAAGAGCACTTCCAGCGGAAGCGGCTGCGGCGAAAGCCTTCTGGGTGACTCCATCTCCATCAGAAGTGAGATTTACAGGAGCACGGGCAGTAGGTATGCTCTCAGTGCTATCGACTCGACTTTGAGAAAATGGGGGCTGAGGTGATAGGATATTCCTCTGACTTTGTAAAGGCGTACTTGTGCCAGGAGTGGCTGAGCCTGCAGACGAGGCATATGATTGCCATCCCCCAGGAATTGCAGGACGAAAGCTCTCTAGTCGCATTTGGGGTGATGGGCGCCCTTGGACGTCATTCGATGGCGGAGGCTGCGCCGTTGCAATGGTAACAGCAGATCTCACGGGACTTGATTCTAATCTGGTTGTAGGATCGTGGACTTCAGTTAGTGATGGAGTACCTGACCTCGGCAGGGCTGGGTCTGTAGATGCAGGACCCGTTTCTTGTTTGAGTTCTGCAGGAAGTGGTTTATCACCTAACACCCTGCCACGAGCTGGTTCTTCTGGTACAGATTGTCTGGTCTCGTCATCCACAAGGGAGCCATGCTGTGGTTGTAGAAATTCCCGAGGTCCAACCTCACGAGGCTTCTTTGCAGGACTATTATCTCGACTTGGGGGAGTAATGTCCCGTCGATAGCCAGGACGAATTGGAGGTGGCGGAGAAAGCACTTCGTCCTGAGCTGGCTGCATCTCAACAGCCTTCAGCGTATTGGTTGATGTTGGTCGCGACTCTGAATGCGCCGACTCCTCAGGAATTGCGGCCTGTACGGTCTGGATGGAGGAAGTAGACGGGGTTGGATCATGCCTGTGACTCATTATAGGGCTAATGTCTGTCGTTGAGGCGCTGTTTGAACGACCAACAGTCCCTGCTGTGGAGGTGGGAGAAAAGGGTGACTGGTTCTCGCTTTGATCGAAGGCCTGCTGGACAACTGACCTATAGCCAAGAGTAGGCTGGTGCTGCAAACCTTGCCTCTTCGATTCAGAGCCAGCATCGTCAATAGTGTTATTTGAAGAGGTCCCTGGCGGTGATCCATTGCCTGATGACTGCGACATCTGAGGTGTAGGTTCCGGCACCGGCGTTGCCAGTGCACCAAGATCCACATCAAACCCAGATGTTCTGTGGACGAGGGGTAGCCCAAAGGATTCCTTCGCATTTGGCAGGCGATGATCCGTCTCAGGAATGCCTTCAGTGATTGAAATATTACGAGAGATGGGGGAGGCGGATACGGGGTCTGGACGATCGGTATAGACCGATGATGCAGTAGTATCATGTCTAGATACCCCCACGGCGTCAGACTCGGTCTTTATCTCTTTCGGTTGTTGGTTGTCGTCGCTTGGTATCTTGATTAAGTTGTCGAACCCGTACTCGCTCTTACGCTCCGGCACGGTATCCAAGGTAGGTTTCAGGCGACGAGTAGAATCCGAATCCTCCGCTGTCATCTGCATAGGGCCCGTAGGTTCCTTGGGATCTGAGGAAGTCGAGCGACCACCAATAGAACCTTCTCTAGCTGGGTTCGTGGCCGAATCGACGCTTGGACGGGACGACTCTTGTGACTTGCGTACTTTCTCCATCTCCTCAGGCATACGCTTGTAGATATCTGATGGCCGAATGAACACTGGTGGAGGACGATCATCAATAGAAATGCTATTACCAGGTCCTGGGGATGAAGAACGCACGGGAGACTCGCTGCGTCGCAAGAGATCTGGCTGAGGCGACTGTTGACTCAAGCTTGCTTTGCGCGGAGGAAATTGTCGGTGAGATGCATTGGAAGAACGGCTATCCGGCCTCATGGGACTTTCTCGGCGCTGATAGACGTCACCAAAAGGAGGGCGACCCCCGAGGCCGGAGATGTTTTGCTGTGGGAAGCTTCCTGGAGCCGAGAAAGGCACTTCTTCATATGCCGGATATTGCCTGCCTCTTGAACCTGGTCGGAAGCCACCTGGATGCATAGGAGCCTGTGCCTGGGTATTAAGGCGAAGAGGAGCCTGCATCCCATAGTTTGAAGCAGACGATTCGTCATCGTGTTGAGGCTCTGGGAAAGGCGAACGCTGGGTCGTGGGGTATGCCGATTCAAAGCCAATAGAGGAAGAGAGATGTCTTCTTTCATCGCCGCGATCAAATGACGGTCTCTGGTCGGCTCGAGAAGGGGAAGGGCTGGTAAAGCTTCGATTGGATGGATAGACGTTGGACTGGGTGCCCCAAGCAGGATGTCGAGGATTGTCCGCAGACACGGGTTGTGGCTCATCGTATTCTTCATCCTCTCCCCAATCTGAGCCCTCATAATTCACCTGGCGGAGATCTTTCCATTTCTTCGAGATCGCTCTTCCCACATTGGTCTTGTATTTCCCAGTACCATAAGGGTTGGAGGTCGCCATCTGTAGCGGACCTGGGGGTCGATTGGCCTTGTCCAAGTATAGCAGGAGAAGAAGTTGCGGATTGTCAAGGTACGAAGTAACACATTTCGCAGGCTATGCGCCACGGCATATGTTTCGACTCTTTCCGAGTATGCAGGAGCAGTCGAGCAGCTGGCGTTATTATGTCCGAAGGGATGCTTGTTGCACGCGACAGACGGATGTGGGAAGACTATTATTGCGCAAGATGGGTAGAAGAAAGGCTGGAGCAACTGATCAATTGGCAAAGAAGTACCGAGGATACCTAGAGCATATGCGAATAAGAGGATGTGAAGGAGATGTGAGCGGACTATTAGGCCAGCCGCGCAATGCTGGAGGAATGGCGGGCAAGAAATGAAGGGCTGCTGCGTTGCTCTCCTCACTCTGCCCTACGAACGGGACAAGAGGCTGCGGACTTGATTGGAGAAGACAGTAGGAGAGTTCAACCATGCGTCACCTCAAGAACGGCTGCGCCACACTTTTTCGCGACCAGATCTCGATAAATCGAATGCGGCAGACACAGAGGGTGTGTATGGTCTCTGGTGATGATGGAGGACGGTGGGATATGGGCTGTTGAGTTTGACAGAGCAAGTTGGACGCCGCTTGCAAGTTTCATACATTGCCGCATCATGCATCACCCGTTCGTGAAATTGTTCTCCGCTTCCTGGCTTTCGGTGCAACGCGAAACCCTCTTCAATTACGATCTGACCTGTGGCTGTGATGAGGCTGTTGTGGCAGGTGGCTCGTTGTGGCGGCAAAGACACCTGGACATTTCCGGCTGCGGCGCCTCGAACGAGGATCTGGAGTTCAGTTTCGTTTCTTTCATTTCACGGAGCTTGTACATACTAACTTGAGTCTTTTGCCTGGACGCAATACCGTCGAGCCACATGTAATAACATTTCCACTACCGCACATCTCCCACGATACTCATTTCATAGACCACGGACCTAGCATGAGCCCACTACCACTTACTCCCTCATAACTGCAGCACTGTTCCGATTGCGAACACCGAGTTCCACCACTTTTACTCTTTTAATGCCACTGTGCTGAAATTTAGACCGCCATGGTTTCCACAAGCATTCAAGACCGAACGAACGAGTTCCGCACAATCCTCGCGCAGGCACAGAAGCGGCAAACCGCAACCAAGGGCGGGCCACAACGACAGTCCCTCCTCAGCGATTCGCAAAGAAAAGAAGCAAATGGAGCCGCAAATGGCACCTCAAGAGGCTCGAGGTCGGAATTCGCTCGCAATGCAGCCCAGATAGGGAGGGGGATTACTGCCACCATGGGCAAATTGGAGAGGCTTGCGCAGCGTACGTCGAGAACCCGGTGTTCGGTGCGCGCAACAAAGCTGCTGACAAGGAACAGTCGCCAAAAGAAAGGCTATCTTCGACGATCGACCTGTCGAGATCGCGGAGCTGACATACGTTATCAAACAAGACTTAGCTGGGCTTAACGCACAAATATCCGCCCTGCAACAGCTCACGCACTCGCAACACCCAACCGCTTCCCAACCCCGATCGGCGGACCAAGAAGGGCAGCACAACAAAAACGTGGTGTTAATGTTGCAAAACAAGGTCACGGATGTCGCCGTCAATTTTAAAGATGTGTTAGAAGTGCGCACCAAGAATATCCAGGCGTCCAGATCGAGGACCGAGAACTTTGTGTCGTCGGTGTCGGCAAGATCACAACCCCATCTGGATGACTCAAGGTCACAATCGCCGCTCTACCAGGGTTCAAGTAGTCGGCAAAAAACTCCCCAGGCCTCTTCGACCGATCTTTTGACCCTTGAGCCTTCAAATACTTCGACTCTCATGAAGCATACCCCTCAGTCCGACCATCAACTGCTGCTAATGGAGGAAGCACAACCAACCAACACGTATATACAGGAACGTGGACAAGCCATCGAAGCCATCGAAAGGACGATAAACGAGCTGGGCTCCATTTTCGGCCAACTTGCAACGATGGTGTCTGAACAGGGAGAGATGTTGCAACGGATAGATGCAAACACCGAGGATGTGGTGGACAACGTCCAGGGCGCACAGAGAGAGCTGCTGAAATATTGGAACCGGGTACAAGGGAATAGATGGCTGGTTGCTAAAATGTTTGGTGTTCTCATGGTGAGTTAGCAATCCCCCCCGGTTGTCTCAGCTTGACGTCTAACGATCCCAGATATTCTTCTTACTTTGGGTGTTGATATCGGGCTGAATGGGTAGCAGTAATGCTATCCACGGGCCAATGTACAATCATTTTGTTGAGTTTCAAGATTAGATAATGACAGCCGTCCCACTGGAACAGCGAGTGGTTGCGAGCGATTGTTTCTGGTTTGATGCTTTAAGCGTCCATACCCTGAGCGTCAGCTTCAGCGGAAGATGCCAGTGGCTGTTGTAACATCCAAGACGACTAAATGCAACGATCCTCAAAATACCTCTCTGGAGATGCAGCCCATCGTAGCTCAAGCAATGGCCCGGCATGAGTGTCACTCGAGACAAAAAAGGCATTAGAAAGGAGCAATTTCACCTAGACTCGGCACGGGATGCCTTTTAGCGTCGATGTAAAATGAGGTGCGAGTGATCATGGACTGCCACCCGACGTTGTTGAGTGTGGTTGGGAGTGAGAGCTTAAGCCAGCAAATGTATGTATTCATCTCAGTGTCGTGGCCAGAAATGGCAAATTGGTGGCCTTTGCACCGTTTATTATGTCAGTAATGGGTATCGCTCTCGTCCGTGATCAATCAACTTTTCCAAGTCCAGTTCTCTTCATTATGGGTATGTACAATGAGTCGTCGCCATACTCTTGTCTCTCTCCATTACCGCAGTTTGAATCATCGGGACTTGATTGACAGTTGATCTCGTCGTGGGTGAACAAGAGGCGGGTATCGTGATCGTGCCCATACTGCTGATGCCATTTGAGGTGAGTCTGTTCGAATGATGCTTCCAATACCCATGAAGAGCCTGTTGGACCAGATTGTCAGAGACCTTCCTGTACAGAGAGGAGCCGCGATACACACCCAAACATAGTGCCCGACCCCAGCATGTATTTCCCCAGCGTCCTCATTACACCAGCTTGACCTGCGCCGTATTGAAAGATCGTCACGGTACCTTTGCAGTGTAATTAGTGTGGACCTTTTGGACGGTTGCACCGAGCGCGACAAACCGTAGATAAAGCCCATAATGCCCCCGACAGCTGTGAATCAGTCAGTCCTTCTGTAATATCATCTCTGTCTTTGTTGTTGTCATTGTTTGACTGACTTCCGCCCATCAACATCCCCATTTTCACTGCAAGCAACATTAGCTTCAGACGAGCAACAGAATGACAGGGAGGACCACATACTTTTATCAATCCACGACGGCCCACGCCGCTGCGCGGAAGGTGGAATTGGAGGCATGTCGCTGCTGGTGTTTTCCTTGTGCTTGCGTTCTTGCGCGACGCAGTGGCTACTAAACAGAGAGCGAATTGGAGAAGGTAAGGTGAGGGTGAATGCAGCAACTCATAGGGTGCAGTAGTGGGTGTGACGATGGAAGCCCCATCTATGCCAATCGGAGCCGGTAAAATTGCCGCCGGCCACGATGAGCACGATGAGCACGTGATGATCCTCCGGCCGTTTGGTTCGGGGAGACTTTCCACAAGTTCCAGAGCGTCAATCTGAACTGCTACAGAACCACGAGTCGCATCCTCGTGAACATCAAAAACAACCCCAGACCGAAACCAGTCGCCTGCAACCAACCGCGTGATGGCAATGGCATCTCTTTGACATACTGTGACGCTTCCCCGACCTCGAATTCGACTCTTTCTTGAATTGCCGGAGCTCAGTGATCAGCCCCAGGTTGTTCCCGTCAGACCCCTCGCTGTCGAGACCACTGCACGCGAGCAGCCTCTTCCCTCCTTGGACTCTGTCTACATCTCTTGTATGTCCTCGATACACTTGACATGATCCTCCTCTTCTCCATATGTGGCTTGAACATCGTGGGATGGGCATATCGATTGACATTGTATCCCTCAGAAACCAGACTCACCTGTTGACTTCTCGAGATCCGACACATGACGGCCAGGCACAACACCGAATCTCTGTTTTTCTCCGCTCCCGTCACTTCTCCCTCCCGCCTACTGCCAATACGAACCATCGCAAGATCATAGAACACGCCCCCTATCGACTACGAATTAACCCCCGTCCTCTTACCTCCCGATGACGACCGCTGTGGCGTCGCCCCCTAGCTTCCCAAATATATCCAGGCTCAATTGGAATGGTCTAAGCGGCACAGGAGGTGGGTTTTCCGCAATGAGCACTGACGAAGTGTCTCGGATGTTTTTACCTCAGCGTAAGACTGTGCAGAGGAGCAATTCGTCTTCATCACTCTCATCCACAAGTTCTTCTGGGTCAACGGTCACCCTTACCCAGAATGACGGCTCGTCAGAACCCGCTCACGGACCAAAGAAAAAGGCAAGGGGAGGGTTCTGGCCTGTTTCAAAATCGGAATCGACAGCGAGTGTCTCCAATGCGCGGGCAAACGGGTCGCTTCAGACCGCTATTGGAAACTCTTTGGTAGGAAAGAGTCCAGTACAGCCAGCGCTGCCCAACCCAAGCCCTACTGCTCAAGTCAATGGGACAAGGATCGTGAATGGAGCGGTCACTGGTGAGCCAGCGGCAATTTTAGCGCTGTTACCGATGAATGGAACGTTCGAGAGGAAACAAATCAATCTTCCCTTCTATCCAGAAGTACTTCGGATAGGCCGACAAACGAATGCGAAGACTGTTCCAACTCCGGTGAACGGATATTTCGACTCCAAGGTCCTGTCACGACAACACGCTGAGGTGTGGGCCGACCGGAGTGGGAAGGTGTTCATTAGAGATGTCAAATCATCAAACGGCACATTTGTCAACGGACAGCGACTTTCACCAGAAAATCGAGAATCTGAGCCTCATGAACTCCGCCAACACGACACACTAGAATTAGGCATTGATATCGTCAGTGAAGATCAAAAGACCATTGTTCACCACAAAGTCTCAGCCAAGGTTGAATATGTGGGTCTGCCTGGGACGACCAACAACGTGCTCGACCTTACTTTTGGCGACTTGGATCCTTCTCATGGCGGTGCTCTATTGCCATCACCTGTAAGTTCACCAATGCTTCACAGTCGAAGCCGGCCCGGGGGACCGGCTACGAATGGACGGGCTTCGGCACCTTCAAGCGTTGCAGGCAGCCAGATGAGTTCGATTGCGCAGCAACGGATGAACATGTGGGGGGCCACGCCGTTGAATGTGGAACAACTGGTCAAGACACTCGCCGTAAGTTACTTCATGCAGCTATCAGGCACACCAGAAACTGACATTGAGTGCTAGATGGAGATGCGGGCAGCAAGACAGCAGGCGGAGGAACTCGACCAGGCTGGCGCTTTTCTGAACTCGTTGTTGACACCAGGAGCTGAGGCTCCTCGGCTTCAGCCCACGTCAAAAGAAGTTGCTCCTCAACGGCAATCCAACGGACGTGCGAAAGCCCCCAAGATGGAGCATATGGCCCGCTTCGCCGATCCCCCAGCACCACCGCCACAACAACCGCTCCCGGAGAAGCCAGACACCTCGAAAGCAAGCCCTGTCGCAACTTCATTCACGAATCTTCTGAAGCGCAGCGAAACCGCCAAACAAGCGAACAATGCGTCACATTCTCCTACCAATGCTCAAAACAGTCAAATGCTGTCTCTCATTGAGGCGCTATCTATTGCCAAAAAGGAACTCGACTCTCAGGGAGCTCGCGTGAAGCAACTGGAAGATATGCTCAGGCAGGAAAGGTCTGCCAGAGAGGATGCTGAGGAACGAGCTCGGAAGCTCGAACAACATGCGGCATCACGACCAATCTCAGCCGTTGAAGAGGAATCAGAGACACCGATAGATTCCAATCACGACAAAAAGGCTGTTGAAGAGGAGGCAGGACATGACACGGACGGCGAGCTTGATGCAAGAACGAAGAATCTACAACAGAATCTAGACCAAGTCTTAGGAGAGATGCAGAGACTAAAAGCAGACGTGGACCAATTTCAGCGTCGCGCAGAGACAGCGGAAGCCGATGCAGCCAACGCCCGGAAAAGCCTCGCCGAGATGATTGATAAGATCCGAGAAGAGAATGAGAAAGCAGAATCGTCCGCAAGGAAGTCTCATGAACGACAATCAGACGCCCAGGAGGATGAGAGCGCCGAGGGCACTGGGGCAGAAGTCGAGGAGCTGAGCTCGAAACCCGTGGTCAAGTTTGCACAAGCGAATGGGCACGTCCGCGCACCAAGGCTACCTGAGCATCTTGAACGGGCCGTGGCAACAGTTCTACGGGACAAAGGCGGCAATTCAGACGCTATTGCTCAGTCAGCACCATATGTGTCTATGCTGGGGGTGGTCCTGATTGGAGTTGGATTAATGGCCTATCTCAACTCCTGGCAAAAGTCGGAGAGATGACGCATCGACGCAAGAAAACCGGGATTTTCATTTCGTTGGACATACTACCTCCTTCATTTCTTTAGTCGGGTCATCGGTGCCCCAAGTCTCACTCGTTTTCTCTCCAGCATGGTATCGGGCGTGGCGTTAGAAATGGACAGACTCAGTTCCAAGGGCGGAGATACTGCCCATGTTCGGCTGGGGGCCATACACAGGCCCATGTCGAAATGGTCGCGGAGCACGGCGTCAAAGATGTGTCAAAATGGAGCGTCAATATCTTCATGGCTGAGGCCACAGCAAACCAGCAAACAGATTGTGGGCGAGGCGTTGGTCATGGAATGCATGAGAAAAAGATCTGGGCGGGATAGGCGTCATGTATATATGCACGTCGAGTTAGGATTGTTGTCAGCCTTATTGCTCTTTTTCGAGGCCCTCGAGGCTAAGACAAGGTCCGACGAGTCCAGTCCAGCGAGCTAACATGAAATGATGATACGAGCTTCAAGAACCGCCACGGCAAGGCTTTTAGCGTATTTTATTCGTATTGGATCTTCTGTGCGAATAGCTCGTGCTCGTAGGCAGTGCCAGGCATTCGGGTGATCTGCCCCTGACCAGGCCGAGTTAATAGGGGTGCGATAGCGGGAGGCCGGGTGGGAGGAGGATTCCGTGTCTTGTACGGAGTACCTTGTACACGAGTAGGATAAGTTTGTTGAGCCTCACTAGCCCTACTGGCAGATTCAGATACTCCATCTCAGGGACTATTATGATACACTTGTAGCCGGGTGGTTATCAGTTGGGAAAGGGGGGCGTGTTGAGTGCCCGCGGCGCTCCAGGCCAACCATGTTTTGCTGCCCCTTTTCGGCGAACGAGATGGCGGTGGAGCTGAGCCAGTTGCTCCATCGAGCCATCATCAACTTCGGCCTCCGGCGCATCATTTTATCTTTCGTTTCCATCCGTCAGTCTGGCGCTCGGTGACGGCAGCGTTACGCCATGGGTTTGGTCACTCCCTGGCCTCCGTCCGCCGTATCTGTATCGTCTTCGGGAGCCTGGATGTCAAAATGACGTAGGGAAATACCTCGTACACATTGACGCACACTCCGCAGTTCTTTTCGGGGAAGCCGTTGGCCTTGTCGTTGGCTGGGGTCTCAACGCCCAAGGTAACTTCCGCTCATCCATCGGGGCCGTGGTTGATATCAACCTATGGCGGCCCCAACACGCAGAATATGACTATCCTCTCCGCCCAGGTGGCCGTTGCAATGCTTTGCTTTGTGTCTCTTCGGTAAGTGTGTATCTTCCGGCGGCCAGCCAGGCTCATACCATGAAACCGATCACGCTGCGTTGTTCAATGCTTCCAAAATGGCAAAGGCACCTTCGAGCTGCCACATACGGGTCGAAAAAGGCTGGGTCACGCACCGATCAGGTCTCGGGAGGTTGTTTGCAGAGGCGCTGGTTCGCTACGCCTGTCGACATCACTAAGGCTGCAAATCAAGATTCGGCCGACCCTAGGGAAAAGGTGGTGATTCTAGGTAGTGGTTGGGCAGGTACGGTACCCGTCGACCGCGATCCAAGAAGTATACTTACTTGGTGTGATCAGGTTATGTCCTGGGCCGCCAGCTGGATAAGAGAAAATACCGCGTCGTTATCGTCTCGCCTCGCTCCTACTTTGTCTTCACCCCTCTCCTCAACGACACCACCGTTGGGACCCTCGAATTCCGAAACGTGCTCGAGTCCGTGAGAAAGAGAAAGAGTGGCTTGGAGTACATCCAGGGCTGGGCAGACGACGTCAACTTTGCGGACAGGACTGTTACCATCGAACCTTCAGTGCTGGATCCGGATGTAGGCCACGCGATGACCGGGCCAAGGAAACCGAATGAACAGCAGACGTCCAGCGGGTACGCTGTGAAAGGCGTCTTCCCTCATGGACCGTGGCAAAAGGAGGTGCAGATGGGTGGGACGGGCTCCCATGAAGTTCCTACATTTCCCATACACTACGATAAATTGATCATTGCCGTGGGCACCTATAGCCAGACGTTCGGCACCAAGGGTGTGCGTGAAAATGCATGGTTCCTAAAGGATGTCCGGGATGCCGTTGCCATACGCCGTCGCATCCTGGAGTTGTTCGAACTCGCACGATTGCCCATCATCCCCGAAGAAACCAAAAAGCACCTCTTGCACTTCGCCGTTGTTGGCGGTGGTCCAACGGGCATGGAATTCGCCGCCTGCCTGTCGGATCTGCTGAGAGATGACCTGTCCAAAATCCACCCGGAGCTGATGAGATTCGTCCGCATCAGCCTATACGACGTTGCCCCCAAGGTCCTCCCCATGTTCGATGCCTCACTCGCCGACTACGCCGTCAGACAGTACAGACGTCAGAACATTGAGATCAAAACCTCTCACCACGTTGAAGAACTCCGCAAGGGGTTCCCCAACGACGAAAAAGCCCGTCAGGATCAGGCCAGTCAAGTCAAGGGAAGAGTATACACGATCCACACGAAAGAAGAAGGCGACGTCGGCATTGGCATGTGCGTGTGGTCCACAGGGAACATGAACAACCCGTTTGTCGTAAAGGCGCTCAATCATGTGCGTCGGTTCCCAACAGAGTCGGCACAGATCACCCAGGGTAAGGTGAGCGACCCGATGCAACGACAATGGATCATCCAACGTGATGCCAGAACCGGCGTCATCTTGGTGGACGACCACTTTCGGGTGCATCTTACGACAGAGTGTGCCGAGGGCATGAAGGAAGATGAAAAGCCGAAAGCGTATATGAAAAATGTCTTTGCACTGGGCGATACCAGTAAACTGATGTCAGGAGCCCTGCCCGCGACGGCGCAAGTCGCGAACCAGCAGGCCCTCTGGCTTGGGAAGACACTCAACAAGCACCCTTCACCTGAGGAGTTTGGCAAGCAGAAAGGTTTCACATTCAGGAACTTGGGCGTCTTGACATATCTCGGCGGAGCCAAGGCCATTCTTCAGGGAGGAAACGGAAACGGCAGCAGTGGTGGTGCCGCCAAGGGGATCAAAGGGCTGGCCGCGTACCTCATTTGGAGAGGAGCTTATCTCACGATGACGCTGAGTTGGAGGAACAAGTTCCTTGTCGTGGTGCAGTGGGTGGCTGTCAAGGTGTTTGGGAGGGATGTCAGTCGATTCTAACGGGTTGGGATGGACAGTTGGGTTTCCGGGTTGCCGTTCTGGGAATATGACAGGTTTGGAAAAGCCGATTGCTTGGGCCGTGTTAACGCGGCTGAACAGAGGTAGGGATAGGCGTTTCTGGATCCAGGATGTGGTTATCATAAGCTATCATGGGTACATGTATGGACAAGAGGCGGGAGGACAGTTCCAAAAGCGCTGAAATAGATACACACATCCTTCCTACCTCTTCAAGCTATCATCTATCCATTACAACAGGGGTAAACACAGTGCCAATCGAGGCTGCCAACACTTTCTTTCCTCTGGAGACACTGGCTTACGGGCTGATTATGGCTCGTGCGTCTGTCGTCCGAGTGGTGGAGCCCTGCCTCCAGAGTAACGTTGAACCTAAACCTCTCTATATCACTGTTCTCGACCGACACAGAGACGCACCCCAGAGACCCTCGAGGCATCGTCTTAATAATTAGATGCAAGGCCTTCTGGGCTATTACCTCTTATTGGAAATACCACTCCCGCCCGCTGCGGAATCTTTCCTTTAGTGCTACTATGGAGTTACAGGCCAATGAAGGAGGTTTTATCTCTCTCTCTCTCAGCCCTCTCGACATTATTCCTTCGCTAGCAGATTGGAACTTGGCCTGGGGGCCATGCGATACCTTGGCTTCAGTAAGCCGGCTAGATCGAAAGTTACTGCAAGGTGTGTTGGCCGGATGAATGTGTATATAAAGGTGAGCGAACCTGCGATGCTGTGCCACGCCCTACCCCCCTCCTGCCCCGCCTCGCATTCAAAAGCAAACGCCAGAAGAAAAACAAACACACATCCTGCCCTCATCTTCAAGGCCAAAACACAACGCAGCAGCATCCGAAAAGCCATGGCCGAAATCGTCTCCGCCGAGGTCGCCCACAACTTGGCCTACGGCAACCTGCTCCGGGTGTTCAGCAACCGCGACGAGGCGTCGCGCCTCCGCGCCGTCCAAGAGACGTACCACGCCGACGTGACCTTCTACGAGCCCGACTCGGTCGCCACGGGCCACGACGGCGTCAACAGCAAGGCCGAAGGACTGCTCCGGGAGAGAGCAGGCTGGGGCTTCGTCCCCGTGGGCAATGTGCAGAGGAACCACAACATGCTCTATCTGGCGTGGGGGTTCGGCCCGCAGGACGAGGCCACGGGGGAGGTGGACGTCAAGGTCAAGGGCGCAGACGTCCTGCTGGTGGACCACGGCAAGGTCCGCACCTTTTGGGTCATCATAGAGGGTGTAACCGATTCCAAAGCCTGAATGTGTCGAACGCAGTGTGTCTGTCCCCAGAACCGGTACATATTGTCGTGTCAACGAAAGGAAGAGAAACGTAAAGGAAAGGCACCCTTCTTGTGAATGTAGGAACTTTTCTCATTTTTTGGGGATTGTTATGGCTTGGTCTATCTGCTGCGGTTGGGCGGGTCGCTCATGGCATTGCTGCCAGTCGCACCTTTCCACCAGTCTGTCCGATAGCCACGCGATTTGCGACTTTGCCGATTTTTCAAGTAGCCTTCAAGACCTTCGCATGCACCAGCTCACTGGCACCCTTCGGCACAGGATGTGCTCGCGTCAAACGGCGATTTCTGTTTTGATGTACTCTGTCAAAGGTGTTGTTGGTAATCATCCAAGGTTCGGCAGATTGCACATGGTCACAGGGTGTCATAGCCCGTGAGAGGAAAGTATTGTCACATGTTCCAAAGCACTTGCAAGAGACTGCCTCTCGTGTCGTTGGGCGTTCAAGCCTTAGCGGGCCAGCAGCTGCAGTACCAGTGGTTGTTGCCAGTGGCAGAGCAACCAGCCGCCATCTCTTTGTCACTGCAACCCTTCATGGCACTGCTGTCGCACACGATCTGGGATTGCTCGTTGCTATATAACGCGGTTAGTCTCTGTTCAGTGGTATTACAAGTGGTCTGGAGAGTCTTACCAGGTGCAGAAGCGAAGACAGTTGTCGCCGTTCAGCTGGCCGTCACAGGTGGCAAGGTCCCAGGCCATGGCCGTGTCAGGGTTGGCTGCATTTCCGGTAGGGTACTGCAAGCATGTGTTAGCTTTGAGGGACAGATTGCGAAGCCGGAGACTCTGTCAGGGAGAAAATGGGACTCACACAGCCGATCTCCATGGCGATCTCGGGGTTGGGAGACTTTGGCATGAGCCCAGCAAGAGAGACAGGCGAGAGGGCAAGGAGAGAAGCAACAGTGAGCATCATCTTGGACTGCATTCTGAAGACGTCTGCAGTGGTATTGATGTTGATGTTGATGTTGATGGTATTGGCGATTGTTGACAAGAGTCTCGACTGTGGACTGTTGCAAGCGAAAGCGAAATTGTTGTGTTGTTGTTAGAGAGAAGGGCTCTGAAGCAGTGGAAGGAGATATTTATACCATGGAGGAGGCAGACGTGAAGATCGTGCGTGAATGTTGATTGATATCCACAACCAGCGACATACTGGTGATTGATCCTGTCACTTAGAAGAATCAAATAGAATAGCAACCCACCTATGATAGCTACCTTTACACAAGTGAGAACACACAAGCAAACAAAGAGGTGACGGTGACGTGTTCGCGAAGTGCCGGTAAGATTTGGATGCTTTCAATGAAACCAGAGGGATTGATGATGTGATTTGTATAACAGCTGTAGCAAGCAGGGAGCAGGAGCAAGCTGTCCCTTTCTTCTTGTCACCTCTGCCTGATATTCGATCACTGCCCTTTCACTCATGAGACGGTTGCCCGGATCTCTGACTGGAATCTATGAGCCTGCTCAACGAATCTGTAGTATCTTGGGGGTTAGATAGACTTCGGCATAGAAGATGAAAAAGACACGTGGTAATCAATGGCCAATGCTGTGCAAACCATCCGGATTTCCCAGGGCCAGTCTCTTTTTTTCCCTTGGTGTCCTGGGAGGCTGGCGATAAGCCGAATATTGCGGCATTATTCCATGAAGCTACTCCATAGCAACATTCCCAGAGTCCCGTAACCAGCGTAAGGACGTCTTACTTCATTTCCGGGTTCGAAAGGCTCTCCCACGGATGCCCAGTGCTCGCCTCCTGTTGGGGCAATGCAGGCGTATATAGTCCAGCAAGACACCTTCACCTTCACACGATCTTGCTCGTCTAGAATCGCGTCCTATAAGGTGTGGTGGACTTTATCATAACGACAGCCGACCGTGTCCTTCTCAGAGCAGACAGTGGGGTTTTCTGCGTCTTTCTTTGCCTTTTCCACTTACGTAGATAAGTCAAGCATTCAACGTCCCATCCATCTTTTGCGACAGCAATTGCATCGGCAAGGCAGAGTGCAACGACTAGCCTAGCGCTCCATCCGGTATACATCAAAAACGCGGATGAAGAAGGAGCGCGCCAGAGAGTCCACATGGGATTGAGGTTTGAGCAAGGGTACTGGGGATTTGGAGAGAGGTTGCTCTCGCATAACATTCCCAGTGGTTGCACAAAGCCACGTGCAGCAGACTGCATTCAAAGTGCATTCGTGGTTATGCAGAGGCGGGATGGGATCATCCGTGGAGAGGTTGCAGTCCGAGCGATGGGAACGGAAGAGATGTTCCATTGACGGTCTGGAATGGAGATGCCGCGTGGAGAAGAATCTGAGTCCACCTGAACAGCTTCAAGGAGATAGGTAGCGAGCGAGCGAGGTCGCTCTCTGTGTATCTGGTGATTCCACAGTACTCGGTAGTGGTGGAGCAAACACTGGGCACCAGACTGCGCCGTGGCTCGCAGCGACCTTCCCTGGCCGTTCGGGGAAACCTCGTTAAACCTCGTCGTCATCTTGCAGAAGATTTCGCTTTCGCTTTGGCATCGACTGGCCCGCCTCCGTGTTCACATCCAGGTCTCACCAAGATGCTCCCACAACGTCCATCCCACTGTCCCGTCATCATGCTACGCGATATCCGGTGACAATTTGGTCCAACAAACCCCCCATGAGAGCTCCGTCAATCTCCCACTCCGACGTTTGCCACCGTCGCCATGAGCTCCCTACTCAACCCTATTCACAGCGCGAAGCAGAAATGCCGCCCCAAACACCAAGTCCTTGTCCTGAAATGCTATCCCAAATACCAGAAGAATGTTCAGGAAGTCAAGCCCATGTCCTCCGAGCTCAGCTACCTGCTCTATTATGCCTCCACTCGCCGCAACAAGCTGCAGAAAGTCGGCGCATTCCTCGAGAAGAAGAACGCCGGCGACGTCTGGAAAGGAAGGCTCGGGTGCGCATCACAATGTCTCTACCACTATCGTTGCTAATCAAGCTGCAGCAATGTCCAGGTGACCCTTCAGATTCTCGCTGCCATCATCGAGAAAGCCCCCCGCGACCTGTCTCTTTATTCCAGATCCGTTCTCACTATCCTCGATTCTGTCCTACGTTCGAAAGACGTAAACATGGTGGAAGACTCTATTCCTACATTTGAAGCCTATTGCAAATACGTGGACGTCGCCTCTCTCACGGCCGATCAGCAGCGTGCTCAGCAATATGTCTCCCTCGTCCAGCACTACACTGGGTTTGCCTTAAAAACGAAACCCTCGGACAGAAAACAAGGAGACTCCATCCCACTCTCTCTTAGATGGCGGAAAATCGGTCTCCGCGCCATTCGGGCCGTCGTGGCCTCTGACGCTTTGGCTGTGGACTCCAGTCGACAACTGAACCTGGTCATGCCTGTGATCCTGGAGAATATGTCGCTGGAAGAAGAGAATATACTGTCAACATTGCAGCAGCGGGCAAAGACAAGCGAGAGGATGGACGACGAGACCGCCAGGAGGAGGCGTATGAGTATTGCCACAGTCACAACCGTCGACACCATTGATGGCGATCCTGCTGCCGCCGTGGAGACCACTGCGGGTGCGGACAAGGTCGCCGAAGAGGAGGTTAGAGCTCTGGCATTGAGATGCCTGAAACAAATCTTCTCTGTAGGCATTGGAAGTACAAGGGGTCAAACAAGGTTGGCAACAGCTTTGACCCTGAAATTCATTGCCTCAAAAAATCCGCCCAAAGTCACGCCGGAAACATCAAGAACCGGCAACTGGGCGACGTCTCTGTTTGAAGCAATTGCGCGATGGACACCTGTACAAGATCGTTTCATTATCGTTGTCACAGCCATGGAAACTCTGGTTAGAAGCCCCATGGCGGAGGGGGTCCTGGAGAAACAGCTGGTCCTCACAACCATGATCGATTGGCTTCTCAGTTCGCCTGTCAATCTCATCGGATTAAGCGTCATGGATGTTCTACTCGGTTTCATCCAGCACATGCTAGTTCTCCTCCAGCTTGGTGGACCCAACGCTCGCGTCACGCAGCCACATCGAGAGGATACTCTCGGGTTCTATCGAGAAGCCAAGGAAGCATTCGATCCAAGTTCAGTCTTGACCGACAACAAGATGTCCCGGACGCTCTCCAAAGAGTTGACAGCATCGCCCGTCCGGCAAGAATTGCTCGAGAGACTACAAAAATGCATCGCGTCTCTTTCCAACCACATCTACTACACAGACCAGATCAGCGACATGCTGACAGCAATTCTGGCGCGGCTGAAACCATCACCCCAGTCTGAAGTCCCGACATCGGCAGCTGCTATCAACGACCCAGCAGCCGCAACGAAAGCGATTGCAGAGTCTGCGAACATACATGAAGACGCCAACACCTCTACATTCTTTTCGTTTGCAACGGCGCGGGTCACTGCTTGCCGAGTCATCAAAGAAATCTTGGTTCGCGCCAATAGCAGGCGAAGCGCCATGGGTGCGCCCATCGAAGCACGTGCACGAGTCGGAGTGCAAGTGTGGGAAGGCACTCAGTGGCTCCTTAAAGACGAAGACAAAGAAGTGAGATTTGCATACGTCGACGCGCTGTTGGCTTGGCTCAAGCTCGAAACCAACAAGAGCGACTTGCTTCTACCCCGAGATGGCAATCGAAAGCAGACGCAGTCCAAGAAATATCAGGGCGAGAATGGTGTGGCCAAGAGGGCCGTTTCCAACGCATCTCGCAAAGAAAACAAACCTACAAGATCCAATTTTCTTGCTCTCTTACATCTCGCTGTTTACGACAGTATCCTGGACGATGTCGAAAACGAAACGAACCTCCTTCTTCTGTACCTCCTCCTAACCAAATTGGTTGAAAGGCTCGGAGTTAATGCGATCCGCAGTGGATTGCCTATGATACTCAGACTCCAGGAAACAGCTCTCAATGGGGAAGTTGTCTCCACCTCAGGAAGAGTCAATGTGGGAAGTGTTGTGCATGGCTATCTGTGGACTATCGCGGACAATTTTGACTTTGAGACAAGTCCACCTGGTCATGAAATCAACGCCGAAATCTCTCGGAGGAAACGGTTTGGAATTTGGCTCGACAAGGTCAAATTTCCAGCGCTGTCTGTCGAGGACATCAGACATCTTCGAAAGGAGACGGAGAAGACCCCAATCTACAATGAAGAAGCCGTCGAAACCATCAAGCCGTTCCTGTCGGTTGTAAACATTGTGGAGGAAATAGCGACTGCATACGACAACGCTTTGCTCACACCGCCAACCTCTGCCCCAAATTCGCCTGGAAGAGTCTTCTCTGTTCCGACTCTTGGATTTGGTTACGGTTACGGAGCCGCTCCTCAACCGAAGGCGTCCAGAGAGGATCAGCTTCCGCAGAAGGTCAAAGATGAGATGGCTGCAGGGTGGAGCAGAGAAGCATGCATTGCTGCGGTTGAAAAGGAAAGTGCGGCATCTGTCACAGGATCTCGAACGGGGGCATCTTCTATCCCTAAACAGCACCTTGGCGTCAATGGGGCTGCTCGTCCGTTCGGCTCTGTGAATGGGAAAGAGTCAACTGCGACGGCAAACGGCACCACAACCCCAACTTATGGCCTGACGGGCGGATTAGGAAGCCTCACTCAAGTCCGAAGGGCGAGCGCCACTGGTTCACCTGCAAGGGTCCCGACCACGTCCAGCAGAGAGTCGACGGTCAGGGTCACTGACTTGAAAAGAGCGCTGTCCGGATACGGCGTTACAGGAAGGCGGCAGAGTCCCCTGCGGAGACCGCAGGCTGGTTCGCGCAGGAGTACAGGAAGCAGCGGAAGCAGCAGCATGCTTAGTTGGGATGAGGCTGACGACCGTAATCCATCCTTCCTCGACGTCGCAGCCGCTGGTGATCCAACCGAGCAACCTCTCGATAGCAGTCCGCCGAGGCCACAGACGTCATCCTCGGGCAATCCCAAGATGGCGGACCAGAGAGATGCGACATACCATGACCAAACAACGCTACCGAGTGTTACAGTTGATCCTCGTACGGATACGAACGTCCCGCCGGTGCCAAAGATCCCGTCAACGCTCAACCTTCCTGGTACCTGGCCCCGTGACGCTTCACCAGCGCGACCTGCAGAGAGTTCGCCGGAAACAGCCGTCTCGGCCGTGCCAGAAAGCCCGAAGTCACGAAAAATCACAGGTAAAACGTATTCAACGTCACCAGCGCGAGAAAAACAAAGCCTCCGGAAGACGTCCCGGCCAACAAGCCGCAAGGGTGCGACGCCACTATCTTCATCTCCGAATGAGAAGTTCGATTTGGGATCACTGTTGGCGGCCATTCCTATCCCTATAGCAGAGGCAGCAGGGGATATGCAGAAGGAAAACCGAACCGGCCGGCTCATACGGCCTCCTTATTGATGGATTGTAGTAATGAGAAAACTCTGGATTGTACATTACTGGGCAATGGCTTTGCTGGCCATGAGTTGTGCAAAATGAGCGTTCCCTGTTGTTTCTATTGTGTTTGGTTGTTTGTTCCAAGTTAGACTCGCCGAGAGTTTCTGCGAGATACTGTCTCTATGGTGAAAATTCAATCAAGTGGATGGATTTGAAGACTCATTTAAGATGTAAACCCGACGAGGGCGGGACCAGTCCGTACTCTGCTGTCGGTTTGTGAGATTTATAGAAATCGAATGACGATATACACGTCATTTGAACAGCGACATCGTGACACCTGGATTCTGTCCCGTTCATTGTCCTCTCTGTGACCCTTCCTGACTTCGAAACTGATCCCGAACTCTATAAAAAAAGTCACCGTCCCCCGATGACGGTTCGCGATCAGTCCGTCTCTCCATACCCCCCATTGACGCAGGTCTCTCACGATGGTGGATGCGGCGCTTTCAACTCTTGTCGAGCCAGTCCGAGCATCTATGCTCCTAGATGTGGAGGGAGGTGGTGCCTATTCAAGGGACCTGAAGCTGGGAGAAAGTCTACCGGCAAGTGAGATGATGGGTCTCCAAATTGAAGGCCTCGACACGTCATTTGGCTCTTTGTGGAGAGGCGGAAGGGTCATTGGAATTGGGTCGACTGATAAAGAGGGGGATAATTCACCTAGAAGAAAGGTATGTGCTCAACTGCATGGCCTATTAACAGTAATGTGCATGGGTTGATGCTCTGAGATGGCCCTTGAGAAGCTCAGACAGAGAACAACTGACCGCATCATGAGGAATCAGAGATCGTTGATCTTACAAACTCTTGCCGCCGCACTCCTCAGCTCCCAGGTACGAGTCTCCGCGACTTCAACCGTATCGCCGAATGTATACATCGTGACTCCTCATACCTCTCAAACTATTCCAATGCTCCATGTTCTTCTGGCAAACACTATCTCTGATTCTCAAGCCGCGATTGAGCTCCTCAAGCCTGTGCGACTCTTACAATATTTCGACCTCGCGGGATTGGCAGAAAGCTTAGGGGAGATCAGTCAAGATCTCTTCCAAAGGGCTCATGTGACCAATAAGACGACTCCTGCGGAGCTATACAGACGCGCCCTACCCAGAGATATCGTCTTGATCCAGGGTTTGGCCCAGACAGTGTCAGCCACGCATCGTCGGAGTGGCCTCGTTCAAAGCAACGCGCTGCTCGGGGATATGATGAGGAACACTACGCAGATTTCGCGGATATCAAGAGATGTCCTTGTCCTTGTAGAAGTTGCTCTCGAGATCGGGGCAGCGTATGACCTCCAATCGCGTCAGGAGGGAGCAAAAGCCAGGAAGGTCCATGCCACAATCCAACTAGAGTCTACCTTTGTTGGCTCAAGCGGTGAGACTTTGAGGCTTTACTCTGGGCATGAATCACTAGCGAGGACACTGGAGGCAGCTCTCGATTGTATCGTTGTAGCGCATGACGGGTTCGGGCGAGTCAAAGAGAGCAGGAGACCTAACGAGTCCGGAGAGCAGGTGGTTGAGGTGGTCAAGGATCGAGTTGGTGACTTGATGGGCGTTTGGGGCCTTTGGAAAGGAGGATGATCGCGTCCGGAAAGCATTTCGAGATTGTGAGGTGCGCCTTCCAACGCTTCCAGTCGACTAGAGGCCACCATTCTTCTCCGAGACTCTTGCGACCAACTCTTCCCTCGTCGCCGGATTCACCGGGTTACGATACACCAATATCTTACCAATGAACATCGCTAACAGTCATTTCAGCGTTGTCGCACGCTCCGGAGTGCCTGTCATGCACGCTGCTGTCTTACCTCCCTCAGGCAAAGTATTGTTTCTGGACAAAGTTGAAGACTACTCAGAACTGCGACTGCCGAACAATCGTTGGGCATATTCCGCGCTCTACGATCCCGATACGCACCATCTTACTCCACTGTCTGTCGCGACAAACCCCTTTTGCTGCGGCGGGACCTTTCTGGCGGATGGCCGGCTTATCACCGTCGGTGGGAACGCTCCCTTGCTCTGGCTCGATCCAACAGTCGAGGATGGGTTTGATGCGATTCGGTACATTGGAGATGAAGATGGCAACTATCAATGGAAAGAGCCCGGCAATAAGCTGGCCTCCAACAGATGGTATGCATCCGCACAGACCCTGGCGGATGGCACCGTTTTCGTGGCAGCGGGCAGTTTGAACGGACAAACCCAGAACAACTTCAGCAACAATAACCCCACCTACGAGATTCTTGATACGAACGGTGTCAGCGAAGGCGAAAATATACCGATGGATATCTTGATCAACACAATGCCGTACTAGATGTACCCCTTCCTGCACCTTATGCCCGACGGCTCGCTCTTCATTTTCTCGGACACCTCCTCCGAGATCTTTGACGTGGCTGCCAACGAAACCATCAGGAAGATGCCCGTTATGCCTGGGCTGCACCGAACCTATCCCAACACCGGCGGCAGCGTCATGTTACCACTGCACCCAGGGAACGACTACAAGCCTGAAATCATGATTTGCGGTGGGGGACAAACACAAGCGATTGACAGCGGGTGCGAATCAAGCTGCGGAAGGTTGAAACCTATGAGCCAGAATCCTCGGTGGCAGATGACCGGGATGCTAGGGCCTCGGGGAATGGTAGAAGGGATCCTACTGCTCGATGGCACTGTGCTCTGGATCAACGGCTGTCATATAGGCGCACAAGGATTTGGACTGGCGACCGACCCGGCCTTGGAAGCCCTAGTCTATAATCCGAGATCGTATACCTGGACTGTATCTGGAAGAACCTCAATTGCCAGGCTTTATCACTCTGTCGCCTTCCTACTCCTGGATGGAACAGTGCTCATCGCCGGGAGCAATCCAAATGAAATGCCAGTCACGCTGCAGCATGTTGAAATCCATAATCAGTACAAGGCCTTTCCCACGGAATTCAGGATGGAGATTTGGACGCCGCCATATTTACGGGGTGGCAAGGCATCTCGAAGACCCAGGAACATCAGCCTCTCGACATATACCCTGGCGTCTGGTGCAAGATTTAGCATTGAATTCAGCACCGTGGACGAGACCGAGACGCTCGACATTGTTCTCTACAGTGGAGGCTTCGTCACACACTCAGTCCACATGGGCCAGGTGATGCTGTACCTCGAGAACAACGGTTGCGAGAGCTTGAGCGACGGTCGAAGGAGAGTTGAGGCGTGCATGCCAGAAGGGATCAAACTTGCCCCTGGACCGTATGTGGTGTATGTGGTTGCCAATGGCATTCCCGGAGTCGGGCAGTTTGTTACCTTGCGCGTTTGACCTGCGACCGCTTGTTTATTCTTGGTTTATTGCTTGAATGAGCAGTATTAATGTAGGGCATCAGGACGGACGACGTTTGATATTCCATTAGCACATTCTGATCGAAGTCAAATCTTGTCGTTTTCAATGTTGTGCAATTTTCTTCTCATGCTCCACCGTAAACCTTAGTACGTTCAAATATGCGGCAAAAGGCGTAGTTACGAGAATGCGAGCCTCGAAATCATCCACAACGCCCAAAGTGTTCGCACGTCCATTGCCTGCGAGATTTCCAAATGGCAGAAGATCCGCCGAAAGTACCGTCGCCAGACCTGGCGCAGGCAATTATCCCTAGTGTCGACGGAAGCACAGATCTACCCTCCAACACCACCGCGGGACAAACATCAGAACCAGCCCCGCGACCAGCGCAAGATGGTGAGGGCGACTCAGTCATGACTTCGCCCACTGCGCCCATGACCGCGGCGTCTGCGCCAGTATCTACTCTCCCAAGCACCACGACCGGCGGACCAGTCCCCCTCGACTCGCCCTTACGCAGCACGCCAATCCACCCGTCCCTGCCGTCGGTGAAAGTCCCCGAGGCCGCACTGACGAGCAGCGCGCCGAACACGAACCCGATAACCCTGCAGCCGTTCACGGAGGCCGAGCTGACGAAGCACGGGTTCGGAAAGCTCCGGGCGCAGATTTTTGCTACGGCGGCGAACAGCGGGGGAGGGCTGGGCGAGAGGGAAAAGGAGGAGATAGCCCGCATGCGCGAGGAGACGGCGGCGCTGCTGAAGCAGAAGCTCGACGAGCGGGAGGCCCGGGTGCGCGAGATCGAGCGCGAAATGGAGGAGAAGGAGAAGATCCGCGAGGTGGAGAGGAAGGTGTTCCGCAAGAAACTGGCCGGTGGGAAGGAGATGTGAGTGAGATCAGAAGGGAAAAATTCGCCCTCGGACCCCCCGTTTCGTGTCGAGCGGGCGGCTGGCTGGCTGCATGGACTGGCTACAGTAGCTGGAGAAGAGAGTCGTCCATCTCATTCCCCAGGCGTGAATGGCTCTGAGATGCTCTGGGCAATCAATGTCTGCGCACTACGGCATGGAAAAACACCTAGGTTGAAGGGCGGAAAGGCCAAGCGTTGCAATTCTATGGATGGCGGTGTGCTCTATTACGATGAAAGTCTATGGGTTCAACAAAACCAGATCCCGTCTATCCAACTCCTTGATCTATCCAGCCGAGCGCCGTCGTGGAAGCAAGACGCCTCTTTCGCCCGGAACCTCACGCGGCACAACAACAGAATTCAGAAAAGCCCCTGGGTGCAAAGCACCCAACAAAGCAAAGACCAAAACAGCAATTTGTATGCCAGTCCCTCCCTGACTCCCCTGGCCAGCTCCTCAACCGCATGTCCCCCTTCCTCAACCACACAACGTCAATGTCAAGTCGACGGCCTCCCGACAGTCATGCTGCTGTCCCCAGTCGTTGTGCACATTGTACGAGGCCATACAGTACTCCTCCCCGGGCGCACAGTGCAGGGGGACACAGTTGCCCTCGACGACGTCCGGGGTCAAGGTCATGCCCTCGTCCTTGAAGGCGTGCTTGATGGCGACCTCGCCGACGTAGGCGCCCAGGCCGTCCTCGTCGCCGATGATGGCTTCGCCCTGGTGGGCGTCTTCGTCGAGCCACCCGGCGTCTCCAGCGTTGACCATGCTCAGATCGTACCAGGTCCGCTGGAAGGAGTCGTGCCAGGTCCACTCGAACTGGACCGGCGCCGTGTTGTCGGAATCGGTCCGCCACAGTTTCCAGCTGACGCCCATGCGCGGGTCGTGGGCGAAAGGATGCGACAGCCCCTCCTGGGGTTGGAGGATGGAGTAGATCTCCTCCGGCGGGCCCTCCACCCCAGGACGGGGTCCGTGCACAATGTTGCTGTGCACGATGAAGGGGCAGTTGTTGTACACGACGGATTGGCCCAAGTAGCCATCACCGCGCCCGCCAAACTCAGCCGGCGCGCTGGGGTCGGTACCGGCGCTGTCCTCGGGTGCCGCCGCGGCTTCGTCTGCCTCTTCAGGTTTTGGTTCGGCGGCCTCTGGCGTGGTTGTTTCGGAGTGCCCTTCGGACGCACCGGCTTCTGCTTCCCACTGCTTGTTTGCAGGGGCTGCCGGCGCGTGCTCCATGGCACTGTGGCATGCGAAGGCAGAGTCCTCCTCCGCGGACGGTTTGATGCCCGCATCGTCGTGGTAGGTGGGCAGGGCCGAGGCGAGGAGGCTCATCGCGGCAACGCCGAGGGTGGCCGCGGTTGCGACCGAGAAGAAACGCATCTTGGCGACGGTGTCGATGAAGTCCTCAAAAGACGTTGACTGTGCGAGTTAGCCTCCCTGTCGTCCACCATGTGTTTCAATTGTGTTCTGTTTGAAAGAACTAACAGACGTGCAAGGAGCTCACAATGGCGCCTGCCGCAGCCACGATTGACCCAATAATGCCCCCGACGCTCCACAGTGGCATCAAAATGTACTGGATGATTTGCGTGAACATGAATCGTCACCGCGTGGATGTTCGTTTGGGAAGGCGAGGGAGAGTGTTGCCGGTTGTGTTTGTAAGGACAATTTGAGGCTGAAGCGTTCCTGGATGGCAACGGTGAGGGTTGAGGGAAGGTGAAGGTGCAGATGAAGATGAAGAATGCCTCTCGAGCAAAGGCAGGGGATGGATTGCTGCTCTCTTTATAGTCCCTGGCCTTCGGTCGGTCTCGTTGCAGAGTTTTGATCGGCATTTCTTCCTCTGGATTGCGCGACCAGGGCGTTCCTGTGGTCCATCTTCCCTTTCGCTCGCGGGTGCGACTCGACAACGAAAAGTCTTGGGGTGGGGGGTGGATGTACATGGCCTCAACAACGCCGTGGCCGTGTAATGGTGTCTACCCCCGTGCAAGCTTTTGCAAAACGTGGAAGAGTAAATAAATGGGTGCTCCGCCCAGCAATGCAAGGCTGAGAGCCTCGACGATCGCGAAAAGGGGAAGAAGAGAGAACCAGAATCGAAGAACACGAGTGGAGTAAACACATTCCTGATTTAGGGTCTCTCTGGCTCTCTTGTCAGTTCAGGTCTCGCGTGGAATCCATAAGAATCTGATCGTCGCGCTCAAAAAGAGCCAGGTTCTCGAGGAGTCAAGAGCACGAGATCCATGGATCCTGAAAACAAAAAAACAAAAAAAAAGGGGGAAAGAATTTGGCTTTTTTTGTTTCTTATTTTTTTTTGCTATTTTTGACCCCCCATTTTCCTTTCGCTGTAGTAGCTGAGGTACGGAAGATCGCAAAGGGGGCTCCAATGGGCAAACATCTGTGGCTCGCGGTCTAATCCGCGCAAAATCCAAGGCTCTGCCGTGCGCCAAGTCGACGAGGTGCAGTGGTTCAGGGGGTGGTAGTGGATGAGATGAGCGAGTGAGGTCGAGTGAGTGAGGGAGTGGAGTTTGTTGGGCGCGCGCAAGGCTGGGGAGGAAAAGGGGAGAAAGACAACAACGACAGCAACAACAACAACAACAACCACGACCTGCGCACAGTTGTACGGTACAGTATTGAAACTTATCTGGTATGACCACCACGTGCCACTACCTCCTAGGACAAGATCCTGTTGAAAAATACCAAGGGACTCGGTACCAGCCGGTGTTGCGCTGCAAGTGGAGTTGAGTTGATAGGAACAATATGCTTCTTTTACGGTCAACGTAACAACAAGGCTCCGAATGGCGTGGGATCGCTCGCGGGGAAAAACTTCGGCCCTACATGCTCTAAAACGAGCTGGCCACGGTCTCATGTGTTCCTCCTCTTGGAATACTGAAAAAGGGAAAGATTGTCTGCGAGCGGAACCAAATTCGGAATTTTCAGGGTATCATTGCCGTACGTAGGTATGCATAACTAAAGAAAACAAGGATATATGCTGCTGGGGCAGCTGAATAGATGGGAAACAAATTACCAATACCCATCCGACTGCACAAGCCTCGTCCCAGCCAGCCCGCATTGTCCAAGACCATTTCCATACAAGCGAGACAGAGTACCCAGGCTGCAACTTTTCCCCTATCAACCCTCACAAGCCCTTGAATCAGGCCACATCAGCAGTCGCAGTTCGATCACGAAGGTCGCCCTTCTTTTCGTCCTGCTCAATCGCGGAGCTGGAGCTGTCCACTTCCGTGTCCTGAATCTCCGCCTCAATAATAGGACCGTGGTAGAACCTCTTGCCGCGGAGGTACCAGTACACCATGGCACACAACAGGATGAAGGCCAAGAAGACGATGGCGTAGTTCATGTTGTCTGCCGTGACCGGTCGGATCGTGGGCATGAGGAAGATGATGGAGACAAACAGTGTCCATGTACATGCCCACAAGTTCACAAAGAAGGAGAATTTACCCAGATGCCACGGCCCAGGCTCGAACTTGTTGAAGACGAGCTTGCAGAAAATGGGAATGACGTACGACCAATCGAGAGCGATGGCGCACACGTTAAATACGCCCGCAATCGCAATGTACGAGCCCAGAGCGATCAAGTTGATGGCAATGCACCAGAAGATGCTGATCCACACCGCGTAAAGTGGAGTCCCGGTCCATCGATTGATGATGGTCCAGACCTTGGAGAAGGGAATCAGGCGATCGCGAGAGAAAGCAAACACAGTCCGTGCCAACGCCTGCGTTGCCGTCCAGCAGACGAATTGCAGAATGAGAAAGGCCGAAACCGTGAAGAAAATGCTGGCGCCCTTGCCCAAGGAATTGTAGAAGATTTGAGCAACGGGCTGATAGATCGGAGAGGCGAGGATTTCGGCGGCATCTCCCATGCAGAAGCAGAGCACGATGTTGAAAAGCCATCCGAGAACGTAGGTGCAGATCATGGCAAGGGAAATAGCCCACGGGGCTTTGATCTCGGGCTCGCTGATTCTGAAAGAGGTCAGCGTACGCATCTGGAAATCGCAAGGGTGTGCATGACTTACTCCTCAGTAATGTGGGCCGTGGCATCATAATCCGTCATGGTCCACGAGACTGACAAGAAACCAAACAAGAAGGACCATCCGATAGGGGTCCAGCCGGCGCTTCCCTCCACATGGGTGAAAACGTAGCTTGCATCGTGCTTGTTGTCGGTCACCGCGAGGAGGGCAACCGCACAAGCAATCAGGACCCCAAAGTGGTAAATGACGTAGGTCTTGGTCATTTTCTCCATCCAGTAGGTCGAAAGAGAGTTGACCAGCCCACAGAGCACCGTTAACGCGGCCATGACTCCGACCGTCTGGTTGGTGGTGGGAAACCATTGAAAGTCGCGACCGATAGACACTGCGGCTAGGAGAAGTTGAGCCGAGCCGTACTCAGACGAGGCAACACCGGCGACCTGTCCCAGGAGATTGATCCATCCGACGACCCAACTGATGGAGGGGACCCATTCCTTCGGGGCTAGTCGAGAAACCGTGTAGTATAAGCCACCACAGGTTGGATAGGCGGAGACCAGCTCGGCGACGGAAAAGGCAATGCACAAACATCCAGCACCTGAGATCAGCCAGCACCACACGACCGAGGCGGAGCCACCAGCTTCGAGCGGATAGATGAACGTGGTAGCAGTGGTCGCGAAGAGGCCGGAAATACTGACGGCGAAGGAGAAGGTGGAGAGGTAGCCGAACTCGCGCTTGAAGACCTGTCGGGTGGTTAGAACAGCCTCGTTCTTGTTACTCAAGGGCGGCAGTCCGCATTCCACATACCGGCTTGTATCCGAACTGCTCGGCAAGAGCTCTGTCGGCCGCATTCAGCTCGTCCAACTGAACCGTCCTGCGCCGACCTTGAGCATCTTGAATCTCAACTGTGCCAACGCTGTGTCTGCGCAATTCGCCGTCATCAATGGGGCCTAGGTTTACTTCTTTGTTGGCCATGTTCGTGGAGTGAGTGATATTTCCGAGTTCTCTTTTGTGTTCAGTCCTTCGCTCGAGACCAGTGGGAATCCTTGTATTTGTAGAGCAGGGTGTTGGCGTATGTTTGCAACGCAACGACTGATTTCAGCTCAGCGCCACTTGCGATAGCGAACAACCCGTTTGACACAGGTGCAATAAAAGGTCACTCTTTCATCCACGTCGGAAATCGATTGCATGTGCCGCTTGTTGGTGATGCGGTTGAGAGGAGTGACGGCCCGAGTGGTACGTTCAACTACGAGCTGGTATGGGTCGCTGAACAACGCAGCGCACAGTCTGTCGATCGGTTTATTGGGACAGAGAGGGAGAGAATAAGAAACAGAGAGTTTCAGACAAGCCTGAGGAACAAGAAGGAAGAGCGAAGGCGGCTAGCTTTCTGCGATGCCGAGGACGCTGGTGAGGCTTGATCTGCGCATCGTAGCATTGGTGCAAGGACATGGGACTCTCGGCGATGGCGGTGGAGGTCTGATGAGGTAGCCATGATGCCAACTGGGACCCGCCGGGGATGGAGGAGGAAGAATCTTCGATAGAGACCCGGGGGCGGCGGTTCGATTGGGCAGATTCGACAGAACGAAGTTGTCAAACACGATGGCGTGGGATGTGAGTGGACGAAAGGGACGAGAGATGGATCGCGGTGCCCGCCACGAGAAGAGTCTCTCTACGTAACTAGGGCTTCCAGCTGCATGGGGCGACAACCTTGAGCAGGGAGGAGCCGGACTCTGCATGGCTTTTGCCTTTGGAGGGGTGGAGAAGGGCCTGCTTTGCTCGGTCTTTGCTGGACGTGGCAATCGACAGGATCCATCAGACGGGCTACTTCGGCTGAGGCTTGAATTAACCTGCCACTTGCCCACCGGGTGCCACCCAAAATCCTTCGATTAGGCCCGGTCTGGAGAATGCATGGAGATGCCTTCCAGGCACCGGACCATCAGATGATTCGATAGAGGCGCCTACGGATGAGGAGAGCCCGCCTAGAGCCCGCCTAGATGCTACCCACAGCCCACTCACAAGCCACCTAGAAACAAACTTCTTCAACCCCTCAAAAATCTCCAGCCGTCGCTTCAAGTTGCAAAATCTCCACCCCTGACGTTGTGCCCCCGGTCCGAGGGCAAGATTACTTGGACATGGAGAAGAAGAGGAAGAAAAAAAAAAAAAGGCGAAAAGAGAAAAAAAAAGGAAAAGATAATTGAGTGTAAATGGCTCAACAAACGAAATGGATCAGCATGTCAATCTCTGCGGACCCTCCATCTGCACAACACTGTCATTTCCGATAAGAATCCAGCTTCTCAGGTGCTGTGGCTACCACTTGGTGGCTACCTCCTCGCACTACTGATAAGCAGGTGGCAGCACCTTGGTGGTTAGGAGCAATGGTCATCATTCGATTTCTGATAAGCCCAGATGGGGGATAAGTTCAGAGCATGGATGGCATTTCCCTGCCTAGATGAGTACCAAAGTCCTTGATCTATTAACCCTAAACAGCTATCCTTTGCGGATTGGTCTCTGCTGCTCTCGCGACAATCGTATCACGGGCCTCTCATATGCAAGCCTTGCCGGTCCGTTCGAGGCCGGCTGACACCAATACGAGGCACCACTACTCCTCCATTCCCCTCTCGTGGAGGCGGGCTGCTCGCCTCAAAGTGCCCATTTGGTGTTAGTAGGCTTCCAAGATGTGACTACAGCTGGTCTCGAGACAGTTGCAGGATACCACAGGACGTCCATCTACTCTGGGCAGCCATGACAAAGGAAGGGGCACGAAGTTGATGCAAGATACCAACGGTCACTAGGACAATGGGATCGTGGACCATGTATCGAATCCATTTGAGAATTCAAGAGCTAGCTGTTTCTGTCTTTCTCTGCCTCTGTCTCGGGCATTTCGTTGCCAGAAGACCCAAGCCGAGTCCTCGCACAACTGGACTTGCGACACACCATCTTGTTCGACAAAGCACAGAGTGGAAAGGTCGTGCTGATGAGGCTCAACCACTCACTCGTCCCTTTCGATATGGAAGCCATCCTTGTGCCTCCAGAGACCATTTCAACAGTCCCATATGAACTGCCGTAGCTTGTTATTTTTTCTTGAAATACCGACACCGAGCTGAAGCATCCATCCAATTCCAGGGGATCGCGAAGGCGAAAGCGGCCACAACTGTCAGCGGACAATGCGGTTGTTCACCATGAATCCAGTTCACCAAGCTCCGCCGGCATCGACTTCAGCATCGCTGGAAGCAGTCCAGTTACCATTGGCAGTTGCATCAGTTCCGGCAGCCGAGCCCCAGGCATCGCTGGCAGCGTTGGCACCACCTGCACCCCATGCATCGCCTCCGGCACTAGCAGCGTTGTCACCAGTTCCCCACGCATCACCTCCAGCGTCACCCGATGTAGCACCAGCATTGTTCTCGTAGTCTGGCTCCTCCTCTTCGTCAAAGTTCAGATCACCTTCTGGCTTGAAATGTGTAAGGAAATCAGGAACATCCTGGTTGGTTTCGAGTAGGATCTTGGTAAGGAATGGACCTAAAGCTTCGTCGCCCTCATTGTAGAAGGAAGTAGCAAGACCTTCGTTGCCAATGCGAGCAGTGCGACCTATTTGTGGTTAGCCGTGGTAAAAGGACCATGTTCGGGCTGACATACCAATGCGATGAACGTACTCGTTCTTACCATCATGGTCTGCAGACGGGAGATCAAAATTGATGACATGCATGACATTGCGGACGTCGAGACCACGAGCCGTCACTCCAGTCGCCACAAGAATAGGAGTCTGGCCACCTTTGAACGAACGCAAAGCATCCTCACGTTCACTCTGAGTGCGATCGGAGTGGATAGAGGTTGATGGGAGACCCAAGTTGAAGAGATAGTCGTCAACAAAGTCGGCGGTCTTCTTGAATCTCACGAAGATCAAGGTACGTGAAGGCGGCATGGAAATGAGCAAGTCATAGAGCGCCTTCATCTTCTTGTCTTTGTCGCACCACATGATCTGAAATAAGTTAGTTACAACATGTGTTCACTGTTGAGGGAGTCAAACATACGTTCTGCTTAACGTTGACATGGACACTTCCGGTTCTGCCAACGCTAACGTGGACATAGTCAGATGCAAGATATTTGGCCGCAAGCTTACGGACACGCTTGGGGAAGGTTGCACTGAAGAGAAGGTAACGATGATCGCCATCAGTATTGGCATCTAAACGAGGTCAGTATACAAAGTAGTGCGTGGATAGGTGTGCGCGGATAGGTACTTACCTCCACCACCCATAATCTTTGACATCTCCTCACCCCAATCATCATGGAGCATCTCATCAGCTTCATCCACGATAGTGTAGCGAACACGAGCCAAAGATAGAAGTTCAGGACGGCCCATAAAATCGAGGAGACGGCCAGGAGACGCGACAAGTAAATCACAACCGCGTTGAAGTTGAGCGGCCTGGTCTCGAATCGGAGCACCGCCATAAGCGACACACGGACGAAGCATCGAGCGATAGCAAAGCCGACGGGCTTCATCGAAGATTTGACAGCACAATTCGCGAGTCGGAGCCACAATGAGGATCAATGGTTCGGCTCGGACTCGATCACGAGTAGGATCGAACCCCTGGCCAATATTCGGGCGAGGCGCTGCTAACTTCTTGACTTTACCCATCAACTTGGAGATGGTTGGGATCAGAAAGGCTGCGGTTTTGCCAGACCCTATAGTGTTATTTGTTAATTTGAAGGTGCACGAAGTATCCGCAGACGAGGACGAAGCCTACCAGTCTGAGCAATGCCAATCATATCATGACCTGTCAACACCGCAGGAATAGTGTAAGCTTGGATTGGGGTCGTATGACGGTAGCCACAGAGCTCAATGTTTTCGAGGATGACTGGGTGTAAGCCAGCGTCCTTAAACTAAACAGAGGTAAGATTTGGAACTTAAGGGGGATAGAATGGACTCACGCTGGAGACAGGATTGACACGAGTCTCGGATTCAACTGTGACTTTGACAGCAGTAAGACTAAGAATAATCAGCTTGCAGCTCATTATACGGCGAGGCTTTACTTACTTTTCGAATTTGATGCCGGCACGGTTGATGTGCTCGCCACGGAAGAGATCCTTCTCAAGTCTCTCGTCGCGTGGGCCAACATCCCCGTACTCTTCCTTCCATTCGTACTTTGCTGCGTCGTGGGACCAGTTACTGGTTGCATGCTGACTGACGGCAAGATCCTCAGCGCCAGCTTCTTCTTCGGCTGCAGCTTCCACCTGAACTTGGTCGCTGTTGAGGACTGTGGTCGGGGCACGAGAGGTGTAATTGTTCGCTTTAGGCTCAACCCAGCCAGATTCGCGAGCAAGCTTGATGGCCTCCTCGTTCTTAGGGGGACCAGTAGTTGGCTCGACACCGTTGGCTGGCGTGATATCAGCAAGAGCTGACGCCACCTCAGCGGTATCGAAAGAGGAAGCCATGTTTACTGAAGGAAGTAAACACGACTGGGAGGGCTGAAGAGAACAAAAGGGCAAGGTGAGGTGATGGTGGAAGAGAAAGAGAAAAAGTTTTGAAACTTGGGAGGAGGAGATATTTAAAGAAAGAGCTGCCGGACCGGATCAATCAACTTGGCAAAACCAGATGGTGATCGAGCATGTCTCAGCACGCGTCACCCGAAGCCTGTGATCTGGATAGATGATTTGAGACGTTGAGCGTGGGGAGACGACGTCGTCCGGGGAATCCGGTGACGGTTGACGATGATGTCGTCTATGATGTTGCCGATTATGTCGTCGATTATGTCGTGATGATGTCGCTTGGGCGCAGGCAGAAAGAAGAGGGAGGAGGCCGCAGCCTAGACCTTCTCTCAATCCCAATCTTCTTGCTCAGTCCAAAGTCATGTCCAGTTGCCTGATTGTGCTTAATTTCATTGTATTCTTCGCGTCTCATTTTACTCAGACTCTCTACCTTGGAGAGATGTCTACTGGAATCCACTCGCCCACTGTCCTCTCAGTTGCTCCTGTACGATACCACGCTGCTGACTTCCATAGGACAACACGGAACAGATGTTTGATCTGCCTGAATGTTTGTTCAACCCCGATCTTCTGCAGGAATTGCACTCCAGTGCCTTTGATCAGGACACAAAGCAAATCATCCACTCAAGACGATCAAACGGAAACACCGGGGTTTGACCCGCTCAACTTATACCCAGGCCAGCAAAGGGTTTCATAAAGCCTGCGGAATCAAGCAATCAGGAGCGAAAGAGTCGGGTGCAACAGCACAAGGACTAATCCAGGTAAAGAGGAGGCATAACGGATAGCCCGAGACACGGATCTTTGCGCGCTGATAAGTCTGTACCTTGGGCGACCATGCGTCGCCTCAGGTGAACGGCCTTGTTCCAGTCTGGCCTTGGTGCTTTCACAGCATCAAAGACAGATTCTCCCGTCGGAGAGCAAAGAAGATTCGCATTGAGCAACGAACTGAAACCTTTACCTACAATCCTGTCCCCTTGATTTCGCGTCTGAACAGAGATTGGGGTTGAGAACAGCCCCTGAGGACATGAGATTGCCAAAGGATCAGATTACAATTGGGACTTTCTTGAGAGCATCGGCTGATGCTGAAATAAGCTCTAAGCATTGACGATGGCACTCTGAGGGCTAGTGCTTGCCCGTATTTCAAGAACACTGGAACAAAATCTGAGGCGAGTCGAATACGCTGCGAGAGCAGGCGGCTGGCTCCTTCCAAGACTGTGATATGGTCAACGCCATCGGCAATTATGATAGCGTGGAGTGTCTATTGACAAGGACGGCCGCCGATATTGTACACAAGGAAAGAACTTGGGCGAGAGGAAATGTGTGCATTTTCATCTTCAATCCCCAGCCCCCGCTGTCTCTCGCAGCAATCTCGGTCGTCTGGAAATACCGCTGATGTGCGTGAGGATATATTTAGCAGGGAGCAACATGCAATGTTATGGTTGTGGGAACCTGGGACTCCTCGTGATCCATTTGAGATGAGGGAGATGTTCCAGCCTTTTCAACCAGGCCGGCAACTGACGTAGAATACAGATAGTTTTGTGTCCACCAGGATACTGAAGAGTCTGTACCGCGTACCATCCTTGCCCATCCACAAAATCGGTGAAGTAAAGCAGAGATCGTAATTCCTGAGGCTCATATTCAATTTAGCACTCTACACCCTTTCTCCTGCACAACAGAGTGACCCTCAACGCCTTCATCACCCACTATTTTTTGGTTATAGTAAGGCTCCACTCGTCCCCAGGCTTTGGCAAGGAGAAGCAAACAATGAGGATCTGGGTGGGACAGCAGAAGAGAGAGAACGCATCAGAGTGAGTTCGAGTATCCAAATCCTCAAGGTCTCGTATCACGTTTCTTTGCTTGAGTTTTATAGGCCATGAATTTGGAGAGTATGCTTTCCATGGAAACATTTGGCCGCCATAGCACCACCTTCAGGGATTCCTCGAGTAAATTGTACTGTTAAGCCCAGGACGAGAGTCTAAAGGGTCATCCTCGCATGAAATGGACGTGTCCCAAGAGCAAGTTGCAGCGGGCGGGAAGCGCAAGTTGCAACAGGCAAGTATCATTATCCTTGGCTTCTGTGATCCGCCGTATTTGCTTCTGTAGTGCATAGAGTCCTCACACGTAGCGCACTTCCTCAGCTGCAAAATTCTGTCTTGGCATGAAATTGACATCCTCCCCCACATTGAATTTCACACGTTTTGGGACTGCGAACTTGCCAACATCAACTCTTTGCTCGTTGAGATCAAATCGCCAACATGACTACCCAGCAAGGCGCTATCAGCAAGCGTCGCAAGTTCGTCGCTGACGGTGTTTTCTACGCCGAACTGAACGAATTCTTCCAGCGCGAGCTGGCCGAGGAGGGTTACTCTGGCGTCGAGGTCCGAGTCACACCTACCGTTACTGATATCAGTACGTCTCTCTCTGCGCCAATCCCCCCTATAGGGAGATGGCTTGGACAGCAGAAGTCTCAAACAGACATGAAAACTAATTCGACATCTTGCTGCAGTCATCCGCGCAACACACACCCAAGAAGTCCTGGGCGAACAGGGCCGACGCATTCGCGAGCTCACCTCCCTGATCCAGAAACGCTTCAAATTCCCCGAGAACAGCGTCTCCCTATATGCCGCCAAAGTGCAGAATCGTGGTCTCTCCGCCGTCGCACAATGCGAATCTCTCCGATACAAATTGCTCAATGGTCTCGCCGTGAGACGGGCTTGCTACGGTGTTTTGCGGTTCATTATGGAGAGCGGTGCTAAGGGCTGTGAGGTCGTGGTCAGTGGAAAACTGAGAGCTGCTCGGGCAAAGAGTATGAAATTCACGGTAAGATACAACCCGCAGACCACATCACACCCCAGAAACATCCAATCAGGGCATAACTGACCTTTGGCGATTTATACAGGACGGCTTCATGATCCACTCCGGTCAACCCGTCAACGACTTCATCGATTCCGCAACCCGACACGTCCTCCTCCGCCAGGGTGTCCTGGGCATCAAAGTAAAGATCATGCGCGGCTCTGATCCCGAAGGAAAGGCCGGTCCACAGAAATCTCTGCCCGACAGCGTCACCATTATCGAACCCAAGGAGGAACAACCTGTCGTGCAACCTATGAGTCAAGATTACGGTGCAAAGGCATTGGCTGCTCAACAGGCAGCGCAAGATGCCCGGGCGGCGGCCGATGCCGAGGAAGGCGGCGCCGGCGGGGAGGAGCAATATGCCCAGGAGTAGGAATCCCGAGATGTTGGTGCTTCTTCTACGGTTGCGGCTGTTGGGGCAGCTTGCCAGGCCGTTTATGATGGTGCCGGTGAAGGGCCGTTGGCTCCTACTGCTGTTGTGGTACCGCCTCAGCCGGTCTACGAATCTGCTGGAGTGGATGTCTGGGCTATGGACGATACTGGAGCTACTGGCAGCTGGTGATTCTGGTGATCTGCATCGCACCTAGCGCATGACCGGCAAGAAAAACGGGTTGTGCAAAGAGCAAATGTGACTCGGGGCGCTTCTTTTAGAAAATGGGCCAGACCCACAGTCCTTGAATGCATGTAAAAGAACAGAGAAAACATGTCACGGGCTTTTTCCTAAATAGCGTCGGGCAGACATCGAGTTCTTAATTCTAACTACAAGAACACCTCAACATTGAACTCCAACGCACTGACTGGATATCTCAACTCGAACTTCTCCAGTACCGTTGGATGCAGGATTCCAAAGCTCCCAATAACGACTTCTTTCCCGGCAATTCTCGCGTGGATGCTGGCTCCGTGACCAGGGAAATAGGTCGCATCATCCAGCTCTTGGATCCAGTATTCCATTTTCTTTCCATTCCCTGCTCCATCTCCGCGCATTTCGAGTCCTTCCTCGTGAGTGATGAAAGCCGTTTTGAGCATAGCCATGAGACGGTCCAGGAGACCGTGGACAACTTCAAAACCTGAGGTTTTGCCGTACCATGCGGCAGCAAAGTGTCGCTCATTCCGGGCCTTGCGTTCCAAATTAGCATCCTTGAAGGCAACATCACTAACCTCGAAGATCTTAATAGGGATAGAGTGGTGCTTGTTCTCGCGGATCGTCTTCAACAAGCCGGGCAGCAAGGTCGTGCGGACGACTTGGTATTCCGCCGTCTTTGGATTGGCCAGCCGCACTGCGGTATTGCCATCATCCTTGCGGTTTAGCCACGCAAAGTTCTCATCGTGCGAACAGAGAATAAGTGGAAGGACCTCTGCCCATCCCGCCATGGCGGCTTCAAGACGCAGAATGTCAGAGAGCTTGTTGATTGCCAGTGGTGCAGCGATTGTGGCTCCAACTTTGGGAAACGCACGAGGCAGCTTGTTGAAGCCATAGGCGATGCAGACGTCTTCCATGATATCTGCTTGATGGAGCACATCTGCTCGAGTAGGCGGGACGTCCACGTCGATGAGATTCTGGTCCGACTTTGACGGGCGCGCCGTGTAGGACATACGTGTCAAGAGATTGCAAATTTCTTGCGCCGACAGCGAAAGACCGCAGCAGGCGTTGATGTAGTCCACCTCAGCAACTGTGGATCGAGGTGTAAGATCAGGGACTTGTCTCGATTGACCGTTGTGTTCGGAGACGATCTGGATGGGTTCGACGGTGAATTGGTCTGAGGTGTATTGGGAGAACATAGTGACCATCATGTTGACAACGATCTCTAACTTGGTCTTATCTGTGGCGGTGACTTCCATAAAGACATTCTTGGTGTTGAGAGTGATTTTGCTGAGATCGCCGTTGATGATTGGCGGCAAGGAGCAGACGTTGTGGTTGGAGTCGTAGATGACTGGGTACACCGGAGAGTCCCTGATAATGTGCAGGAAGCGGCCTAGATGCTTGTCCTTTTCATAGAACTGCATGAGCTCTTCGCCGTCCAATTCCTTGGTCTGGTTCAACGGCACGAATTTGATGTCCCTGGGAGGGAGGGCTTCGTAGGTGAACGGCCCCTTGATGGAGTCGAGGTCATGCGTTCCGATCGACACCAATGTCCGCTGCCGCGCCAGGTTTTGGTGCAGTTTGTCTTGCAGGTCAATGAAAGACTCGTATCTGGCCTGGTCGAATTTGATGTTTCGCAAAATTGCGCCAGAGACGTATGGCCGTATCCTCTCGCAATCCTTCGAAACTGTGATGGTCTGGATTTCTCCCTTTGGCGGCGCTTTGAGGACATATTTGGGAGCGGACACTCTGCGATTGAAGATGTTCAGCATGAGTTGAATGCCCTCGAGGCACAACATGTCATATCGATTGGCTGGGATCTCGATCTTTAACTGAGGAGGCTCTTGTTTGCCGTTGACAATCGGTCGTTCTGTCAGTGAGGTGTCCTCATCGAGCTCAATCCCGAAATCAAAACATAGCTCGTCGAACTCCTCCGTTGTGTAGTCTCTTCCGAGTGCCTGGAAAAGGGCAGCCTTGTCCACTGTGATGGTCGGCATGGTGAGGAGCCTCTGATGAAGATTTCTTTCTCTACAAGCTGGTCAGTCGAACCAAGCTCTCCGAAGCGAGTTCTGGGAGAGACAGAGAACAGAATGACTTGCTGGAGACTGCGTGCTCAGCAGCCGAAATGGATCTCTTGACCCAGCTCAGTCAAAGTGAATAATATCGAAAAGACTGTAGAGGCAAGAGTCATCTGCAGGTCTTGGCGGGGCGATTGGGATGCCAGTCTGCGCCCGCAGGAATTTGGCTGTGCCACAGCGTCTGGCATCAATCAGCCCCTTTCAGCCACACGTCCCGACTGTTCACTTTGAATGACGGAGCTCGTTGAGCGAACCTGATTATCCCACCTTTTCAGAAGCAACAATACCCTTATTTGCCCTCAACGAATTCCCTCTCTTCTTCCACATTGACTATTTAGAGGACTGGAGGTCAGTCTGACGGACGCAACCGGTTCTGCGACACCTGCATCGACTCTGTCTCTTGGTTTGTTGTGAGTCGAGCCTTTGCACTCTACGGCGCATACGTGCCCGTCAACCGCGCAGCCTGCCCATATCAGGCCACGACGCACAACCCTTGACGTCTCGCGAACCGGTGGAAACTGATTGCCTTTTACTCAGTCAAGGATGCACTAGAATGTGAACTGGCCCTTTCTGCAACAGACACGACTCGTCCACCCTGCTTTGCGTCGAACTTTAAGCAGACGTGACTGTTCAATTTTCCCGCCGAAAGCCCCTGGCCCAAGGACGAGCTCAATATTGGAAATCTTGCTAGACTGCTCAGGATATACCCGAAATGGAGGGTCAAGATAATGGAGATGAGCTCTATCCCATCGCCGTGCTGATCGACGAACTCAAGGTATGTCCTTGCTATAAACACTCGCTAGACCTCGGACTCCGACTGACATGTAAACAGCACGACGATGTCCTTCTCCGCCTCAACGCCATCCACAGACTTTCTACCATTGCCTTGGCTCTCGGCCCTGAACGAACAAGAGAGGAGCTGATACCCTTTTTGGATGGTGCGGGCCTTTTTAATGCCCCAAAAAGCGGGAGTACAACTGACATCTTTGCCCAGACTCCGTGGAAGATGAAGATGAAGTCCTTACCGCACTCGCTGAAGAGCTAGGAAACTTCATTGAGTACGTCGGAGGCCCTGAATATGGTCACGTGCTCCTTGCACCGCTTGAGAATCTGGCTGCCATTGAGGAGCCTTTGGTGCGGGACAAGGTATGTGAGATTTCTCCTGAGAACGGGCATAAGTCATCTAACGCGGAGAGGCCGTTGAATCTCTGAATAAAATCTGCAATGAGCTGTCAGAGAGGCAGGTCGAAGAGTACTTCATTCCCCTCACGATCCGCCTGTCGAAGGCCGACTGGTTCACCTCGAAGATTTCTGCGACCGGCTTGTACACAACTCCTTACCGAAAAGCATCCCAATCCTCCCAGCAAGTTCTTCGAACCCAATTTGGTCACCTCGTTCACGATGAGACACCAATGGTGCGACGACAAGCCGCAAATAACCTGGCCAAATTTGTGAAAGAGGTCCCAGTCTCGGTTGTGATCGATGAGATGATCCCTCTCTTTCAACATTTGGCCAGCGACGATCAAGATAGTGTCCGACTGCTTACAGTCGAAGTCCTCATCTCCATCGCAGAAGTCATTCCCAAGGAGCAGCAACCGAGTCACGGCGTGCTCCTGACCGCATTGAGGAGCTTATTCGAGGACAAGAGCTGGAGGGTACGATACATGGTGGCAGAGAAATTCGAGAAGATTGCAAAGGCTGTTAATGAGGAGGTTGTCACCCGAGATCTCGTCCCTGCATTCGTCAAGCTCCTCAAGGATAGCGAGGCCGAAGTCAGGACGGCCATCGCCAGCCAAATTCCCGGCTTCTGCGGTCTCCTTGACCGAGAAACCCTTCTGAACGAGATCATGACGTCCATTGAAGACCTTGTGTCTGACCCCAACCAGCATGTTCGAGCCGCCCTTGGAACCCAACTCAGCGGATTGGCTCCAATTCTCGGCAAAGAAGAAACCATCTCCCATCTCCTCCCCATGTTTCTCCAAATGCTCAAGGACGAGTTTCCAGACGTGAGACTGCATATCATCTCCAAACTCGAACTCGTCAACAATGTTATCGGTATCGACTTACTTTCTCAGTCTCTCCTGCCGGCCATCGTTCAGCTCGCGGAGGACAAGCAGTGGCGAGTGCGCCTTGCAATTATTGAGTACATTCCCTTGCTGGCAAAGCAGCTGGGCATGAAATTCTTCGATGAACAATTAAGTTCGCTGTGCATGGGCTGGTTGGGTGACACAGTATTCTCGATCCGTGACGCTGCAACGCAGAACCTGAAGAAGCTCACGGAAGTCTTTGGCGTGGAATGGGCGAATCGATCCATCATTCCCAAAGTCACGGCCATGAGTCAACAGCAGAATTATCTGTACAGGATGACGACCTGCTTTGCCATCACGGTGAGCGCTTCCTTCTGCTATGCGCCCCACTTTTGGACATGTTTTGCTGACAGCTCAACGTTAGATCCTCGCACCAGTGATAACCCTCGATATTATAGCCGAAAGCGTCCTCCCGATGATGGACCGTCTCGTCTCCGACCCGATTCCCAACATCCGTTTCAATGTTGCAAAATCCTACGCCGTCCTTATCGAAACACTCCGCCGCATACCCGCCGAAGGGACACTGCAACAAGAGGAACAGCAACCAGATTCCTCAACACAACCGAATCCTAAAGCGCAGGAGTTGATCGGGCAGATCATGTCAAATTTGGAGAAATTACAACAGGACGAAGATGTGGATGTGAGGTATTTCGCCACTGTGGCTGCGGGCGGAACGAACAATGTGTACGCCCAGCAGTCAGGGGAGAGGATGGATACCGGACAGTAGTGCTTCCGCCGGCAGAAGGATGTGAGGGAGGTGGAGGTGAGGGAGCGCGAGATTAATGTTGATGAGAATGAGGATGAGCCTGTCCAGCATGTCGAGCACGTTGAGCGTGGGATGGAGCGAGAGGACGACATGGGGCATGAGCTGGGCCGGAGGCATTCGCAGTGGACGTTTCCCATCTTTGGAGGAAGGCGGGATGCATGACCGGTGCAAAGGACGGGCATGGGCCAGGCCAAACGGAGGCAGGAGGCTTTCAGCGAGATTGATCCTGCCGGGCGGGATGGCTGCATGGCCTGGCATGGCTGTGAACACGGTGCATTTGTACGAAGACCAGCGAAGTCGCGCGGAACGAAAACATTGGCAAGGGAGAGAAGAGCCCGCACGAAGGGACGGACAGACGGCACGGGAGAGAAGAGAAGAAGGAACGCCATTCAGATATCGGAATAGATGTCTGGAGTCGCGATTCTGGACTTTGTTCCCCTTTGCACACTGCGCGGTGGAAGAACTAGATAGACTTTCCAAAGACCATTGAAGAAAAGAAAAGAAAGAGCGGACCCCTGACTCTCGCCCTCTTCCTCATGCCCATCCTCCAACCCTACTAGTCCGGGTCCTATGGCTTTGGTACGTGTCCCTCTCGCTTCCGCACTGATGTCCTCGGTATCTCGAACCAGGGGTATCGCGTTCCTCTTGCTCAGATTTGTGCCCGAAGAGGATATCTATCATCTACTCGGTACATGCAAGCATTACCTCCCTCCTCGACCCCTGACTCGACCTACGGTAATAACATGCACGAGACTCGTACCGAAGATGTGTGCATGTGTTCATGTGTTCATGTAGATGTAGGTGTATACAAAACGGGGGGTGGGAGGATTCCCCGACGCCCCTTTAATTTTTTTTATATTCAAAGCAAGCCGCCGCGAGGCACTTCTCGTTCGGCGATGCGAAGCACAACGCCATTTCTATACAAGTTTTCAGTACCCTTCGGCGGGCGTCCCCAGGACCATTAGATGCCGAAGCCAATATTATATCGATCGTCGTCGATGAGGCGGCCGTACCTGCGGATCAGCGGTCAGCGTTGCTCGGGATCCAAGCATGATCGAACTCCCCGAGATTGGGGGGGGACGGGGAAACTCACTCTAACAACAGCCGGAAATACCACACCTCCAGATCCTCGTTTCTGAGCACCTTTTGCGCCCAACTCCTTCCGTGCTCTGCTATTCTTTTACCCTCAACCTTGCCAGCTTCCTCTTGATCAAAGTATCTCACACTCTCGGCGTATTCATCGCCAATCAAACCGAGTGGGATGTAATGCACCCACGGCCTGAGCCATTCGTCGTGCCATTCGCGGAACACCGCGAGCTTGTAGACAAGAGACTTGCTCAACAGCCAGGCGTAATAGCGACCGGAGAAAGCATTACCATCTATATCAAGCAAATAGCGCGACGCAAGTGCATCAAACATATTCACAGGCTCCACGGTTCCAAAGTACTCACGTTGAGCGTCGCAGTCGCCAGGGTCACATTGTCCAATATATGTGAACTTGACGTCGAAATAATGCGCTACGTCCGCCGCAGAAATGGTCTTCTCGCGCCACAGAGAGTCTTCGGCCGAAGTGTTGGTGTCTAGTTCGAGGACCTTAGCGGTGTTGAGCGGTTGGATCTTCGTGAGGAATCGCTGGCGGTGTTGTCTTCTCCACCCGCCATCGCGAGAGAAACCACCTGTCGTACTGCCTCGCCAGTACATCGTGGGAGCCTTCTGTTCCCAAGGCATATCCCGCTCCGGCTCGTATTTGACGCGACCCATGAAATACCAGGGTGATGGGTAGAGGATGTCTTGGAAGGAAGAGATTTTTGACTGAGAAAAGATGGGGAATAAGTCGTGCGTGACGTCGAACGCGTTGGGCCGGTCGAAGAAGCCATATGATTTCTCCATGCTGGGTGAGTTGCAGATGTCGGAGAAGGCGGTGGTGTTCCGGATGAAGCCAAGGGGTAGATCCGAGTAGGTCGTCATATTGTCTGGGCATGAGTCGCTGAGACAGTTACGCGCAGCGCTGTCCGGGGAGCATGAGATTCTGGAGTTGCTCCACGTCGGTTGATGGGCAAACCGGTTGAAGCGAGTGGTTTTGTATTCTTTGATGCGAATCCCCTCTCCCAGATCTTCGGCGCGCGTCGACCATTCGTTCTTCAACTTTTGGGCGCTGTAGGCCTTGGGTATGTTCTCGTCCTTGGCCACTTGGACGTGATGTAGGAGGTCGTCGTGCTGCATCACCACGCGGGGCTCGTCATGAATGTTAAACGCCAAATCCATATCGGGCAGGTATTTGATGAAGTCCTTCAACATAATGGGAGTCGCCTCCCTATGCCACTCGTACATATCTCCACCTCCTTCGATTTTCGTAACCTTGCCATTGCGAATCATGACCGCGATCAAGGCATTGTCGAATCCAATTGCCTCTCTTGTCCTCTCTCTTATGACTGAGGGCTCCAATGCCCAGAACGGCAGCAACTGGTGGTATATAGTGTCATACTCGTCAATGAGTTCGACGCCCCGCTTTTTCGCAAAGTTGTACCATTTGTCGAAGTGCGGAGGAGGCGGCAGCTTGTACCGCCTGCGGTACTCGGCTACGGCATCGCTGAGGGATCGTGACTGGCGAGCTCGAACGGTCTGAAAGTCACCTTCTCCTTGGGTGACTAGCTGGTGGATAGGATGCAACAGGGAGCTCGCCGGGAGGAGTGGCTGGTTCTCCTCGTGCGCATGGTGGCCTTGGAAGAGCGAGGCCGTCGACTCCTCGAGGGTCTGGATCTGCGCGGGGCTTTGGAGGAAGTATAGAGTGAGAGCAGCGGTGCTGACAAGCAGGATCAGAGCGAGTAATTTCCGCGACCTTAGCATGCCTCGGACATGGCTTGGGTGCCGATGCAAGTTTTCCAGAGTCATGCACAGTGCGGCGATGCCCAGGTCTGGCGCATTGACGTGCAGCTGCTGCGTCGAGTGATCAGCGTGGTGTTGCACGCCTCGTGGGTGATCTTCGAATCAGGCTCTGGAGAAAGCGTCCTAATCCGTCTGGAGATGCAGGTTGCACAACAGGAGGGAATGGCGTATGGCACGACGAGGGAGCCTTTTGGCGATGTCGAACTTGAATGGGATTGTCGCCATCTCTCCAAATGCCTGGGAAAAGGAGAAACTCAAAGCGGCGGCGAACGACGGGGTGCAGCTGACATAATAATTCTACGGTGAATCTATTCTGCTCGCAAGCGCGATTCCTTCCGCAAGGCTGCCATATCGAAATGCATCCTCCCGGCATCCCACCCAGCTCAATACCCCAACGCCTTCCACAGTTTCTTGGACAGACTACTCCCAATGTCCGACCACATACCCGTCCACCCTCGGGCCTGCGTCACCAGATTCGTGATACCAATGATCCTTCTCGTAAACAGGTCCGTCTGCTCGAAGTCGTCCGCGTAGCAGTCCCACACCGCTTGGTCCTCTACAGCTCGCTCGAGACCCATCGTCTTCGCGTCCTTCTCGGAAGTCTTGGTGGCTATTATGAGAGCTCGGCCGATGATGCCTTGGTCTGCCACAAGGCGCGTCGTGGCATCGACCACTGACTCGATCTTGGCCATTCCGCCGCCCGCAAGCACGAAGGCACCGACGGGCCCTAGGATCGGCGTGTCGACGAAGTCTGTATCATCGATGAGCGATCATGTAACTTGTAGTTATTCCGTTGAGTCTCACATGGATTGATCATGTTCACCCTCACTCCGCTCTTCAGCGGGACTGTGAGCCGCAATGTGCGGAACAAGCCAACCACACCATGTTTCGCCGCTGCGTAGAGAGGTTGACCCGGTAGACCCGCCAGCCCAGCAATGGAGGAGACAAGAATGAGGTGTCGATCTCGCGTCCCCGAACGCTTGTCGGCTTGACATTTCTCGCTCCCTGGGTTCCGGGACAAATACGATATTGCCAGGTGTGTGGTATACAGGACTCCATTGAGGTTGATGTCCAGCGTGCGCATGGCTGGCTTGGGCGGCGGACCATCATCCATCCTCGCATAGTCAGGCGGGTCCTCAAATAGAAGCTGCTCCGGTGCATCGGCCACGCCAGCATTGGCCATGACATGGTCAATCCCGCCGTGCGGGCTCAGTCGCGCCGCTTGTTTGAAGCAGGCGGCTTGACTCTGCCAACTCGTCACGTCGAGCGGAATGAAATGGTGGTTCTGGTTCCCCGTGGACTGGCGGGTCTGAGCCACCAGCTCCGTGCCGGCTTTCTCGTTGATGTCGCCAATGATCACGTTGGCGCCGTGAGAGGCCCATTCTTGGAAGCAGGCTGCCCCGAATCCCGAAGCACCTCCGGTGATGAGAATCGTTTTGCCCCTGATGTTGTCACGGTTGATGGGCCGAGCTGTGTCGATGGGCCCAGAGTGGACGACACTGGAGCCGTAAGGGATCACGCCAGGTTGTGGCTGCGCCATGATCCGTGTGTATGATCAAGACAGATACTGGCAGCCAAAGGAGTTGGGTAGCGTAACCCTCAGGTTCTCTCCCCGCGTTACCTCTGTGATTGTTGTTGTTGCTACCGTATCCAAACCATGCCCATATTCAGCTGTAGTAGGTGGCCGACACTCGAACAAGAGAAGAAGCTTGTGAAGCTGGCCGAATCTAGCTATGGTTATGCTCGAGACGGTGAGATGCCAATGTCCCAAAAAGGACTCGAGGATAAACTTCGGCTGTTAATGCCTTTCCTTCTGGTGTGTTCTCCGTTCAAACACGTTCGAAGTGATTCATTTGTCTAGCCAATCATTCTAGCATCTATACTGACCAAAAGTCGCTTTTATGAAGAACCATGTAACTACTATCAGGCTGTTATAGCAGGATGCGGTTCTCCATTGACTTTGAGCCGCTCCTTGATCTCTCTCGACGGGATATTCTCCAACTCTTTGAGGATGTTCAACTCTGAAGCAGCTGATCCGCCAGCGTCCAGACCTCTAAAGCCCTCCTCAACTCTCCATCTCTTATCTTGATCGGCCTTGTAAAGGACCTCACAAGAATGGCCAACAACGAGCAAGCCGGGCGGTCTGGATCCTTCTACCTCCACAGCCTGACAGACATGCTGGAGGGTTGATCGGATCACCCTCTGGTCCGGACAGCTGGCTCTTTCAATCACGGCGCATGGTGTACTGGATGGCCAGAGTACCCGTCGGGCCGCTTCCTGGTTCTGATCTTCCGGAGCTTGTGTCAGGCTTTTGACCAAGCTGTCTAATCTGTGCAGAGCCATGAGAAACACCACGGTCTTGCTCTTTCTATAGGATGGTGGCTCCGGCGCAGCCCCCTTTCGACCGGTTCCGGTACAGATGACGACCTGGTCGGCAACAGCTCGATGAGTCACTGGGATATCAGCAAACATGGGTGCCGAGAGGGCGCTGGTAATGCCCGGTATCACCCTGACCTCGAAACCTCGTTCTCGGAAAAAGGTCACCTCTTCAGCTCCGCGACCGTAGAGATAAGGATCACCTTGCTTCAGTCGGAGCACATCCTTGCCTTGTTCCATAGCCTCCAGCCCCATGTGAAGCATCTCCTCCTGCGCTGCATCCGCATTGCCAGGGAATTTTCGGGCGATATGGACGGGCGTCCTACGAGGGATCAGAGCCAGGATTTCGGCAGGAACAAGCTTGTCAGCCAAGATGACATGAGCCGTTTCTATGGCTGTCCGGGTGGCAATCGTCAGCAGAGAAGGATGCCCTGGGCCCGATCCAGCCAAGGTTATCGTGCCTTTGCGGGGAGGTAGCGACGGAAGGAGACTAGAGGTGTTGTCTGAACCAGGGCCAGGAGTCTGTGCGGTGGTTCTGTACGCTTCTAGTATTGCTGCCACGTCGGCATCCGTGATTGCTGCAAGTCGATTCAGGGGCCAGTACTCGCATATCTGCGAGAGCCATCTCATCCGACGAGTGCGCAAAACAGCTGGATCTCGATCGTCCTCCTTCACTAATGAGTTGAAGGTATGTTTCTGCGCCGCAGCTTCTTCGTCCTCGCCCTCAGCATCAGGTACCTCGTTGGGATTTGAGGCATTCGACTTGTAGTCCTCTGCCCATATCCGCCTCCGCACAGTACCCAGTCTCTCGACAGCAGCGCCAAATTTCGGTGGTAGGGTGGACACAATCTCACGTCGAATGCGCGACGATAGCTTGCAGCCGTTGCCCGATGTGGTTATTCCAATCTGGAGAGGGCCGTCTGAATAGGTCGACAAGAGCGTGAACGTGCAAAGGTTCGGTGCGTCCACGACATTGACCGGTATCCGCATGCGCTTGCAGAGGCTGGACACGTGGGAGCTGCGAGGATCTTTCGCGGGGAGAGTGACAAACACCGCGTCCACATATCCGTCTATTTCTTCTCTTCCCCACGTCTTCAGGTCCCGCTCTTCCAAGTCCCGTTGTATCCATGACACTTTGCCCTGCTCAATGGCTGCGGCGAGTGTGAAGTGGGGTTCCTCAGTCTCAGGAAACACAACGAGCGGTCGAGCGCCAACCTCGAGAGACTTTGTGCACCTGGCGGCAGCAAGAGGCCCTGAGCCGAGGATTAGGTGAACGTGTCCGACGCAGCTATGCGCCGTGAGTAACGCAGGCGTAAACATCGCGGGACGCGGGCAGTGAGGGGATGTGCGGGAGCCAACGAAAGCTTTTTGAGAAATCAAGTAATATGATACCGAGACGCCATGGCCATGCAAGATGAGAAAGATAGGAAGGAAACACGAAATCTGGCACAACGTCACCTCGTCATATTATCTGTGGCAGCTGTGGCAGCGAGAAAAAGGCCCAGAATGGCCTCGACGTGGAAAATTGAGAAAAAGTCTGAATGACGTGATTTGTCGCGTTGTGCTTATCGCTTATCGGACGCCACTCGTTAAGAAACGCTCAGAGACCCGTGGGGCCGCGGAGCCTCGTCTACTAATCCAACAGTCGTCCTCTTGTCCTCCTTGCTCTCTCCGCGGGGCTGCAAGCATCTCCAATCAGTCCAGAGATGATTCCCTTTGATCGAGTGGTTCGAAAACGACCGTCAATGGGAGGCAGCGGAGATGCACAGTCCCTCCCTTTGGCGCTGTTGCTCTCCTGTTTCTGACTTTGCCGCACTTCGGCTCAAATAAGACGGGCACTTTGAATGGAGCCATACTGCGTAGTGTCAAGCTCGGGTCTCAGTATTGAGAGAATAGCCACCTAACAACAGTTGGGACCGGACGCTTGAGGCATCGTGCGACAATCGCAAGACCTACCAGGAGGTTGCCGCATCGCGCCCTGAGAACAGCACCTTCACCCTCTGCGGAGGTCTCTTGCGCGGACATTGCTTGCGATGTCTGTTATCGCGAAGTATCGTTGCTGAAGGACTTTCCGGTGGGCATTGTTCCAGCGTAAAGATCTTGCAGGCAACTCAGTCTTCAGGTTCTTCGTCATCAAAACTGAGCATCTTGCTCATGTATGGGCCGTCGAGTGTGTATCCAAGACGTTCGTAGTAGCTTCTGACACCGACGCCGCTGATGACGCTTAGTTTCTCGCTGCCGTGTTCGTCTCGGGCAATTTTCTCCGCTTCCTTCATCAGCAGAGTTCCATAGCCTTGATGCTGAAACCTGCTCTTCTCCCGGCCGTGGATGGGGACAGCTAAACCGTACACGTGGAGCTCGCGCACGATACTTGTCGGTTGGCCTGTAAGCTCTGGTCGAAATGTGTGTGTATCTGAGCATTTCCGCAATCTCAGCAAGCCAATAAGGATATCTTGCTTGGGATCTTCATAGGCGAGAAACGTCTCCCAACCACCATTTGCCATGTAATCCCTTCGCACCAGTTCCACTTGGGACGGACGAATCTTGTTCTTCACCTCGTTGATGCCGACTTCCCGCGTTCGAACGTCCCGACATGTAGTGCCGAAATCCTTCATTCGCGACAAGGCAAGCTCGCGCAGATTGCCATTCTCGACCCCAGATGTTACCAAGGGCATGGGAATGTCCCGCTGTACACGGTAAATCCTCGTCCAAGGAGGGACCAGTGCCAGAATTCTCGCCACCAGATCCACAAGCGCGTTGGGGGTATAGTTCTTGAATCGACCAGTCCGCCACAACTCGTAGAGTCCTGTACCACGGATCACAAGCGTAGGGTAGATCTTCAGGCCATCTGTTCGGAAGTCTGGGTTCTCGAAATATTCTTGGAATTGGAAGATATCGCGCTCCATGCCAACGTTGGGCAAATCGGGCATCATGTGCGAAACAACCTTGAATCCAGCATCTTTGCAGAATTTGAACGCTTCCACCACTGCAGCGACTGTATGGCCCCGATTGGTGTCTCGAGCCACGTCCTCATACAAAGACTGGACACCAAGCTCCAGTCGGGTACATCCATATCTCAGCATGTCAGAAAGGTGGTCGATCTGTCCGAAGTCGGGCCTTGTCTCGATGGTGATTCCAACGCACTTGATGCTCGACATCTCTCCTGCCATGACTGCCTCGTCGACATTTTCGGTCTGGTAACCTGATAACGCGTTGTGTAGTTGCGCGACAAAATTGTCACGGTAATCCTGTGGCAAGGACATGAATGTTCCACCCATGATGATGAACTCAACTTTGTCCACGCTATGTCCGAGAGACTTGATCTGATCGACTCTTCCACGTGCCTGTTCAAATGGATCATACCGCGCACGAATAGCGCGCATGGAGGTCGGCTCGTATCCTGTGTAAGACTGGGTCGAGTACTCGAAGTCGGAGTCAGGACCGCCTGGGCAATAGACGCAAGCGTGCCCCGTCCAGGCAATGTGTGGGCATCGATGCGGCTTCGACATGACGGCAACCACGGCAATACCCGAGGCTGTTCTTACCGGTTTCGCAATCAGCTTTGGCATCAGGTGTTTCTTGAACTCCGGCGGGACAGCAGCCAGGATGGCGGTCAGCGGAGGCAAGTTGCTCAGCCTGTGCTTTTTGGCGACATCACCTCTCAGTTTATTGAGGTTGACATCCTTCTTGGGTTTCGTCTCATCCAGGCTGGCCTCATATTCTTGGACGAGAGCGCGTGCAATGTCATTACATGCTTGCATGAACCGGACATTCTCTGGGGGGAGCTTTTCATTCTTGCCGATCTTGACTTTGGTCCTGAGCACCGTCTCCGTCGCCATGTCTGTTCACAGACCACAGATCCGTCAAATAGGGGGTAAGTCGACTCTCGTGAAAACTGGAAAACCATCAAAGATGTCATCGAGGCTCAAAAATTCGATATCACATGAAAGCGAGGCCAGCCTTGGCATCCGGAGAAATTTTGTTCCGTAATGGTCCATTTTGATGAACGCGTCTCTGCATCTACAAAATCTCTCTGGTGCAAGCCGGAACTGCTTTCAGGAAGATAGAGTCCTCTTATACCGTCGCGCGATGTCCTCAGACCGCTTCTACTCTAATATTTCCTACAGCACATTAACAGATGAGACTCTTTCAGACTAGATAGTTTACGAAATACGCGCCAACAAGTTGCCCGTGGCCCTGGCTGGCCGTTACATGGCCAAGTCCAATTCTCAGAGCTGCTTCTCACGCTTCCTCCTCCAAATCTTGACGGGCATCTCACCCAAAATCCAGTTGAGTGTCTCCAGCCTCTCGATCTCCCAGTCCGGGCTCTTCAAGGCAAAGTCGTATCGTCTCAACAGTGTCCCCATTGCCACCGTCTGCTCCAGATAGCTGATATTGCGCCCAATACAGCCTCTTGCGCCTGCACTGAATGCGAGGAAATATGGTTGGAGAGATTTGCCAGATTCGCCCAGCCATCGCTCAGGGATGTATTTATCTGGACTGGGGAAGATATTGGGATCACGGTGAGCCGTCAATGCGGACATCATTACTGAGACTCCGCCCGCAATGAAGTCATCAGCAATCCTCATGCCCTCTGAAGGAGTCAGTCGCAGCAATCCGTGCACCGTTGGAGGGAAGAGGCGTAGAGACTCATCAAGACAGGCGCGGAGGTAAGGTAGATGCTTGAGCCGGTCATAAGCAATGACTCCATCTTCGTAATAGCCACTCGCAGACTCGACATCTTCAGCCTCGTCGGTATCTAGGGCGGCGTCGATCTCTTCTTTGACTTTGCGCAGACATTCTGGATTCTTGAGCAGCTGGAACATCACGTTTGTTATAGCGATGGCTGTTGTTACCGACCCTGCGTTCAACATGATGCTGACCTCCGCCACTATCTCCCCCCATTCGAGATTGTTCGGACGAGAGCTCTTGTCCTCCATAAGTGCTTGGAAGAAATCGTCAAGCTTCTCACCTCGTTGATAGCGCTCCAGACGGCGAGCTGCGAGTTCCAGTGGGATTCCTTCCCATTGTCGATGTAGAGCTCCCATTCGACCATAAAACGGGATGAGATCGGCGATTTTGTTAAGAAACGGGTACCAGGCATATGGCCAGATCAGAAGAGATTGCTTATGGGCCATTTTGTACAGGCAGTCTCGCATGTCCGCCTCGTAACGCGTTCCATTCGTTCCACGGGCGACTGTGCGTGAATGACCTTTGTCGAGAAAGCCCAGCGGGTCCGAAAGACCTATGTCGGAAATAGCATCGAGACTGAAGAAGTTCATCCACGCCCGAAAGTCCAGGTTGACGTCTTCTTGGACCGGGACTCTCTCATCAGGTCGCAGGGGCGCGGTACAGCATTCATCGAAATGCTTGATGATCCGACTCATCTTGTCTGCCACTTTGTGCTCCCATTGCTCGAGATTCTTGATCGCATAAGCGGATGATAAGACTTTGCGTTTGCGGCCATGGTCGTTGCGGTCTATTACATCTGCGAGGTGAAAATGGCTGCCAGAAAAGAGAACGTAGGAAGGGTCCTTGATGCAGGGAGTGTTGTGGCCGTAGATATCCTTGATGGCTCTGACGTCGCCATATGATAGAGTATTGGGAGCGACACGGATCACAGGATGTTTCTTGTGCATTTCCGTCAAATACGTCGACCGCGCGCCAGTATGGGCCAGGATCATCATCGGAACAGAGCTGATTCCGGAGAACATCGACATGTTAGGGAACTTGCGCAGCCCTGTGCGATCGTCAGCTTCCACTTTCGCATACACAGCATCGTCTAGGTCCAGTAGCACACCTTTCGGGTCGCGGAAATACTCTACCAGAGGCCATGCAACAAAGTAACCGAACAAGGCCGCTGCCAGAGCAGCGGCGTACGAAAGGGACGAGAGCCACATTCTGACGGCCCACCAACACGCAGTGCAAAGCTCAAGCAGTCGAATGAACTTGGGCTTGGACAATTTCACTCTCTGACAGAATCCCAAGAGTCATCGGGTCTCCAACATCTGCGCAGTTGAGTGTTCTATATTACATTTATCTCTTTCCCACCGGAGAGCCAAGGCGACCTCCTCTTTGTCCATGGCGAGTGAGTGGCCGCTGATGCCACTTGTTTCGCGCTGCAATGAGGGGCAGCCCAGTCTATGTGGGTTGGACTGGCAAGAACGGGATCAATAGGATCGCCGGGATCAAGAGGAGTAAATGCTGGACAGCTGGGCAGCATCACCATTCCTTTGCATTTTGCCGCTCTGTTCACCTTCTGGCGACTGCGTTCGGTCCTGGAGAGGAAACGAGAAGTGGGACCGCCCAAGTCTTTCCTCATTTCACTGAGAGAACGGAAGAGGAAATGGATGAGCGGAATAGTTGGCGGAGAAATCCTTCCTCAAACAGCGTCTCGGAACAACGGCATCCCGCTGATCTCAACGAGGCAAAACTGTCGATCCTCCATAGTTGACAACAGATTCATTTGTCCAGACCATGAAATCCTCTGTCGTCAAGGGTCTGATCGGAAAGCGGTCTATGCGACTTGGAAGACACTTCCTAAGAGAAGGAGACGAAGTATATTTGATTGTATAGTAAAGTACCGCGATGTGGGCAGACGTATGGGAGTGCAGCAGCTCAATCACTGCACACCCGCCCAGTGTCTTTCCAAGTGTTCGATGATATGATCAATACCCCAGCCCAACTTGATTCTGACGCTGCGGAGAAAGTTAACAGCTGCTTCTCGCTCTGCAGGAGAGTTCAGGCAGTGTCCACACGCGTATAGGATGTGTGACGCTTCAAAATTGGAGGCGACCACATGAGGATTGCTAATGGCCAGACCAATGCAGCGTTTGAGGTCAACCCGGACCTTCTGCTCCGTCTCTCTCCAGAGGCGTATGCTCTCGAGACCTCTACGCCGCGCTGCGTTGATTGGGTCGCTCAGAGCAAGCAGAATGAGGGTCAGGTGGTAGTACATCAGCCCGATGACATGAGGGGCTTGGAGCATCGAGATCGTTGGGAAAGGGCTTCGGAACTCGGCTGTGGGATGCTCATTCAGTGCGCCTTCTTCACCTGAAGTCTCAAAGACTGGAAGAAACGTGTCAGGCTTGTCGTGATACCACTGCGTCGCGGCGTGCTGCAAGGTGTGCCAATCCTCGACATCGGCAGCGCCATTGCCGTTGCTTTTGGCGGAGTAGGCCAGAGTCTCCGCGAAAAGGAAGACGATTTTGTTGGCCCAGGCGTGATCGTTAAGGCCGAGGAAGACCGACGACCGTTTGTAGCAGCCAAGGTTGACATTCAGAGGGGTGTTGCTTGTCAATGAAACGTATATACTTTGTCTCAGCACCAACCATGCTGCTGATTCTCCCAGTCCGCCATTTGCAGAGACCTCTCCGACCGAATTGATGACCCGAGCGGAGCCAAGAAGATGGCACATGCGATCCTCATCTGCAACCACTGGTCAATGCCCCGCAACGGACGTGGAGGAAGGCGAATACCTACCTGACATCTCTTCCCCCTTGCGCAAGACGACGATAGCCGCCAAGAAGTTCTCGTCGGGAGAATACTCAGGGTCGTCCAGGTATCGAATCAAGATCCGGATGCACTTAGCTTGGTATTCTTCATAAAATTGGTCGGGAACACCTTGAACACGACTGCGGTGGATGGAAGCGGCAGCAATGATGGCATAAAATAGCAAGGGGCAATGGGCTGCTCTCTGGGGTACAGTCGTGGTGAAATGGGAAACATGGTCAGTGACGTCCAGTTGAGGCCCAATGTTATCGATAAAATGCCGAAGGAGTTCAGCCTCTGCTAAGTTGTTCAGTGGCCAAAGAGGCTTAGACTCGTAAAGAACGGCGCTGGTAGAGGGCGAGAGTATCTGGATCTGGCTTGATGGAGTACGGTGCTGCTGTACCGGGGAGACTAGATATGTCGGAGACGAAGCGAAATGGGACGCCCCCGAAGCACTGCCTCTCCCGAACGACAACGTCCTCTCTGCCGCATAGGATTCCACTGCCGCAACAATACTAGGTTCTCCAACCACATCTGCGCTACCAAGGTGCACGTTCACTGGATTCGCAGGGGCTCCCTCATCTTCGTCAACAGCAACAGAAGACTGAACATCACTTGAATCTTCGTCGTTGTCGTTACCGTGGACGAATTGGACTTTGGACACCAGGGTCAACTCAGAAGTTGATGCCGGGCGGCAGGACGACAAGCATCAGGGGACTCACCGGGCGTGTGGAAGTCTACCCAAACATGATCACCGCCGTAGACAAAAGATATCTCCCGGCCACCCTGCCCGGAAGAGCGGGATTGTTCAATCACGGAATGGACAGCTTTCAGCCGGATTCGTTTTCGGGGAGGGGGCAGGCAAGGCTCATCTGCAGTTTCGCAGCTTTCGCATCTGCGCATGCCATGCTCAATGATGCCTGAAGTTTTGTTCAGGACCCAACACTGCACAGTGGGTTACCACTCACATCTACTATGCTTCTCACGGCACCGCTGGCTAGCATATCGTTAGCTGCAGTTTCAGAAGTCACGGGGGATTCCCACCATCCTTGGGAGCGCATGGCTCCTCATATCTCCGTAATTGAGGTCGTCGTCCTTCAAAAGTAGACATCAAGAATCAGAAGTAGTCCATTTCGGCGAAGAGTTACTTCAAATAAACGAGGGCTGGTTATGCATAACCCCGTATTTTGGCCACCAGACCCTTAGCCGTTGAACTAGGCTAGTGGTGTGCGGAGAAAGCATCGGTTGCATTTCAATAACCATGGCCAGGTTTTCGCGTTGAAGGTCCATTGCGGCGAGTCTCCGGTGCGGAGTCTTCTTGGTAACCTCTTTAAGGTTGAGAGAATCAGTGCCAGTAAAGTCTTGGTCCTGTTCAAAGAGGCACTGTCCAGCCGACCAGTTTGAGTGGGCACATTCATCCGAGGTCCAGAGTGTCTTGACACCGGTTTTGACGTCCCGTCTTGCTGGATATGGGTTCAACTGGCAACCAGTAGCGTCACTTCAGCCAGGTACAACAATCATACAGGCTAGTCCTGCAGACGGACCCTGGCATCAGGTGAGGAATGCTGTCGTATGAGGAATCTTTCATCCGAAACAAGCTTTGTAGATTCAGCCCGCTGGTCTGTCGGAATACGTCCCTGCCAATAGTATTGCGCTAATCGTGGGCCAGGATGTCGATTGTCCATGTTGATGCCACGAAATCCTGGGTTGAGATGTGGATAATACTTGTTCCAACGACGAGTACTGTTTAGACTCCCCGTGGGGAACGCCACGCGAGTTGGAGGAGATATTCGACAACGATATAAAGGAGTGGTGGTCGCGGAGTCCTTGTGTTTCTTTCGTCTGTATCGACTGTCCTGGCGCATCTTGCCTCGACACTTGTGGGATTCCGCAGATCTGTGCCGACTTTGGAGTTACCGTCGCCGCCCAATCTTTTGCAATCTGACAAAATGTCGGCAAACGAGAAGGAGACGATCGAGAAGGGCGCCCAAACCATTCTTCACGAAGAGGACGTGCTCGACAAGGAGATTGCAGCCCTCAACACGATCGAAGATACACAAACCTCTAGGGTCGTCTGGTTGATCGCCATCTGTGTCTCTGTTGGCGGCTTCCTGTTCGGTATGATAGATCTCCACTGTTCCCTAGGCTTGAGACAACTACTCACTGACTTCTCAGGATATGACACCGGGTATATCTCTAGCGTCCTTGTCACAATTGGCGACGACTTAGGTCACGACTTATCGTCGAGCGAGCAAGAACTCATCACATCAATCACCAGTGGAGGTGCACTTATTGGCGCAATATTTGCCGGGTTGACCGCCGACCGGTATGGCCGCAAGATTTCCATATACTGTGGTTGTGGGGTCTTTGTCGTCGGCGCTATTCTTCAAGCTGCAGCTTTCTCCATCGTTCAAATGACTGTTGGGAGAGCTATTGTTGGGCTAGGCGTCGGTGAGTGTTCCTGAAAACCATATCCACCCTGACAGAGCCCTGTTCCACAGATCTATCCCTCTGCAAGCGTAATTGAATGCTGACGACAGGCCAGGAAGCGCGGCAATGGTTGTGCCTCTGTAAGTCTTCATCTGTTTCGGAAACCTGCTTTGTACTTAGCGAAGTTGAACTCAGCAGACATCTCTCCCGCAGAAGACGGGCTGACATAGCAACAGTTACATATCCGAAATTGCTCCTGCGAAGTATCGCGGTCGCATGATCACTATGCAAACCTGTAACATCACAGGAGGGCAGTTCATTGCGTACTGCATCGGCGCTGGGTTCGCCGAGGTCAAGTCTTCCGGCTGGCGATATGTTGTTGCTATCGGAGCAATTCCTGCGATCGCGCTCGCTTTGTTCCTGCCCTGGTGCCCGGAAAGCACTCGGCAGCTGGTAGCGCATGGGAAGCTTGAGCAGGCTGATGCCGTGCTCGCCAGACTGTATCCTCATTCTTCCCCAGAGCAGCGCCAGGACAAGATTCGAGCTATCCAGCAAGATCTGGAGCAAGCCACTGAGCTGATGGCCCACAAGTCGCTCTGGTGGTCATACAAACAGCTCCATGTCGTTCCCGCCAATTTCCGTGCCATGCTTACAGCGTGCTGCGTGATGGGAGTAAGCCAGCTCTGCGGGTTCAATACCCTCATGTAAGTTCTGTGAATTCCCCTCATATGCTGTGTGGCAGACATCTCATGTAAGGGTACTGCAGGTACTACAGCGGCACTCTGTTTGCTCTTGTCGGCTTCAACAAGCCCGTTGCGGTATCGATCGTGGTCGGGGCTTGCAACTTTCTGGGATGCTGTATCAACCTAGTTATTGTCGACCGCTTTGGCCGCCGGAGGATCCTCATCTTTACCGTGCTGGGCATGTCTCTCAGCCTGGTGCTCGCAGCTGTTGCCTTCCACTACATTCCAATCAACTCCAAGGATCTCACACTTGAGATCAACAACGTCAATTGGGCTGGTATCTTGGTACTCGTCACAATCATCTTCTATGTGGGCTTCTTCGGCACCGGCGTTGCGCCTGTTTCGTGGATGGGAGCGGAGCGTCTTCCGCTTGAGGTACGTGCCATGGGTACCATGGTCATGACTGTTACCTGTTGGGGAACCAATATCATCATTGCCTCGACCTTCCTATCGATGATGAAAGGATTAACCCCGAGCGGAGCGTTCGGCTTCTATGCAGCCATATGCTTTCTAGGTTTCTTGTTCTCGGTCTTCTGCTTCGCAGAAACCAAAGGCATGTCCCTAGAAGAGATTCGAGAGGTTTTCAACCACGGTTTCGGAGTTGAGTATGCACGGAAGTGGCAGAAGCAGCACGCCTTGGAAATCAAGCGATCTGCCTCATCCGCGTAGCTGGAGAAGAGTTGCAAGATGTCGTTGTCTATCCGACTAGCGGGGACAGCTGAATGACCCCAAAGCACGGCTGTAGGGAAATTCCAGACAAGAGAGTGGTGACCTTTGCTCAACAACATAATGGCAGGAGAGATTAGAAGGCAGTGATCGACATTCTAGGGTGGCTAACGAGACATAAGGCACAGTAGGTTTTCGCAGGAAATGGTCAGATAGATTCATCAGGGCTCACCCGTCCGATGGTGATGTAGCCTGTGAGTGTCAATAAATCGAAAAACAGCTGTCAAAGGTGACTTCACAGAGTAGCCAGCCTCGGTTTTCTTCATCTCAAAAAGTGGCCAAATCAACAGCTCTTGTGATGCTGCCAATGCAAGAACAAGCATTCACCATCCCAGAAAAGAAGCGCATGTTTGGATACTTTCCGTCCGGCAAACAGGGGGGTAGCACATTTCAGAAGGTGACTGCTCAAAGAGCCTATTGTCATCTTGAACCAGTTAGTGGAGGAACATGGACGGGAAGATCCCTGGATTGTGCAGTATCTTGATGGACAGAGTCTAGTAATTGGTAAGATCTGTTAAGCTGGGTGAGATGTTGAACAAGCATAATGCAGTTGCAGGTCGAATGCTCCACCATGTATTTCAAATGACATACTCAAATGACGCTCGGCAACCCAGCCAGCCAGGAGCTTTCCTACTCCGCAGGATGGAACTCTGATATCAATCAATTGACGCACTCGCTCGAATTCCACCATCGTTGGGCTTTCAGTCAGACTTTAGTCTTGCTCTTTAAGCCGTCGCCAGAGATGCAGGCTTTCAAAACCTGCGCTCCTCGGGCGCTACGATCTGCGACTACCTCTACGTCAAGAAGCTATGCTACAGTCTCTTCCAGTTCAGCTTATAGCCAGACGCGGAATAACTTGAGAATCAACGCCGACACCAAAGTCCTCTTTCAAGGCTTCACAGGGAAGCAGGGCACGTTTCATGCTCAGCAGGCAATTGAGTACGGAACCAAGGTTGTGGGTGGAACGAATCCGAAAAGCAAGCCTCCCCCAGGTCTTTGTTGCAGAGATACAGCGTGCTGACCGCAAGCAGAGGCCGGTACCCAGCATCTTGGTCTACCCGTTTTCAAGAATGTTTCCGAGGGAGTAAAGGAGACCGGAGCTACTGCAAGCGTCATATTCGTACCGCCTCCGGTAGCAGCAGCTGGTATAATGGAAGCCCTTGAAGCTGAGATCCCGCTGGTCGTTTGCATTACTGAAGGGTAAGGCCGCTCCCCGTACTGAATTTCATTACTGACGGACCCAGGATTCCTCAACATGACATGCTCAAAGTCACCGACGCGCTAAAAACCCAAAGCAAAACACGTTTGGTCGGCCCCAACTGCCCTGGAATCATCGCGCCCGGCCAATGCAAGATCGGCATCATGCCAGGATTCATCCACAAACGAGGAAGAGTTGGAATCGTCTCAAGGTCAGGAACATTGACATACGAAGCAGTCAATCAAACAACCCAAGCAGGTCTTGGACAATCTTTGGTCGTGGGTATTGGTGGTGACCCATTCAGCGGCACCAATTTTATTGACTGCCTGACTGTTTTCATGGAAGATGACGAGACAGAGGGAATCATCATGATTGGCGAGATTGGAGGCAGCGCCGAGGAAGACGCTGCAGAGTTCCTGAAGAGCGAGAACAAGAAGAACAAGCCCGCAGTCAGCTTTATCGCCGGTATCAGTGCCCCTCCAGGGCGCCGAATGGGACATGCTGGCGCAATTGTCAGTGGAGGAAAGGGTGGTGCCGAGTCGAAGATCTCGGCATTGGAAGCAGCAGGAGTGGTTGTGGAGCGAAGCCCGGCCATGTTGGGCAAGTCGTTGCATGCACAGTTCGTCAACCGGGATCTGGTTTGATTGAGAGGCGTTCAGATTAGGTGAGGTTGGGAGGAGAGACTGAGTCTTCCAGGGATACGTGCATGTATTTTTGATACCGCAAACAAAGCGCATGTGATAACACTCTACATGGTCGCTTGCCCCATAGGCCTTCAACGATCAGCTCCTGTGTAGGAGCTTTCCTATTCATTGAGGCATGTATCCCAGCATGATACTTCCAATTTTACGCCGTCCGTATGCTCACTTCCTCGCGCAGATTGATCCCTTCATTCCATAGAATCTGTCACAATCATAGTGATATAGCGCCCCGCCGACTCGCTCGAACATGCAGCCAAGCTTGAAAACCGCAAAACACCAAGAATCCCTGCCCTTCCTGTCAGTATCAAACTCATAAATAGCTGTCCAGCAGATGGAGACTCACAGCATATACCGCTACCGCAATAAATATAGAGGCTGCGACCGCCCCACCGTCTTCAGGATCTTCTTCCATCCCCATCATCATGTGGTGATCCCTCTGTATTCCCCAGACTATCAGTATGCTTGCTCCTGAAATGCTACTTCGTAAAATGACAGGTCGGGCTCGTACCGCAAACAGGCTCCCTATAACGGAGAGGATGACGATGGCGAAGACCGACAGGACCGTGCTGTTCAAGGGTTAGCAATTCGCATCGCACATGTGTTCGAGATGGGTAGAAAGACTGACCAGCTCCATGCGTTCAAGGCGGACACCACGGGCTTCATATTGAGCTATTTATCGCAGCCTGCTGTAACTGGAGGTAGAAGGGTGCGCTTCAAGTCGGCACAGGATTGCCGTTCAACGTGGTCGACAGTCACTCGAGGATACAGTCTGCGACCAACCCTGTGCCACAAGTCCAATGGCGATTTCTTGGATGGAATTATTGATCTTCGGAAGGCTTTGGGCTGCACAGGAGTGACGTGCGCTTGCTTGAGAGGTTGGTTTCCAGCACTGAGGTCTTCTGCGGCCAGCATCGGGACATCTCGACGAGGCGCAAACGCCCTGGGCGTCAAGCCAATCAGAAGAGCTGCTGAGCCCGCCGGATAAAACTTCTTCCAACTCAACCTCAAGCCGCCCTCGTATGACCTTGATCTGATGATCTAATTCCTCGATTCTCGTGAGTATGACCTTCTTACCATCTGACTCTCTTCGACGAGCATTATCTATTTGACTTATTCTTTCTCTCCCTTGACCTCTCGCACTCTCGACGCTCCTTGACAAGAATGAACTGAGGAACCCTAAGTCACAATACGACCAGAGACCTTCTCCTTAAACATCACATTTGAAGACATCACGGAACTCACGTGCCCTTTACTCAACTTCCTTTCCAGCTATTATCGAGACATTCAGCTCTTCAAGGATTCCCGCCAACATATTCATGACCCGTAGTGATCACAGCTCAGATAGCAGCGAGCGCTCACCGCTCATTCGAGACGGCAAACTTTCGACTCAAAATGACGACATTCCAGAACAACCACTTGGAGAGCAGAGGCGGCATTCGGAGGAGCCACGCCTTCCAGAGGATGGCCTCCTTTCGGATGAGCGACCAATGTCAGAGGCTATTGACTATGAAGAATCGATAGTCGAATCCAAAGATGTCTTGTACCTTGCCTTTCTCACGGTTTGTATTGGAGGCCTTCAGATCGTTTGGTCCGTCGAACTCTCCAATGGGTCACCGTATCTGCTCTCTTTGGGGATGAGCAAAGCATTGCTGGCGTTTGTTTGGCTTGCAGGTCCCTTGACCGGTGTACTGGTTCAGCCATATGTCGGGATTCTGAGCGATCGATGCCGAGTCTCATGGGGCAAAAGGAAGCCCTTTATGATTGCAGGAACTTTGGGCACCGTTGCTTCTTCGATGATCCTCGCATACGCCCGTGAAATTATCCGGCTTATCGGAGGGCTTGACGCGAATGCTCAGTATATTGGAGGCTACAGGACAGGGACCATCATCCTTGCTACAGTCATGATGTGGTGTCTGGACTTTTCCATCAACACCGGTTAGTGTGTTCTCGGGAGACTTCTCTCCTATATCTGACAGGTTTCCAGTACAAGCCGCCATTCGGGCATTTATTGTCGACAACGCCCCCTCTCATCAACAAGAGTCGGCCAATGCTTGGGCTTCACGCATGACAGGCGTTGGTAACGTGTTGGGCTATATCTTTGGATATTTGAATTTGCCACGTTATTTCCGCTTCTTTGGAAACACTCAGTTCAAAGTCCTGGTTGTTCTCGCATCCATCGCTCTAAGCTCAACCGTCTTAATCAGCATTCTAGCCATCAAGGAGCGGAATCCACAACTTGACCCTCCCTCAAAGGCAGATTACGAATCGGGTGGATTGCTATCCTTCTTCAGGCAAGTCTTCAGTTCCATCAAGCGACTGCCACCTCAAATCCGCAAGGTCTGCGAGATCCAATTCTTTCACTGGCTAGGCTGGTTTCCTTTCCTCTTCTACATCACGACTTACATTGGTCAACTTTATGTTGACCCCGATCTGAAGCCTGGCCTTTCGGATGATGAAGTGGATCGGCTTTGGGGCAAAGCCACTCGGGTTGGAACACTTGCGCTCCTTACCTATGCTATCGTCTCGTTTGCGTCGAATATCATCCTGCCGTTCTTGGTTGTACCAACATACAAATCCAAGACTGCAGACATTGCCGAAGATTTTGCGCGACCAATCACTCCGACATCCCCTATCGGCACGAGATCGCGAGAGTTTCCTTGGAACGAACGTCCTACACTGAGCCGGTCTCAGACGAGCCTGTCAATCAATCGGCCAGTCTCTATTCCTCTCACGAGCAAATCACCAGGTCATAGTCCTGGCATTTTGAGACAATGGTTGGATAGATTGCAAATTCCGGGGTTAACGTTACGACGAACGTGGCTCATGTCTCAGCTCCTCTTCACGCTCTGCATGTGGAGTACTGTATTCATATCCACACCCTTGGCCGCTTCCATCATGACAGCCCTGGTTGGCGTGTCCTGGTCACTGACCCTCTGGGCACCGTTTGCGTTGATCTCGGCCGAGATTTCGCGACGAGATGAAACGAGACGGAGGAGGCAACGACAGAGACTCATGAACGGAGAAGACCTTGACGAGATCGATGATAAGGAAGCAGACGAGGAGGATCAAGCTGGGATTATCCTTGGGCTCCACAACGTGGCCATCAGCGCTCCACAAATTTTGGCGACGTTGATTAGCAGCGCCATCTTCAAACTGCTTCAAAAGCCGCGAAACGAGCCGGGCGATGTCAGTGTGGGGTGGACTCTGAGAATTGGTGGGCTCGGGGCGCTGGCAGCCGCATTCATCACTTGGCGAATGAAAGAACCCGGGAGCGAAGACGATACAGATTCCTGATCTACAGGACAGCATCATGTGGTTATCCTGCATTGACGGCGGGCATTGGGTAAACGCATTCAACGGTTTGAGCTAGGGTGTCTCGTCCATGAATCTCATTTTCTTGAATACATCGGCGCGTCCCGGATATTCTGCGCTGTCAATACTAGCACAAGGGTATAGCATCCGAGTTTGGGCACACGGAGGATTGGAGGGTCTGGAGGATTCTCAGCGGCATTATGACCAGATGTAGGGACGGAAAGGCAATGTACAGTGTTTAGGTACTTCTGCAAGGGACTTCTTTGGCACAGTCGTCCTGTCTTTTTCACAGAGGACCGTCCTTGGGCTCGAGGCTCCTTCTGGATGGCGCAATGCAAGGCTTCATGTGACGGTGTTTTAGGTGCTCGGCGGCTTTGAGCTGCTCCTCTTTTTAGTTCACTGGAGCTGTAGGTCAATCGGCAGCAGGAGTGGTCGGATTATGTGGCCTGTGTAGAGCGAGGGGTGGCGGGTCGGTCTACCCATGGTCGGCACAGGAGCAAGTAAACAAGAATCCGAATCTCTTCTTCATCTCTCCGCTGTTCCATCTGTGACCCAAATGCATCCCGACGCGGGCAGTGTTCTTTTCGAATACGAGGGCGGACAAGGTACGGGCAGCCCATGTGCTGACCAGGTTTGCCCATATTATCTCCACCATCTTCTGGGGCTGGACGGCGCAGAGTGACTTGGGCCCAGGTGTGGCGAGTCCAACGAACCGAAGAGCAGCCGTGAGGATGAATTGAGGATGATGGCGCGCCTACAGGCTGTTAGGCTAAAGTTCGGGAGGCGGCAGGCGAAGGAAAGGAACCCAAACCTCACAAAGTTCAGCAGGACATTTGCCGGACAGCATCAGTCCGCAACCAATCCGGTAGAATGCCATGCGTGTGGTGGACCGTTCCATCGTCCATCGTCCAACTCTGTGCAAGCGAAAAGATGGTTCCCACCAGGATAAACCATGGCGTTTGATCATCCAGCCTCTCAGGCAGAGGTGGACAGAGGGTACAAATATACGAGGCATGGTCCCGGCCAACGAAGAGATCGTCTTCTCCTCCACGCGGTCACACAAAGCCCTACGCACGAGACTCCCGCTTTCTTGAGACACTGATATACACAGACTACGACCCGTCACCCCGCGGCTCGACTCGATTCGCTTCCCCGGATATTTTGATCTGATCTACTCCGTTGGAACCTCTTAAAAAGGACCCAAAAAGAGCCGGACATCCTCGTCGATCACTTCCGCCATGGTCAAGGACATTGCTCCCAGGGCGGGTCTGCCTGCTGATTTCCTTTGGGGCTTCGCAACTGCTGCGTTGGTATCCCAGTCACCGATCCATATGCTTACACTAACCTGGTGCAGATATCAGATTGAGGGCGGTGCCACAGCAGACGGACGAGGCCCGTCAATATGGGATACCTTTTGCAAAATTCCCGGCAAGATTGCCGATGGAAGCTCTGGGGATGTTGCTTGTGACTCGTATCACCGAACAGCACAGGACATCGAGCTGCTCAAGAAGCTTGGAGCAAAAGCATATCGTTTCTCTATCTCATGGTCCCGGGTCATCCCCCTAGGCGGTCGCAATGACCCGGTCAACGAGGCCGGGCTCCAATACTACGTCAAATTCGTCGATGATCTGCTCGAGGCAGGCATTGTGCCCTTCATCACTCTTTTCCACTGGGATCTGCCCGACGAACTCGACAAGCGCTACGGAGGCTTCCTGAACAAGGAGGAGTTCGTCGCTGACTTTGCGAATTATGCTCGAGTCATGTTCGAGGCTATGGGATCTCGGGTCAAGCACTGGATCACGTTTAATGAACCATTCTGCAGTGCCATTCTCGGATACAATGCCGGTGTCTTCGCCCCCGGTCGCTCTAGCGACAGAAAGAGGAATGCTCATGGTGACGGATCTACCGAACCGTGGATAGTTGGCCACCACATCCTGCTGGCCCATGCAAGTGCGGTCAAGATCTATCGAGACGAGTTCAAGTCACGGGATGGGGGAGAGATCGGGATCACGTTGAACGGTATGTTTTCTTTCTTGTGGCTGGGGCTGTTCGAAACAGGACCAATCTCACACTATACAGGCGACTGGACCGAGCCGTGGGACCCCGAGGACGAACAGGATCGGATAGCATGCGATCGCAAGATCGAGTTTGCCATCTGCTGGTTCGCCGACCCCGTGTATTTCGGGCACTACCCGGAATCGATGGTCAAGCAACTGGGCGACCGCCTGCCCAAGTTCAGCGAAGAAGAAAGCGAGCTCATGAAGGGATCCAACGATTTCTACGGCATGAACCACTACTGTGCCAACTACATAAAACACAAGGAAGGCCCCGCCGACCCGCTCGACTTCGCGGGCAACCTGGAGATCCTCTTTGAAGACAAGTACGGCAACAGCATCGGACCCGAGACGCAGAGTTTCTGGCTCCGCCCTCATGCGCCCGGGTTCCGAAAACTGATGAAGTGGCTGAGCGATCGATACGGACGACCGAAAATCTACGTGACGGAGAACGGCACGAGCGTGAAAGGCGAGAACGACCTGTCGCGCGAGGAGATCCTCGAAGACGATTTCCGGTGTGAGTATTTCCGGAGCTACATCACCAGCATGGCCGAGGCGGTGGCGGAGGATGGATGTGATTGTCGCGGGTACATGGCCTGGAGTCTCATGGAGTAGGTGCTGCCGCTTTCCTGTTGCAGGACTGTTGATGCTAACACATGGATGCACAGCAACTTCGAATGGGCCGAAGGATACGAGACTCGCTTCGGAGTGACCTATGTGGACTACGAGAACGACCAGACGCGGCACCCGAAGAAGAGCGCGCTGGAGATCAAGAAGATATTTGATCAGTACATTGGCAAGATATGAGCGTGGAATATTTCTGAGATCTCTAAGGGGACGTAGACAAGGGGCGTGACGATTTAGCAAGGGATATTGGAGTTTTGTGGCCATCAGAGACAGGTGTGGGATTTGGATCGTATACAGTCAAACTCGAATACACCGGACGTACGGTGGACGTGCGTGCCGGACTCATTGGCGAGACAATACCGAGTCGCCATCTCGTCTCCTGACATCTGAGAGATGACTTAGGTGTTCAGAGCGTAGACTGTTTCCGGTAGCTGGGATGGGGATTCGATGGTCGGCCTCAAATCGGGCGTCGGCCCTTGGGAGAATCTGCGTCCGACGGGCGTCTCTGTCCTTTTCTCTTCCTCTCACACTTGTTGCTCGTCCTTAAAGGCCCATACATCCCACTCTTCGGCATTGCACAAATACACACAGAGTCGTTGTGCTCTAGACCTTGAAACAGTATGGAGACGCCTACGGTGCCCATCAACTTTGTCCCCGCAAAGGCGGGCGAGACGTTCAAGGTGGGAACAATCACCATCCGAATCATGGAGGATGGCTCGAGAACAGGTGCGTGGCCTCGGTCTGCCACAGGTTTCCCTCTGAATCCCTTGCTGACTAGGTCATAGACAGTGAGTAAAAGACCAAGTCAGGACCTCCGCAGGGCGCACCGCACCGACTGACTGCCATGGTGCCAGATCGAATTGGCAGGTGAGTGAGTGTGTTTGGGCGGGACTTCGACGCAGCTTGGTATGGGATATTAGGAGCGTGGCCTTGACTCTGTGTCGCCAGTGCCGAGTTCACGGTCCCTCCCCATACGTCCGGGTAAGAACATCCCCAAGTCAAGTCTCTGTTGCTGAAGAGGCTGACCGACAACGCGGGATCCAAGTCCACCTCCACACTGGCATGAGATGGTAAGAGACAGTCCCACCGATCCCTCTATCCACGCATCCGGTTATTTCTCAGACTAACGCGCTCCCCTTGTCCTCTCCCCCCGAAAACAGCACGACGAAACCTTCCTCGTCACGCAGGGCACGTTGCGCTTCCACGCGCTCAACGGGCAGACTGTCGACGCCAAGCTGGGCGACTACGTGACGGTGCCGCCGCGGTCGCCGCACACCTTCAGCAACCCGTACGACCAGGAGGCCAAGTTCTTCAACACGTACACGCCGGCTTTCTACATCAACTACTTCCGCCTGCTGGCCACCATGAACGAGCAGGGCCAGCCCATGAACCCAGAGGCGAACCGCAAGGCCATGGCCGTAAGTGTTTTCTCCCTCAGATCTCGCCCCGGCTCTTGGACCCCCAGTGTTTCTGTTCTCCGTGATCCAATACCGTTCTCAAGGGCTGATCATGGGGCCGAGGGGATTAGTATTTCGCCACCATTGGCGTCGCGGACGACGAGATGCAGATGGACAAAAAGCAGTTTTACGGCGATGCGGACCCGTCGAAGAAGTGAGGCTGGACGGTTTGAAGTCCGCGTGACTTCGAGAGTAGAATGAGGAGGAAGAGCTGCAGGGCGAGGGCCAGAGCCGAGCGCAGAGCCAAAACGCTGTGAAGGCACATCCGGAACGTCAACCGTGGACCGTGACGAAGGATGAACAGGGATCAAAGGGAACAAGCGTCCACTACGTCGCGCACGATAGTGTTCATGATCATGAATCTGATGCCCAATCCTTCGTTAGCGCTCTGCTTCATAGCCAGGCCTGCAGTCCCAACTATTCACACGCATAATGGCACCCCCAGCCTTCCCAATATCAATGGGGTATTGTGACCACGTTCTTAACCGGACATTGGCGTTTCTGCAAGGTCTGTGAAATGCGAATCACGATTCGTGTGGCAAGCGAACCCGTCATGACAGCCTGATTGCGAGCTTTGGGATGGATTCATGGGTCCGAGATCCACTTTGTATAGCCATTCTCTTCGCCAGCGCCTATTAAAACGGGACCATCTAACTAACTATGCTTCCGAGACAAAGACACCGGCCATGCCCATGCCCGTGCCCACGCACATACTCGTGACACCGACCTTTTGCTTCCGCCGCTTCAGCTCGGAAAGCAGCGTCACCACTTGTCGGGTCCCGGTGGCGCCCAAGGGGTGGCCGATAGCACTGGTAGAATGTTAGTCGCTCGTGCACGACCTTTAGAGGGTAAGGAGAGATTGAGAAAAACACTCACATGGCACCACCCCGGACATTGACCTTGTCGATGTCCAGGCCGAGTTCATTGACACAGTAAACGTACTATTTGTCGAATCATGGTAATTAGCTTCCGGAAAATTCATGGCATTAAAGGCATGGCATTAAGGGGAATGAAAGAAAAGGGCATAAAACTCACCATCGAAGCGAACGCCTCGTTAATCTCAAAGAGGTCCACGTCGTCCTTGGTCAGGCCGGTCTTCTTCAGGATCTTGGGGATGGCCAGACTCGGGCCGATGCCCATGATGCGTGGCTCCAGCCCGACGACGGTGCTCTTGACGTACTTCCCGATAATGGGCTGGCCCAGCCGCTGGGCCGTCGACCGCTTCATCATCAGCACGGCCGCGGCGCCGTCGGTGACTTGGGACGCATTGCCTCCCGTAGTAGTCGGCCCCCATTGCGGGAAGGCGGAGCGGATCTTGGCTAAGCCCTCGTACGTGGTGCCCGGTCGGATGCCGTCGTCCTTGTCCACGGTGACCGTCTTCGCCTCCTTGGTCTTGGGGTCGATCCACTTGGTCGTGACGGGCGAGATCTCGTCCTTGGTCCAGCCTTCCTTCTGCGCCCTCTCGGCGCGGTTGTGCGACATCTCGGCGAACTTGTCCTGCATCTCCCGGGTGATGTGGAAGTCGCGGGCCACGTTCTCCGACGTCCAGCCCATGGGCTCAACATTGTCCTTGGCGATCGGGTGGGACATGATGGTCTCGCTCATGGGAGGCGGGGCGTCTCTGTTGGAGGACATGCTCTCGAGCCCGACGGCGATGCCGACGTCAATCACATCGATGGCGATGGAGCTGGCGAGGGTCTGGATGCTCAACAGGCCCGACGAGCAGAACCTGGAGGCGACGCTCGTGGCCGTGGTGACGGGGAATCCTGCCGCGAGAACGGCGCTTCTGGCAACGAAGCCCGGGGCGGGCTGGAGGACGTTCCCCACACAGACATCCTCGACGAGGTCGGGGTTGATGCCGGACTTGTCCTTGATGGCCTTGAGGACATGGATCAGCAGCTCGTCGGTCGGGGTGTCCTTGAACCCGCCCTTTCGGGCCTTTGTGAGCGGCGTGCGCGTGGCACATGTGATGACGATGTCGTCGGGGTTCTTCTCGAGGATTTTCTGCAGGCCTGGAGATTGGGTGGTGGCGGATGTGGAGGACAGTTGGCCCGAGATGGCGTCGAGTCGTCGTTGGGCGCTCATTGTGCTGGGTGTGGTCGGATGGTGGGGAGTAGACAGGTCACTTACTAGGAAACAAGAAACGGAAAGAAGACAGGACTCAAGATATTCGAGGCTGTGGAATCTTCCGTCCTCGAGTGTTATATAGGAATGTTCGATAGCAGGAGGAATAGTAATATTACTTGGGTGTCGAGTGGCTTAAAGCAGCAATCAATGTCGCTAGGAAAACTGCCTCGGCATCTGCGGAATTTTCAGGTTCCGGCAGTTGTTCCGGGACCAACGACCAACGTCCCATCTCACTTCTCCCTGTTCACTGTCTCTCCCAACATCACCACTCCCTCACATCAGCGCTTCTCACAAGCCACTCCTGCTCGTGCTATGCAGGCGCCTACTAGACACCTATCGAAACTCACTCCTCCTTATGATACCGTGTTACTGGGTTGCCACAGCTCGCAGCTCGCCAGACTGTCCGCTCCCTGGCCCCACCTCCACATACAGGAGACTCTAAGCCCTCCAAGGTTTTAGGGGGAATCGGTAAGTGTGATTCAGGTCCCTTGTGGCCCTTGTGTGATTCAGGCCAGAGACCAAGGAACAATTTAAAGACAATATGATTGTGTGGGATTCACACGCTTCCTTCCCCTCTTCTCTCCCAAACACCTTGCTATATATCAGACTCCAGCTACCCCCGTCCCGCCTCCCCTTCGTCTCTACCCACTCCTCCTGCATTTCTCTGGCGCCCGTGGGGCTTCTGAAGGACGTTGTGGCTGCTGGCCTCACTAACTCAAACTGGGCTGACGTGGGTTCTCCAACTCTTCTCGGCCCGGGGAACCGCGCATTGTCTGGGGAGACCATCCGACCCTTCTTCACCCAACGTGCCTTCGTTGTCGAGGAAGCTTCCGAGCTACCATCTCAGGTAGTAGCCAGCCCTCCTTCTCGCGCGGAACTCACGCGCCTTGCTTGACATTCCAAAATAATTTTACGTCCGTACGACTCGGATAGATCATTCCAGCCTTGCCCACGTCCATTGGCCGAGGACCCTTCAACACGGGAAAAGTAAGCTTCGTGTCCTAGTTACAGCCTAGATTGACAGGGGGAGCACCTTACGGCATATCCATACTGGACTGCGATAAATCAGCATCGACCTCGCGACCGAGGCACGGCAGCTTCTAACGGGAAGGGGCTTTGTGCTAGGTCACTCTTCTGAAAAGACACCAATTTTCAGTTCTGACCATTTATCTAACATCTCTCGTCGTCGAAAACACGACATCCATCAATAATACACTCGACCCTTTTGGCTTCTGAAGATGGCCACCATAGCGGCGTCCACCGCCGCCGCCGCAGGCCTGCTCTACTACGCCGACCAACGCATTGGTGTGAGCAGGGACATCCAACAATACCGTCAGGACAAATCCTTTACGAAGCGCATGGTGCAATTCGTAGATAGACTGGGTCCTCAATCACCTCACCTATATCGCATGCTGGAACTCTGCGACCCAAATGCCGATGCGTTGTGGTTCGAAGGCCGCTCGTGGAATTTCAGAGCTCTCAAGGCTCAGGTGGATGAACTGGCCCTCGGCTTGAAGGAGAGTCTGGGTGTCAAAGATGGAGACATCGTGGCTGTGTTCATGACGAACTCACCCGAGATGGTCGCTATCATCTACGCTCTGACAAGGCTGGGAGCGGCTCCTGCATTAATCAACAATGCCCTCCGGGACGATACATTGCTCCACTGTGTGAGGCTACCGAAATCAAACCTGATTCTCAGCACCCCGGACTTGGCTGGTTATGCAGCGTCGGCAGCGCAGTCAATGGGTGGTGGGGATGTCAAGACCGTGAGGCTGAATCTGGGTTCTTTTCGACCTTCGCCGCTCTCGACCGACAATGGAGGTATAATCGACTTTCCCTTCCCAGACCCATCCCTATCACCAGCCTCGTCCTTGCCTCCGACACCACCCAAAACACTCGGCTCAGTGGCCGCCCTGATCTACACTTCTGGCACGACAGGCAAACCCAAGGCCTGCAGTATCAAAAATGGTCTCATTTGCGCGGTTGGATGCACTAGTTCTTCCGACGCCGCCAACCCCAAGAAATACCTCCAGGGCCTCCGCGCATACTCATGCATGCCCCTTTTCCACGGCACCACATTCTTCGCCGGCATGTGCTACTCCGTGGGGCAGAGCGGCTGTTTCTGCTTTGCGCGGAAGTTCTCGGCCAGGGGGTTCTGGAAAGACGTACATGAATCCCGCGCCACGAGGATCCTCTACGTCGGCGAACTGTGTCGCTTCCTTCTGGCCACCCCACCCGGGCAGTATGACAAGAACCACAACGTCATCGTGGCCGCGGGCAACGGTCTGCAAAAGGATGTCTGGGTAGCCTTTCAAGAGCGGTTCAGTGTCCCCGAGGTCCGCGAATTCTACCGATCCACCGAGGGACTCGTTAAGTTCGACAACGTCCACCGCGCGGGCCAGCCCGGCGCAGGGAAAGTCGGGTACCTGGGCCCGTTGAGGAAGAAGATCCTGGAGAAAGATCAATTCATCATCCGATTCGACTACGACACCGAGTCACCCGTCCGCGACCCCAAGACCGGCTTCTGCGTCGTGTGCCCCAAGGGCGAGCCGGGTGAGGCCATTGCGCGGATCCACAACCTGGCGACCTACACGAACTACCACAACAACGAGTCCGCCACGGAGCAGAAGTTCCTCCGAGACGTGTTCGAGAAGGGCGACCTGTTCCAGCGCAGCGGGGACCTGCTGGTGCAGGAGAGCGACAACTGGGTGAGGTTCGTGGACCGCATCGGCGACACGTACCGGTGGATGGGCGAGAACGTGTCGGCGGGCGAAGTGCGGGCGTTCATCTCCGAGCTGCCGGGCGTCAAGGACGCCGTCGTCGTCGGCAAGCGGCTGGCCAAGTACGACGGACAGGTCGGCACGGCGCTGATCGTGCTCGACTCGGCCATCAACAACAACAGCAATCACGAGAAGCAGGAGGCCTCGGGCCCGCTGGCCGGGGAGAAGGCCTTCATGACCCGCCTGTTCCAGGCGCTGCGAGGCAAAGGCGTCCCGCGCTACGCCGTGCCCAGGCTGGTCATGGTGCGCGACGAGCTCGTCGACGTGGGCGACACCTTCAAGCACGCCAAGATGGTGGTCAAGAACATCGACTGGGCCGCCGGTTCCACCTCCCCCGACCACGGCAGGACCAGGAAGTACTACCTAGACCTCGAGGAGGAGCGGTTCAAGGAGCTAGATGCCGCGAGTTGGAAGCGCATCGACGAGGGGCGGGCCAAGCTGTAGCCCTTTGCTCCTGCGTCTACGGACATGCTCAGATCGTGTCGTGGCCGTGGCCGTTGTCCCTGTGCGTTTGGCTGTATTGTTGTCCTCTTGGTATAAAAATAGAACGAGAAGACTTTTTTTTTTTTCTGTCGCGGACCAAAACTCGGTTCAAGAACTTTGCGGCTTCACGTCAAGGCACGGGGTAGAGTTGTGTGCTTGGGCATTCTCTGGAGAAGATATCTAGCCGGCTAGCCAGCTAGATCGACGCGCGGTTTCGGCTCTGGGGAGACGGCAAACGGGTACTAATATTCGCGATAAAGAATAAAACTACCAGGTAGATTATACAGTTGTGCGCTCTTTTCGTGACACCGCGGAGCGATCGGACAGGCGAAGCGCAAGCAAGTAAGCAGAGCCGGTAGTAAAAGCGGGTGAAGAAAGGAACAGAGCACAGAGAAGGGAAACGGAATGCTTAGAAACCAGAGATTGAGAAGCCAAGGGGTCTATCTGTCTGTATTCATCGTCGCTCGATTGCTGTACACATGTGCTGTCTGTCCAACCCTCTTCCCCTCCAGGCTCAGTGTTCGCCCTCTCCTCGAACTAGCACGATAGATAGATATGCTGACATCCCACCCTCTGCTCTGGCCCTCTGGTCATGTCCAAAAGATCTATATGCTCCGCGGCAATGCGCTGGATGCCCCCTCTTTTTGGTCATCCCATGCAACACACCAACCCGCGTAAAGCCTCTAGAATGCAACAAACCCACCTTGATTCAGCCTTGGTAGAAATTCCTTTGGGATTCCCCTTGCAAAATGCCATTTTCACTCTACCCGCCCAAACACTTTCCTGCGATCATGCATGGTGTGGAATGTGAAGAGATGCAATCCTGTATATCTCTCTACTGATTGTCCTTATCTTGATGTATCTTGCGCGTGCCGACTGCTTGGCCGGCTTGTCGCCTGAGCCACGCTCCTGCTCCGCCCTTCCCGTCGCGTCGGCCGGATCCAGTCGACCACCATCCGACCCCGTCCTCTGACGCCATCCACCGACGAGTCGACGCTAAGGCCGTATGTTCCGTCCGAGTATCGTTCCTGTGGACCGCCGACGGAACTGGTGCGTGGCCGAGTATCGTAGCTGCTGTTTCGGCTCAGGCGCGAGGGTGGTCCCGTTGGCTGTGTGCTCACTGTGGTCATGGTACGAGTTCGTCCCGGACTGCGATCCTCAGAAGGGACGCCGAAACTGGTCGTTGAGCCCGCTGTATCCTGAGACACGTGGTCTCGTGAGTCGGTAGTCCCCGCTCGACTTCGTCCGCGAAACCTGTTTTCGCGGTGAATGCCAACCGTTGCTGGACCCCACCTCGCAGTGTATCCTTTCCAGATCTGTTTAACTTCACGATCGCGCTTTCCGACCAATTGGTCCAGCTGGTCTTCGATCTCGAGAATCGCTTGGGTCGCTTCAGGCTCAAGTTCCAGTGTCGATGGGAATGCAAATGTCGTTATTGCATTGTCACTTTTTTCCGGGAGTGACACATTGCAATGTTCACTAGCGATGTCTTTCTGCAGAAGACTCAACTGAATGTAAAGGTTTTCCAGCTGATGAGTATATCTGTCCAACACCTTTGACTCAGCGTGGCGTCGTGCCGTGATATCACACTCGGAACACGATCCCTCCAGCACGTAAATCTTCGGAGGGGTAATCGCTTCATCAGGATTGTACCCACGCAGATGGGACGGTGGATACGCCAGAAGACCCTTGTGGTACTGCACAAGTAAAGGCTGGACGTTGAGCGGACGAGACATTGGAGGCGATGTGTGGCAACAGACAGTGTAGTAGTAAGTGTGCGCGTACGCAGCGTCCGGAGCTGGCAGAGTGGCCGCCCCAGCTGAAGCTCGTCGACCGAGAGCCGACCCGCCGGTCACCCTGTTTGGTGGGGTTTCCGCCTTTGCTGCGGCCGTGGGACCGGAAAAGATTATGCTGTAGCGGCGACTAGAACTTGATCGAGCTGGAGAAGACTGAGGCGCAGGATTGGATGAGGCTTGGGGTCTTCTCGCGTTCTGCGCTGGATTCGAAGTCATTGTGCTGGTAGATAAGGATGGGTTGAGCCATGGTTGTCCAAGGCTGACAGTGGTGCTCGACCTGACATACCCACTGTCTACACCAGCACTTGAACTGCTTTCGGATAAGGCGTTCTCCTCAACATCTGCGATGGTCAGATGGGCAGCTGCAGTGGGCCTCCAGCTGGTGGGAGGATAATTGCTCTTCACAGACGCAAATCCGAAATCTCCACCTGGGTGACTGGTTGATGGATTCTTTGTATTCGATGCCCAAGGTCTGTGCTCGATGTCTTTTACATCCTGACCGGAACCGCCAATCGTAATGCGTCGTCGAAGATGAGGTGGCCTTGTGATCTCAGTCCGAGAAAATGGTTCGATCTCACTAAAGGTTTCCCGCTGCATCCCTGTACTTGAAGTTGCCCTTTCGTGGTTAATTCTACTCGAAGAGCTTAATTGTCGAGGTCCCGTCGTTGGAAAGTAGGATTGCTCTTTATCTGCATGGAGCAGGATGTCCCCGTTGATGACTTCCGGAGGCATGTTATATATGTAACCACGTTCAATTTCCTTGAAGCGGGACTTTTGTCCAAGACACCGAGGAATGGGCAACCGGGCCAGCTCTCTTGAGTCTTGCGAGAACAAAGGACTGTCGGAAGAACAGTCTTTGTTCTCATCGATGTCTGGGCTGCCATTTCACGCGCCGTCTTTATGCTCGACAGCTGAACTGAACCAGGACTGCTGTCTCTGTGTTTGAAGTCATTGTTTGAGCGGAAAGAAAATGCGCCTCGGTCGGAGCGTCGCAGGGAGAGATCGAGCAGCTGAAGTTGTGGGAGTGCAACACGCGGGCGGAGTAGATGCATGGTTGGGGAGCACGAACACTCCCTGAAGGCCAAAACTGGCAAGGTCGCGCTGCAGGTTTGAGTTTTGGGCGCGAGCGAAACTGCGCATCACGTGTAAAAACTCCACCAGACTATCGGCTTCGGATGTCCTTGTACGGAGTATTCCCCATGAAGATCGCAGAGTCGGCGGGTGGAACGAGTCTTTGGGAGATTTGCAGTGGTCGAAGCAAGCCATGAAACTCTCGGGGAAACGGGGATCGCATTCAATCCTCCTCAGTACTGCCCGTCAGAATGATCCGAAGATTCATCCTCCAACGGCCAACCTCATGCTCAAGAGCACTCAACTTGGCGGCAATACTCAACAAGCTTGGATCGCTCGTCTCCACGCGGACCTTTTCACGGACAATAACATCTTGCCGCCCACGCCACTCGTAAATTTCGCCCATTTCGTCGTGATTCGGAGGCTTAGGACCCAGTCCCAGCAATCTCGTCCTGAGGTTGAGCCCAGACAGAGAGAAAGACCCCTCCGAAGGCGTGCTGGGAGTTCCACCTGGAGAGGTTGGAGCGAGGGTCCGCACAGTGAGGACCAGATTGGCGTCTTGAATCGTAAAGTGCAGACTGAGATTCTCGCCTAGCGGAGGTTGAAACACGTTTTCATCGGGGCTATTTGTCCACCATTCGGCCCCTGGGATAGAAGAGATATCGGTGCCGGCCACTGGACCTTTCAAGCAGGTCTTGGCCTCACGCAAATGGTCATGTAGCAGCTTCAATTGACCAGAGATGAAGGAGGAGTCAGTCGACTGACCGGTCCACCTTGATACGTCGATTATGTCGAGTGCGTCGTTGAGCAAGGACTTGACAGCCAACAGTTGCGAGAGGACGATCTCGGCGGAGGAGGAGGACGAATGAAATATCAAGCGAGTCGATGGGGTAGAAGTGGTGGTGCCTCTCGGGGTGTTTGGTGGCAGAGTTGTCAGCCTGAGATGGATGTCCTGTATCGATTTCAGATCAGGTAGGTTCTGGAGTTTGGGGGGGAGCCGGCGTACGCCTTTGACAAGCTTGGTGCCAACCCTCGTGACAAAGCCTTTCACACTCTCAGATCTGAGGGATGACAAGACCAGAGTCGACCCAGGTTCCTTCGGCGCCAACAGCGCAGCACATTCCTCCAAGGCTTCTTTGAGAGCAGGCAAGGCTCTTTGTAGCGACTCAAGCAGCCACTGCAGCTCAAGTTTCTGAGGCCAAATCAGTCGGTGAGGCGGGAGGACATTTGTCACTTGTTCAACCTTACCAAAGACTCATTCTCGGCTTTCCGAAGCTCGTCAGGGGGCAATGGAGGGTAGACCCACGTCGACATTGCGGAAACATCAATAGTCAGTCATGGAGGTGTGCAATAAACATGAGGGAGCAAGACAGTAATGAGGTATTATTTAGGAGGCAAGGCTGGCACCAAGTGGAAGGATGGTTTGATATCAGGTGATGGAGCCAAAGGATTATTGGCATCACCAGTGAAGCTGTGAGTGCGAAACTGCGGACCGGTGATTTTCCAGCTCGCCAGGTGGGAGGATTGGCGAGGATTAGAGTTCGACGCTATTGGAAGCCGGGTCTCGGCAACTAGCCATATATGGTATAATTAATGTGTGAAGTGGAGCAAGAGTTGATGACGTGGTGAATTGTTGTGCTGCAGGGCACCCACAAGGTGCCGCGGGTGTTGGGCCTCTTACCCTTCTTGCTCGGCGCTGCGTCATTGCCCAGGAAGGCATCGAGACACCCGGGAGGAAGCTCTGGAGCCCAAGCTGAAGCCCACCAAAAGTTGGATAATGAAGCTTGGTGCCCTTGGGGTTGAGCAGTGGGGGGGCTCTCTTGGGTCTTGGGGGGGAGGTTCATCCCAGGTGCTGCTCTCTGTGCACCCTGTACTCCCCCTCTTGGGTGCGGTGGGTGCCCCCCAAAACTTTCTCCAACCGTCTCGCCCCGAGGCCCTGTTTGGCTTCCTGCCTTCTCTATCGTAGTCCCTCTCCACAGTCGACCAAGCTACTCGGTACATCGACCGCCAGTTTTCGGCTGTCACTCTGAGGGACGGGAAGGATCAAGCTCTAGTGGGTGGTCAGTTCTGGTGGCTCCTTTGGTTGGGTGACCTCATCCAAGACACTGCATTACATCTACTGCCTGCATACCGACCTACATCACAAGCTCTCTTACCACTGCTGCATTAGTACAAGAGCATCTCCTCCCACACCACCTCGACCTTCTCATTCCACCCCGCGCTGCTGTCCCTCTGCCGCTCTCAGAACTTCTTCCACCCTTCAAAACGGCGCCATCGGATCGCACTCTACCTTTCTATCTCGTCGCCTGGCTGCGCACTCTCTTGCGAGCTCCAGCCACCTTAGAAGCTCTGCGCCGCCATGGCGTCCCGTAAGCAAAGCTTGATCCCGCAAGTGGCGATCCCGAGGTACTGATTGCAGCGTCGCAGGTAACGGTCTCTTCGGTCTTGTGTCGCTGGTCCTCCTCGCCGGCGGCCTCCTCTTCATGTTCTTCATCCTCCTCGCGGGCGCAGTCCAGCATGGCCCTGTCAACAAATTCTATATCCTACAAGCGGACACGGCCAATATACCAGGAGCTCCACCTGTGTCCCGATGGTCATATTGGAACGTGTGCGGTGTTCGAAATGGACGCACCCACTGCGGCAACCAGCACTATTCAGATGTCCACCCGGCCTTCCCACTTGACCCTGCGTCTCATCGGACCTTTGACACGACGGTCAACGTGCCTCGAAACTTCGTCGACCGCCACGGCTACTATTTCTATATGACGCGCTTCATGTTTGCTTTCATGCTCATGGCTCTCTTCTTCGGCGTCATGGCCTTGTTCACTGGACTGCTGTCCTTGTGCACGAGACTGGGCTCTTATCTGAGTGGTCTCCTGACCATGCTGGCCATGATCTTCCAGGCAATTCAGGCATCTCTTATGACGTGAGTGGACATACGTCGTGGGCCATGCGCCAGTGTGCTAACGACTTAACAGTGCCGCATACGTCAAGGGGCGCAACAACTTTCGGAACAACGGTCAATCCTCCGACATTGGCGAGTATGCCTTTGGGTTCGAATGGGCAGCCTTTGTGTGCTTCTTCATTTGCACCATCCTCTTCTGCATGGGTGGGTCGTCACGGCGCGAGCCCCGAACAACCAAACGACGAGGATTTACGTTCCGAGGCCGAAGGAGCAGGAGCACAAGGAGTCGAGGCAGCTTCGTTCACGACAAGGAGTACGGATCATAAAACCAGCAGTCCTCCAGGATGGAAGAGGAGATGGTGAGAGAGTGATTGAGGTGAAATACGAGTGAAGAGCCCGTCATTGTACAGACCTTTTTTGTTTGGTTTGTCCCCGCCCAGAATGTGCATGGGTCGCGGGATGCGGAGTTTGGGAGAACGTACACAAAATCACCCAGATGAGAAAATGTCTTGGTGTTGACGACCTTTGTCATGATATTACACAGATCAAACGGGTAGTGTCTATTTTAATGTTATCTGACAGTTCCAACCAGATGCCCGATCGAAGAACTCTTGACTTTCGCCTTGGTGTTGAACGGTGTCTGTGAGGGCTCGCGCGAAAGATGGCTGGATTGGCCTGTGTCGGGCATCGAGGCCAAGTCGATCCGCTTGGAAACTGTGCCACTTGACTCTTTCTAACATGTTGGACCGAACCCTCGTTGTCGTTGGTGTCCTAGAGTTCACGACCTTGTGGGCGGGCGACCGAACGGGATTGACCTTGGCGGAAAGCATAACTGAACCCAGTACCGAGTACTCGCGAGAGTACATACATCTTAAACACCTCCGACACCAGTGCTCTCTGTAACCACCCACCACCACAACACCTTGACTTGATCCCTGACGAAGACGGCGCCCCCATATGACCTTTACTGACGGCGATGGGAAAGATAATGTTGTACAGTGCCGCCGTCGTTGGGTGTTATGCCTCCAGTTCAAAGCTGTCGACACGAGGGTCACGGGCTGCACTCTTGGTTAACTGAAGGTCCCCCCCTCCCGGGTCAATGTGAGATGGCGTCGCACTCACTTCGAAGACCACGTGCGGCGTAGTGCGCCACCTGCCACATTCCGAGAAGAGCCACGATGGCCATGAAGACCCCAAACACAATGGACACGGTGGCGTCCGCTCCGAGGGCCATGGTGGGTCCTTTCAGTGTGGCGGTGTCCTCAGAAGAGCCTGGGTTGCTTCAGGTTGCCTGTCGGCGTTCTGTAAGGCTGAATTCACGAAGGGCCGCAGGGAACTTTGGGGGACAAGAGAAAGAGAGAAAGAAGGTGGAAAATACGGTGCTGTGACTCGGTCGTTGGTCTCCTGGGTCTCTTGTATCGGTGAATGCTGTCAATGATGGGAAGAGAATGTCGTGAAATCAGCATTGGGGCATCCGTCTATATACCATTATCAACAACTTTTGTTCGAACAATGCTTCTGATCCCTGCTAGAGTGGGGAGGTCGCTTTCGAGGTCCCGAATGTTAATGATAGGCTGGCGAGGTTCCCCCGACCACGGAAGCGTATCAGCCAATAATTCGACAACCTACTAAGGGTTGGCTGCGGACCGTGACCGCCTGGACGCAGTGGACATCGTCTGGGGGCGTGGTCTCTCGGGCCTGATGAATGTGGCTCAGCTGGTGTCTCCTGCAAGACTCCCGTCTCTCTTGCTCCTGCTGGCCGGTCTATACCAAAACCATTCAAGGGATGCGCGTCATCCAGCAGTTCCCAGCGGACTACCGCCAAGAGTTGGCGAATTTTGAGGCATCGATGTGGGCACTCTGCCTTGCTGGCGTTCTGTTCGCATCAACTTCTGACCAGGCTCTGACGGCTGTTTTGGCCCTGCCGGCATGGATAGCATGAGCGATCGTGTCCGTGCGTCGACACTTGCCATGTTCGACTGGCTCGCACTGGCGGAGCCTGGGAAGCTGAAGACAATCTTCTCTTACTGGTAACAACTTTTGGCTGCGACGAATGACCCCTCGTTCCTCATCAACGCCCAGGGATGCCAAAAGTTGCAACTCGTGGAAGCCAAAGACGGTCTATTCTCTTGCTGGTAACAACTTTTGGCCGCCCCTGATGACCCCTGCCTACCTCTCACTCCTCATTACCGCCCTGGGATGCCAAAAGTTGCAACTTTGGGCAGCTTGGTCTTCATCCGATAGGCTCGCCAACACCTCGCCCCTGCGTGCCTGGCTCGCTTCCCGGGTCGCTCCTGGTGCTTGTGCCATCTGCACATGACACAAAGTTGCAACTTTGGGATCCCAGCGCACTGCTGGCCAGGGAATGAATAGGTTACTCCTTCAGCAAAAAAGAGCTTACTCTTTCTTCAAGGTCGGCGAGGTCAAGTTTTCCTTTGCTCATCAGTCCCGTTACATCTTCCGATTCCGAAGTCTGAAAGCGTGCTCTAATTTGATTTTCCGCCCGTCGTGCTTCGGCGCACGCTATAGCCACGGCTGAATGGCCACCGCAGCACCAACTTCACGAGCTCCTCGCATTCCCGAAGACATTTGGGGAAAGCATCGTTCTGACATCGAACGGTTATATCGAGACCTCGAACTCCAGGGTGTGATACAACTGATGGAGAGTAACCATGGTTTCCATGCTACAGACAAACAGTACAAGCGGCAGCTCGCCAAATGGGGCTTCCGGAAAAACTTCACGTCCAAAGAATTGGATGCTGTCTTAAGCAATCCTGGTGGAGATGGTATTGTCCGCGGCATTCCTGTTCCCAAGGCCCGGGTCGAGCGATACGCACGCAGGCGGCGTCTCAAGAAATCGTTTGCTCTAGGTGACCAACCCTTCAGCCGACAAACATCGACTATTCCCACGAGTACACAGACACCTGAAGAAAACTCATCTCATAATTTGCAAATTTACGCTAAGCTACCCAAATCCAACCTTCTCAGAGAAAATCCCACGCAAAATGTGGAATGCCTCTCACCGGGAATTATTGGCAGATTCTTCACCCTCAAGTTTGTAAGTCTTCAAGTCCGCCGCCGTATCATAGCTCACTCGAGCAGTTTGAAGAAACGAACATGCCATGGCTATCACCGGCAGATGACCTAGTCGTCTCCTTGGACGATTCTCCTCCGCGCAACGGATATCTGACCGACTTCGCCAAAAAGGAATCTTTCACAAGGACAAGAATTCTATTTGCCTGGCAGTACCGTCCACATGTCGAGTCTTGTATTGCTTTTTTATGGCCCTCAGGCACAGACAATGAGAAGAGCACGATACCCTGAGCATCTCTACGGGATATGACAACCTCTGTCAACCGTCAACACATCGCTACCTTCACAGCCCTGAAGCTTGCCAAGCAGTGTACATATTCTCGAAGAGTTTGCGGGAGTTTTTGCTGAATTGTTTCCAGATCTGGATTCTACGTCTCCATATCTTTGGACTAGCGACTACTACTACCACGAGAGTACGCCTTTCCTCGTTGGCGGGTTCTTCGAAGTCGTGTCACTGGTGGAGCACCGCCTCGGAGACCTCGTGAAGATCAAGTTCCCAGAAGAGATTCCACGATGCGACAAATTTGACGCTTCCAAGGCTTTTAAGAGTCCGCTCGCCTCTATTCGATCTATAGATCACAGGCATGAGGTGAACGAGATCTCCTCCTGTACACAGCTGTGTTTAGATATTCTTCGTCAGCAACAGAAGAAATAGCACCAGTCACCAGAGAATTAGGTAACACTCGGATACAGGGCATTGTTGAGCTTCTATATGTAATCGCCCGTCTATTGCATGGATTGCTCCCGTCTCTCTGGCTCTCCCTAAGCGTGATTCTTGCCATTTATGGACTGTCGACTGAAGGATCTTCCCAGACCTTGCCTGGATCTTAGATTGTCACACCGTCAGAACGACAACCAAATTGGTATTCGAGACCAGCGATAGATCTCTTCTGCCGATTGAATCAGCTGTTCCGAAGCAATGATCAACAGAGTCATATTCAATAGGCTCGGCATCCATAATATATTGAGTCGAATTTCATTTCATTACAGCCATGCGCCAGCTTAGAGCTTCAACGACGGATCCTGCGTGCAGTCCAAACTGCAATGAATATCGGCGCTGCCCCTTCTCTCCAGCCACATCTGCATCTCATTCCCCAGCGGAACGTTTTCTTATCCTCTTCGGTCTCAGTGATCCTTCCTCAAACTCACGTAACAGTCCAAGTTCTTTTGCTTGACGAACCACACATTTTCCATCTCCAGCGGCCTGTTTGGATCCACAAGGGTGAAGTCGAATTTCCTCACTAACTCGGGGATCAAAATGGAGATTTCGAGAAGGCTGATGTTCTTGCCGATACAGGTGCGGGATCCGGCTCCAAACTGGGTACACAATATCCCACATCAACATCGGAACACGGGAGGGAGGAGGGTGGGTTAGTTGAATGGATTGCTTACCGTGAGGATATAGCGATTCATCTCTGCAGCTCTCTCGGGAGACTCGAGCCATCGCTCGGGTCTAAATTCCTCCGCGTCGGGGCCAAAGATCTTCTTGTTGGAATGCGTGACCCAGCTGTTTACACCGACCTCAGTCTGTCACACAAGAAATCAGCATCACTGCTCGAACACAGTCCTCCTGTTTAAGCATCGCGGGCAGAGGCTGGAGTCTTACCTTCTCTGGGAAGTACGTCCCAGCAATTTTTGCGCCGCCTTTCGGAACGACGCGAACCATGGGCAGACCAGTTGCTGGATGACAGCGCAGCCCTTCTTTGATAACGGCCTGAAGGTAGGGCAGTTTCTGGGCTTCTTGGAAAGAGAGAATGTCGCTCGACCCGCGCTCTTCGATGGCTTGGTCGAGTTCGTGTCGCAGCTATGCCGAGTTAGCACGCTTGGTCTTCCATGGCCTCTAACCAGGCTTGTTGGCAGCGCTCAAGCCAACTGTGATGAACCTCCAGGCTGTTGTCGAAACCAGTGTGGATCGGGACTAGGCTTACCTTCTCTAATGTCGCAGGTGCTCTCATCAAATGGTACAAAATCCCCGCCAGGCTGACCGACGTGGTATCCGACCCAGCACCAATATTCGTTCCGCAGGTCGAAAACACCGACTCCATCGGAAACCTGTCTGGCTGCAGAGCGTGCATCCTCAACAGCTTGGTCAGAAAGTCGTCCGTTGGCTTTGACTCGTCTTTCTCAAGCACGCTCTTGGACTTCTGCCTCTGGCCTTCGAGGACTTGTTGTTGCATGAAGGAACCCATGTAGTGCATTCCGCCGTTGGGCAACAGAGACAAGACCCAGTTGAGGAAATAGTGCCATTCGTGGTACACGCCTACTTTGGAGAGGTAAAGGAGGTAAGAGTGCAGGGCGGCGATCATGTTGCCGTTGTCCTTGCCGGTGTCAAGGAAGCCAAATCTTTTGCTGAGCTGGAGATATGTCAATCTGGGAAGACGATTTCGCGAGGAGCGTAAAAGCTTAACCTACTGTGATGAGTGCTATGGTATCAAAAGCGTCTGACACATCGTCAGTAAGGAGACCTTCGTTTGGCATATTGCAGGTTGAAGCAAAGCCGCCCCAGGACAACATCGATGGTACTCACAATATTGCAGCCAGACTTGCAGGTTGATGGCGGTATGGGACTCAGCAAACTCGGTGAGTTTCCTGACCAGGATGTCGGCACACGCCACAGCATTCGGCTCCATGGCGACCAAACTTGTCATCGAATACAGAGAGGCGACATTGCGTCTATTGACGGCATGTGTCTCAGGGTTGAGGTCGGTGAAGAGATCCGGATGCTTGTTCTTGGGGTTATTGGAGGCGATGTACCATTTGCCCTTGACAAAGTTGGAGCCATGGCCGTAGATGGTCTTGATGGCGTCCCCATCGTCAATGGAATAGTAGTTTGGCGCAATGCGCACGATCGGTCCTGGCGAGGTCAGCTCGAAAGTCGATCGGCAATCTTGTTGGGTTTGGGGCTCAATACCATATTTCTTGTGAAGAGCAATGTTCGTCTTCTCGAAACGGCCACGAGCCACCTGCAAAATATCAGGATCGACACTCTACGTCTCGAGATGGGAAGCACTCTACTTCTCTCAAATACCACAGCCTTGTGAACCTGGCTAACAAGGGCCCTGGCACCGACCGCAGGGGATCCCGAAGAACGACAAACAGATTATACGCAATCCAGACGCCCACCAAGCTCCCAATCAGAATTATCGGTGAGAGGGTGGTAGCGTAAGCAGAGAGGAGGCCTTGCAGCTTTGCCATGATTCTGTTGGAGGCTTCTTTCGCAGCTCCCTTGAACGGGGACGACGAGGCTCTCAGGCTGGAAAATCCTGGTCGCAACACACACAACAATGCTCAGGAAGTCGGTGGGGAGCTCCCCCAAGATTTCACCCCCATATATCAGTACCAGATGTCTGGAACGCCAAAAGGCCGTTCAACTCAAGTGCCGACAGACAGCTACCCAGGCGCCAGAAGGACGGAACATACCCCGGATCTCGGCTGTGCCATGCATTGGAGACACGTCGACGACCCCGCAAGGCTCTCCACAGACAAGTTCAAAGGCTTTGAAGGATCGAGAATCCCTTCTCCACATGAATATACAGAGATCCATGTGGGCGTCTTTTTGGCTGTCAGGTAGGATCCTCGAGGAGGACACCATGTGGGACCTTTGGGCGTCTCTCACTCTACTTATGCTGCCCTATATTTCACAGGCCGGGGAGAAGAGAATGAGGCTTTCTTTTGCTGCTACTATACTGCCTCAGGAAAATCTCCTGGTCGTCATTGAACTCAAAACACCAAAATGGGTGTCCTCCAGAATCTGTCGAGTGCTCGGGGCTCAATGGAGCTGACCTTGGATCCCCTCAGCCTCCTGCGAGTTGCCCTTATTGGGGTCGTTTCCCTGCCTGTGGTATTCATCCTCGTTGACTACATCCGAGTCCTGCGGCTCCGTCAGAAGCTGCCTCCTGGGCCCTTCCCCCTACCGCTCGTCGGCAATTTCTTCCAGATCCCCAACGTCAAGCCATGGATCGACTTCGAGAAATGGTCGGAATACTACAAGGATCCCATGATCACCATCTGGCAGGGCCACAGACCGACCATCATGTGCAACGACATCTGGACGATATCCGACCTGCTTGACAAGCGGGCAAACATTTACTCGTCTCGGCCGCACATGATTGCCATGGGCGATATGATCAATGCTACAGAGAGCAACCAGGTGTGTCTTGTGTATGGGGACAAATGGCGCCTTCATCGTCGCCTCATGGTATGTCGCAGACCTTGCTCCGCCGAGCCATATAACTTATACTCGAGCAGCATTCGGCGACCGGTTCACAAGCCATCAGGCCGTGGCGCGTCATTCAGGCCAATGAATCCAAGGTCCTGGTCCGTGATCTGCTGGACAAACCAGATGACTTTGTCATGAGCGTCGAGAGGTACTCGTGCTCCATTGTCTCCATCATCGGCTGGGGACGTCGCATCGACAAGATCAACGACTACGTTGCTCAGATGGCGCTCAAGTCCATGGAGGGAGTCGACCTCATCATCCCAGGTCTGTTCATTGTCGAGTCGATCCCGTTTCTGGCCAAACTGCCAAAATGGCTGAATTGGATCTACCCGATGCCGAGCAAGATGAACACCTTCGCCAAACATATGCAAAGGTGATTTCCGCAGTGGTCCTTGTGGCGGATGCAGGCTAACAGCGATTGTCAGATACTTCGTTGCACTGTCCAAGGAGGGCGCTCAGGCCCCGGAAGACAACTTCGCCAAACGTCTCTTCAAGGAGCAAGAACAGAGCCACATTGCCGACGAGGAGATATCCAGTCTCACGTCCAATCTCATTGGGGGCGGAGTCGACACCACGAGCGGGACCATCATCTCCTTCATCTTGGCCATGTGCGTCTTCCCAGACAAGCTGAAGAAGGCGCAAGAAGAGCTGGATCAGGTGGTGGGCCAGGACCGGGTGCCGGACTGGAGCGACGAGCCGGCTCTGCCGTACGTCAAGGCCGTCGTCAACGAGACGCTGCGATGGAGGACCGTCACTATCCTGGGCGGTATCCCGCACGCGCCGATCCAGGACGACGAGTACCGCGGCTACCTGATCCCCAAGGGCACCCCCATCACGGGCAACGTGTGGGCCATCCATCGCCATCCCAGGGAATTCCCCGAGCCTGACAACTTCCGGCCGGAGCGCTACCTGGGGGGGCTCGAGCGGCCCTACCCCAACAAGCAGGGCCACAATGCCTTTGGCTGGGGCCGTCGGCAGTGCAGCGGACAGCCGCTTGCCGAGCAGGGCCTGTTCCTGACGATCGCGACGCTGCTGTGGGCGTTTGACTTCAAGCCCGGGCTGGATGAGAATGTAAGTCGCCTCAATACCTGTTTCACCCGTCCGCTTTTCTCCATTATGACTTTCACTTATCCTTCGTTTTCTTTTCTTCTAGGGCAACGAGGTCAAATTGGACATCTTCGCCTACACCAAGAGCGAGAACATGCGCCCGGAGCCGTTCAAGGCGCGCTTCATCCCGCGCTCCAAGGGCATTGAAAGCATCATCCGCTCAGAGGCCACCAGGGCACGGAAGGAGCTTTGTGCGTACGACGGCGAAACCAGGTTGACGATGGACAATGTCTCTTAGATGAACGACTTAGTGTGACTGGTTTTATCCTTGATATCTCAAGATTTCAGCGGGGGTTTATCATAGCTAGGTAGTTGGACAGTCGGGCAGG